AAGAAGCCCGGGTAACGTCGGTTAATTTGACCCAATACTCCACATTTTCGAGGTAACGCGTTTTATGAATCGATCATCGTGAACGAAGACTGATTAGTCGAAACAAACTTGCAACGAACTCGACAGGATAGAAAGTCCTCAATGGGGTACACGAGCAAATGCTCGTGAACGGAATGTTCTACACAGTGAAAGCAGCATTTTTGAACGAAACTAATGATTCAGTGTACAGTTTAGACGTTTTTACGAGAACCCACGATGACTTATTTATACGTAACTGCTCGTTCCTCGTAATCCATGAATCCACTGAATATCGTTCTTATCTACCTATTTCCTTATCACTTACCTTTAATTGTTTTTTCTCTTTACGAGCTGTGCTCTGTTATCTCAGCACGACAGATAACTAAGATTTTTCTTGCAATGCTTCTTCGTCTCGTGTTCCAAAACGAACGTGCTTTCTTTCTTGCCTGGACTTTGTTTGCTCGGGTTAAGCAGAGAATTCTCGGGAATGGAAACAGGTGGAACAATTTACGTTCACGACGATTGTTCTTCTTCGCGGTACTAGTGGATCGCGTCGTAGACAACGAGCCTTGTCTACGATGGCTGGAAATACGTCGAAGCGATTATTTCGCCGACAGGAAGTGTATTTTGTACAGCAATCAGTTGCTGAACTACGTGTACGTTGTTTTTTATCTCCATTCAACTTTCTCCAATTCTTGTAGTTTGAATATCAGTACATTCGTGAAAACAATGAATAAACCTCCTGACAAAATTCTCGTAAAAATTTTCCGGGGAAAATTACAACTAAGCCCATTAACGAAAATACTTTAGAACTGTTTGTACTATGACGTTCTCCGAATAGCGGTGAGGCAACGCTCAAGTGATTACGGTCCGAGCAGATAAGAAAACGGAGCCGTTCGCATTAAGGTGCAAAGTCATTCGACGAGCTTTATGGTTACGGTGTACAATGGAATCCATGAATTTGAAATTCGAAGCGGCGTCAAGGGGATCACGGTTTCCCACGTCCCATGGACATAACCGGGTAGCTAGCCCCGAGCATGGCCAAGAAGGAAGATATTTTGCATGATTACATACTTTGTGTCTCGTCCCGTGTCCAGGAATTCTCATAAGACTTACGGATTTCTGAAATCGCTCTTTCCGCGTATTTTCTAACTCACGACCATTTTGCCATTCATTTCGACTCTGTATATCTTATCCGACACTTATACAACAGACAAACGGTATATTGCCACTGACAAATCGAAAATTGTTGGCGATAGTGAACTCTTTATGGGGGATTGTTGCTGGGGTTAGATACTGATGCGCATGCGCTACGGTGATGGTCAATTACCACTGCACATGTTACAACGCATGGCGATACAACGCGTGGGGATCTAATACATGGAGACCAGATAAAGAAATACAGCATATAGCGATCTGGCACATAGATATCTAACGTACTGAAATTAGTCTAACATCCAACACGCAAAAATTGAACGATACAACGCTTGGTTATACAACGAAATCGGAGTAGGTCTGGGTCACTCACTGTAACAATTACCGTGCATATTTTAACGTAATATTCCGTTATCCTACAGCTCGAATAAATTTAAGTAAGTCCATTAATCGATGCAAATTGGTTAAGCTCCACGATCCCGATAAAAAATCCAATTTTAATTATAAAATGCGCATCTATATCGCACGTTTAACTTGCAATCTGATTCGTATCTACTTCCTATAAATTACCGTCCCATTTACCTGCAAAGTTATCAAACTTTCATTAAACCGAACCGAAATGAACTTTCGACGAAAATCACGTTCAAACGCCTCGAAGAAACGAGTGTGAAATTTAATCCGGTCACGTTTTTTTCATACCGCGTTATTAAACGATTTACGGTCAATTTGTCGGGCAACGGGCAAATTGTCTGTAAAGTTTTTTGCGCCACTTGCTCGTTGGAAAATTTGTACGGTTTATCAAAGCCTCTCCGCGATACTGTTTCTCTTTAAATACCTTGGAACATTGAAAAGCTTTGTCGATATCGATTCTCGATATACGTAACCGGGCTCGGCCGTCTCTCTCGCCTATCTCGTCTCCTCTGGTACCCTTTTTAGGTACTCCAAGTCCGAACAGAGAAAAACGCACCTGACCTTACTACCTGTCTGAGCCATGACCAAGGAATGTGAGCCACGACTCGTGAAATCATCGACTAGCATACGAGATTCAACCGTTACCTAAGTTTTCGATTAGAAAAATCAAAGATTTTATTGTGACAATAGCGAGTGAAAATAGTTGCCATTGTGTGTATAGTATTATGATATAATACTATAATGTCGAATCTTATCAATGATGTATATCAAAACTATTGCAATTAATCGAAACCCTAAATAAATTAATAAATATTCGTACATAGGAGAGAACATTCTAGTTTACGTAGAAAAATGCTGTTCCTGATTTCATAGCAGAGAAAGTAACTCGACGTTCGTAACCTTCGCGCTTTTCCCGCCCACGTTGTTTTACTTCCATTTCCCGCGATCCTGATGACAGTGTCTCCCATAACAGAACAAAAAGAGCGTGTCGCCTCTACGGCTCTCTCGCCCGCAAATTTCATTACTACACTATTATTAGAAGCATTACGCTTTGGAAGCCGCCCTTAAGATAATCCTAGGGGATTAGTTTTAATGTTTGAGAATTTGCTATTCGTTACGGGCAAAATGTACGAGCTAATAATTTAACTGCCACGTTATTCGAAAGGAATTGTTGCTAAGTGCTTTGTGATTTTACGAGACATTCGAAATCTAACGGAAGGATAAAATTGAACGAATACAAAATAAACGAAGAAAATCAGGTTTAAACTCTAAACCAAATATCGATAGAAAGATGAAACAAGATATTAGTTATCAAGATCGTTCAATAACGAGTTCATCGACACGCAACAGAAAGTACACGACGTTTGCGAAGACGGTGTGTGTGACTTGCAGAACCAAGTCAATAGAATCCTGGTATGTATCTGCTGACCAACAACTGTCGACGAACGATAAAGACATTTTGACTCGAGCCATTATTCTGCAAAATATTTAATAATTTTTCGTTCGTTTTAACAAACATGGTAAAACAGTGTATTGTACATGACATACATTTACTTTTCTACTTTTCTGGCATACAATACAATTATGATACGCTTCGATAATTTCACAGAAATTAGGCTGATAAGAATTCGCAATTAATGTACTTTAATCACATAATGATTCATTCGCTTCAATTAATCATCTTCGAAGCAATAGAGTAAACCCAGGGATTTAATTCTGTCAAATATTTAATTTAGCAAAGTGTAAGTGAACAAACGATATCGATTAGCAAGTTTATCAAATGATAATACTTTATCGTTAAATCAACAATTATATCGAAGGAGACGTATCTCCTTGCAAAGAAATATCGGCAAAAACACTGTGCGTCACCGACGTTTTAAATGAATTCGTACTTTTTGAAAGTTCTAACACTGTGTCTAACAAGTTCAGAAATTTAAATATTGTAGAATATTGCAGAATCCTTTTGATTGCGATGTTTCAACCACGTCGATATTCTGAAGGTCGTGCATTGCCCTGGTGAGTCCATTAACTTTCACGCAAAATGTAGCTTTGTATTTGCAATAATTAGAGACAAGCGTGTGTGTACACGCTTACACTGAACATATTGTTTAAATAAGGATTACATTCGACAGAAAAATTTTCAAAGTATTTGTATCTGTATTCTCCTTTTCTCTGTCAAGAGCATGGCGAGGCACGCCCGTGTTGTACGTGTACATATGCTCACGAACGGCCGTTAGCGGTTAAACACGAACGCGTCCTGTATCATGATTCACGAGGGAATACGAGTAGAACGTCAATGAATCGTAATACTCGATGACAGATACAATCGCGTGTGATATCGTTCAAAACATTTTCAATTTAACCTAATCTCGATAAATACGCTAGAATCGAACGAATTGATTCGATACAATGTTGCATTATGCGCTAAAACGACTCCTTGAAAAAGTAAGGTTATCATCGAGTATTTCAGGCGTTCCGTTTTATATCCCTGAACGGCAACATTGTAAGATCGAAGTAACCGTTACCGAGTATCGAGGCATGCGTCGATATTCGTACCGGCCTGGCTGGTAATTTGCAATTTTTTAAAAATATAATAAACCTTATTATCCTCAAACGTCAATGACGCGTCGAAGAAAATACACGATACGCGATCATGAACGTATACTGTTGTGAAATTCGTCGATCTCTTTACCTGTTCCAACGAGATCGTGAAAGAAAAAAAACGACAATTCGGAATGCTCGAATGAATTATTTATAAAGAACAGAAAGTAAGAAAGATGACGAACCGGGACGGAGCACCATTTCCGAGTCTATGCGTAAGATCGTAGGCAGGCATAAATGCTTGTATAAGAATACTTCGCGACAAAATTTTTAAATCTACCAAATCGCGATAATAAAATTTCGATCGATTAGGTGCCTGTCGCTGACAAAATCTAATAAGCTAAATTATGATATGGACATATTTTTGTAAGTAGAATAAGATATAAAGGCAATCCGTGTAATTGTCGATGTAGGCCTGACAAAGTTCTTGTCGTTCTTAGATGACAAGTTACTGTCACACCGGTATTCATCGAAGATTTCATGAGAAAGGAAGCGAAGGAGCACAGCGATGAGTACACGTACACCCGGGTTGGGTATGGTGGAAAAGGAGGGGATATACCAAAGGAGAGAAGAACGTCGCCCGCGGCTAGCAACCGCAAAGGCAAAACTCCCGTGAGTGGTTTGCCACCGTGAACTGGTTTTTGGGGGATATCGTTGTTACGCGTTGGCGACAAACATGGGTCAGCATCCGATGCTGTTCAATACGTAAGAAATATCCGGTACGTCGTTATACGTGTATACATACCGCGAAGAAACAAGAAAGGTAACGACAAGTAGATAGAGACGAACAGTGAAACGGAGATAAGTAGACTTACCCAGAGTTCTGTACCCCAGCTCATGTTTGCTGGGCCGGGTAAACCAGGCACAAGCAGAATTCCCTCACTCGACACTTCACATGTAGCGTCGCGATTCAAAAACACTTCTTGTTATCGAACGAACACGCACTGAAAAACGCATGAAAAATCACGCGTCAGACTCACCGCGCACGATCACTGAAGAAACGTCTCCAACATGTCGGCCTGTAACCACTGACTGGCCGGACCCAACTGTCCATCAAAAACCGCCCGGAATTTTACTGTGGCGCGCTCTGTCGAAGTATTCGTGTATGAATAGAGATTGGTAGGGGGAGAGCGTTCTTCTATTGGTCGAATGAGCGCCAGGTGTTGGCGCGAGTATTTTAAATTTTACTTCGAGCTACAACACAGAATAATAACAATTAATATTACTTGTTTTGTTTATCAAACAAACAAAATTAATAATGAACAAAATGCAGTTGTTTGTATGTATATTTATTCGTTTATTAAAAAATTAAAAATTTCAGAACATATTGTTACGATATCGTTTATTATAAAATTATGAAACTCTGTAAAAGAATTGTATTTCCGCTAATTAAAGAAATAAATAAATCAATATTTTCATGTTTTTGTGTTTATTATTTGATTATATTTTCATTTATTTCGCAACGATACTGCATCGATATATATTATATTTTAACTGGAACTTTTTATTTCGAAATTATCAAACATTAATAAAATATGAATGAAACAACAAATACGTTCTATAGTATGTGCATGTACATACATATGTGTACAAAGAGAAAGAAATCTTACCCTATGAAATGCATAATAGCGAGAAAATTGATTTATAAGTTGCAAACTTGTAAGTGCGACTAAAATGGCGCTGGATGACTCGAGCGAAGTATCAAAGGTCATTAGTTCAGTGTAGATAAGTAATTTCTCGCATACTAGGAGTTCACGTTGTTTCAAATCGCCTACATTGCATTTTCATGAATTTTTACCTATGAGTTCGTGACGCATTCTTCCTGCATAATTCTATTACAATCTGATGGAAGAAATGAATACCCACTATGGAGGTTGTATTTCATTTATAACTTTTTATGCTGTGTTTATACCTACGATACAAAACAAATGTGTGTGAACGTTTAGAAACGTTTATTATTAAATTAATTATTTTTAATTTTAGGTTGTGGAGTTATTTAATAAATGCAATGAAAACCTAAAATCTTTTATTGTATCAAAATGGATTGACAAATTAATTGCAGAATATCAAGCATCGAAGACATTGTTTATAGTGATAATATCAGTTTTGTTAATTATATTAATTATATCGATAATTATTCTGCGAAAATGGAAAAACAAGGAATTTCTACCAGAAGTAAAAGAATTTGTTGGAGTAGGTACAGGCAAGCCCAGATTCAGAAAAAGAGACAAATTACTTTTCTATGGAAGAAAAATGTTGCGCAAAGCAAAATCTATCAGTGGACAAGTACATGCAACTGGACAAGGAAAAAAAAGAAAGGCTGTTATGCGATTTGCTCGAAGACTCTTGCAACTGAAAAAGGATACAGTACCTCTACAATTAAAAGTATTTTGATTTGATTTTGTTCTTTTTTTTTTATTTTTATTCTATTAAGCATTCTATATTACTTGTTTGTATTTAAACAGGTATTAGAACCACCAGCTGAATATTTAGAAGAAGATTTAGGTCCTGGAGATAGAGTGCCACCTGATGCTTTGTATATGTTACAAAGTATAAGAGTTTTTGGTCATTTTGAAAAACCTGTATTTTTAAAATTATGCAAACATACGGAAATTATGAATTTGCCAGCTGGAAGTACTTTATTCAAAATTGGAGATCCAGATGAAAATTTATTTATAGTGCAACAAGGTTTAGTTAATGTTTATATCACAGGACCTGATGGCTCTCAAATATCATTAAAGTTGGTAAAAACAGGGGAATCAGTTACTAGTCTCCTTAGCTTCACTGATGTACTTACTGGGCATACGAGTACGTATAAAACAGTTTCTGCTAGAACTGTGGAAGATTCAATTGTAGTTAAGTTACCAATGAGTGCATTTCAAGAGGTACAAATCAATTATACTAAATCCTTAGAAGGTTATATTGTTAACATTCTAAATTTAATGTTTATATTTTCTAGGTTTTTCAAGATCATCCTGATGCATTTGTTCGAGTTATCCAGGTCATTATGGTTCGCCTTCAGAGAGTCACTTTTACCGCTTTACATCAGTATCTTGGATTATCTGCTGAATTAGTTAATCAAGGGACACACAAGAAAAAACAAAGTCCATTTTCTGGATCTCCAGTTAGGTCAAGGACAAAAGAAAATTTTGCTTCACAGAGTGCAGAAAATCAATTCAGTGGACCTATAAGCACGTCATCGGAACAGCATGCTTCGTGCGACATGTCTCATAACTCCTCACTAAATTGTCAACAATCTGTACCTATTGTTATAAATCGACGGTAAGTTTAACAAAATAGTTGAAAAGATAAAGTATGTTTTTATTAACACTTGTTCTATAATAGGCCAAAAACTAATCTTGATTGGAAAAATCAAAATTTAAGTCCACAATCAGGTCAGAACACAGCAGACATGGTACCGGAATGCGATTCTCATTGGCCAAATTCTTCGCCTATTACACCACAGCAGTCATTCCAAGGATCTCAGCATGGATCTCAACCAGATGTCATACACACGGGAAATTCTCATCCGAACAAGAAACGGTCTACTGTTATTGAACCAATTCAGCAACAGTTAGATGATGCACATCTTGTTCAGATAGCTACAGAGGCGTTTGTTAGAGAACTTGGCTTAGAAGATGATTCTATACTGAAAGATGGCAAAGTTCAAATTAGAGAAGTACCAGCTGGAACTTACTTAATGAAGGAAGAATCTCACAAGGTTATAGTGAAATGTTCCTACTGATCAATACAATTCATGTATTTATGAAAGTTTATGTAATGTTATATATATCTTTCCTTTAGGATGTGGCACTTGTCTATGTTGTATCTGGTGCATTATTAGTTAGCCAACGTGTTTCGGAAGGAAGAGACGTAGGTCAAGAAGTCTACATGTTTAGTGCTCATCAAGGTGAAATTGTAGGAGGTCTAGCTGTATTAACTGGAGAACCTTCTTTTTATACTATTAGAGCGAAACATCCTAGTCGCATAGCTCTTCTTAGTAAACCAACATTTTTTGCTATTATGCGAGAACAACCCACTGTTGTATTACATGTAGCCCACTCGGTTGTTCGAAGACTTAGTCCCTTCGTACGACAGGTATAAATACCTTAGTTTCATGTATTTATCTGTTAATGTCAATTCTTTACTTCATTATTATTCTGTTATAAGGTCGATTTTGCTCTGGATTGGTTATTCTTAGAAAGTGGTAGAGCAGTATATAGACAAGGAGATGAATCGGATTCAACGTTTATCGTATTAAGCGGTCGTTTACGATCAGTGATTACATATAAAAATGGGAAAAAAGAACTCGTTGCGGAATATGGTAAAGGAGACCTAGTGGGTATCGTAGAAATGGTCACTCAGACTCCACGATCAACTACCGTAATGGCAGTACGAGACTCTGAATTAGCGAAACTTCCTGAAGGATTATTTAATGTTATTAAACTTCGTTTCCCGATAGTAGTTACCCGACTCATAAACTTACTTGGACATCGTATACTTGGTACTTGGCAACAAGCACACGCAAAGAATGGTAGTAGTGATACACAGTACGTATCTGAAACATTTTGATCTTAAACATGAACTTTTGTTATTACTCAAGCACTTATCAATTGATAGGCGGGCTGCTGCAACAGTCGATGCACGACCAGCCCAAGTGAATTTTTCAACTGTTGCAATAGTTCCAGTATCTGATGATGTACCGTTGACTGCATTTACATATGAATTGTATCATTCATTATGCGCTATTGGACCATGTTTACGACTTACTTCAGAAGTTGTTCGTAAAGTACGTAATTGATATCAATCAAACATTTATTTGATTCTATTACGAGTACCAAAACATACATAGTGAATGATTCTTTTTGTCAATAGACATTAGGTAGTAGTATCATGGAACCTGCAAATGAATATCGGCTAACGTCATGGCTTGCACAGCAAGAAGATCAGCACCGCATTTCATTGTACCAATGTGATTCGACGTATACACTGTGGACTCAGCGGTGTGTTCGACAAGCTGATTGCATCCTTATCGTAGGGTTAGGAGACAGACCTCCGTCTATAGGTAGAACTGAACGAGAAGTTGAGCGTTTAGTGATGAGGACGCAAAAAGAATTAGTGCTTTTGCATAAAGAAGGTGGTCAGAGGCCTTCAAATACAGTACAATGGTTAAATATGAGATCTTGGGTTTCTAGTCATCATCATATTCAATGTCCTAAACGAATGTTTACGAGAAGATCTCAGTACAGAATTGTAAGATATAACATATATAGTTGCGTTAAATAAAACGCTGAAATAATTTAATGAAATATTTTTTTTAGAATGAACTGTACTCAAAAGTTCTTATGTCAGAACCAAATGTACATAGCGATTTTAGTAGACTTGCTCGTTGGTTAACTGGAACCTCAGTAGGGCTCGTACTTGGAGGTGGTGGTGCTAGGGGTGCAGCGCATGTAGGAATGCTCAAAGCAATTATTGAAGCTGGTATACCTATCGACATGGTCGGTGGGGTTAGCATCGGAGCATTTATGGGTGCACTATGGTGCATGGAAAAGAACATTACGACAACAACACAAAAAGCACGTGAATGGTCCAAGGTATTACAAGTTTAAAATTAAAAATAAAATATATTAAATGTGTACACAAATATAGCTTTCACTTTTGATATTTCTTATTTTACAGAAAATGACACAATGGTGGAGACAAATAATGGACCTAACATATCCAGTAACATCCATGTTTTCAGGAAAAGATTTTAATAAAACAATTCAAGCAACATTTGGAGATACATACATAGAAGATTTATGGTTACCATACTTCATAATAACTACCGACATCACTGACTCATGCATGCGTACACACACACACGGTCTGTATACAAACGAAATGTTTAACATTTAAAAAGCATTGATAGTTTCCAGTTCTCTTTGATTAAATACATATATTTAATATATGAAACTGAAATTTCTTCCATAACTGGAAACTCTCTCGCTGTTTTCATGCAGTTTGTAGAACTCGTAGTTGTGCTAATCTACATTTTTTTTTTTAATCCAAAATGTGTATCTTTGAACAAGCGCTACCGTAGAGCATTGCATAGAAATAAGCTTGAACAGCGGGAGTGAGCTTTCTGAATAATTATTGTTGACGTACTCTCCGTTCTGTATCGTTTGTTAAAAAATACCGAACATTATTTTTTTTTTATTCGAAACATAGATATATAAAAAACGATCTTCCTGTACTTGCTTTTAAGTAAATTATTGTATTAAAGAGCTTAAGGCTACCGATACTCTAGCGTTAAAGAACATAGGAAGTATCGAAGAAATTACGCGGACATAAATTAAAGAACTTAATTCGTCGTGTTTAGGATCGCTGTGGCGGTATATTCGGGCTTCGATGTCTTTGTCTGGTTACATGCCGCCCATGTGTGACCCAGTTGATGGCCATCTCCTGCTCGACGGCGGGTACGTCAATAACCTCCCAGGTAATTTGAGCGATACGTTAAAAAATGTGTCTAAGTTTGTTATGTCATCTCAGCTTGTGATATCATATATTAGTGTGTATGTTACGTGACAATATTGTGTAAAAATATATTTGTTTTCTTTTTTTTTTACTTTATAAAATTACCTGGACATTACAAATAATTTTACATCAAGAAACGGATGATATTGCATTTTATTCTTTTCGTTGACATTATCTTGAAAAAAAATTGGTAATAATTTAATAAAAGAATGATGTAAATTTGAAACCAATAAAGAGCTCACTCCCGTTGATAAAAGATGCATTTGTCAAATTCTGAATAGCTAAGTCAACTCAGGTTTACTATGGAGATACATTCGAGCCAGTATGACGATTGCGGGGGTTTTTCCTCCTATTTGCGACCCTCTTGACGGGCATCTTTTGGTCGATGGGTGTTATGTTAATAACGTGCCAGGTACCTTAAACGTGTATTGTTTTTTTTTATCATAGATATAATGGCATCGATACTGTAATCAATCGACAATATACAGTTTTATCATCTTCTTTGTTTAAGCTGACGAAATGTTGAGACAAGGAGCGCATCATATTTTGGCTATTGATGTTGGGTCACAGGATGATACAGATTTAACGAATTATGGAGATTCTTTATCTGGTTGGTGGTTATTATGGAAACGATGGAATCCTTTCGCGACACCTGTTAAAGTCCCCAATTTACCTGACATACAGTCCAGATTGGCATACGTGAGTTGTGTACGCCAACTGGAAGAAGTTAAAAACTCCGATTATTGTGAATATGTCAGACCTCCGATTGACAAATATAAAACTCTTCAATTTACTAATTTTGATGAAATTAAAGATGTTGGGTATCAACACGGTAAATATTATTTACTTGTGTACTAAGGGGAATCACGTACGTTCTATAGATATGAAGATTTTAATATATTTATAGGGAAAACGTATTTCGAAGGACAATCGAAAGCCGGTGTTCTTCCTAGATTTAACGCCGATAGAGAAATTGCACGGGCATTACGAGCCAAACATCAAGCACATCAACAATCCGTATCTTCGTATACTTTTACAGATTTAGCTCAAATGGTCTGCAAAGTCTCCAGAGGAAATCGATATGTAGATCTTGACATTGATTCTGATACAGATGAATTAGAAGAATATGAAGCAGATCTTGAAGAAGATGCACAAGAAGTAGGTTATGCCTCTGAACCCACTGCCGGTATTTTAGACCAGGTAATAATTTATATTCTTAGTTTAGATTTTTTTTTAAATATTATTCTTTATTTAAAAACAACAATATACACGGTACTTGGAATGTGCACATGGCATAACCAGGATTTTTGTCTGGGGTAGGCTAGGTCCCCTAGGTTTACTGGAAATTGGAGCACTTGAAAATTTGGGTCTCTGGAAATTTGAAAATTTCTGAATTTCATACTACCTGAAGAAGTCTATTCCATATTTTGAGAGGGCCAGGCCCACCCTGATCTGTACCTAATTATGCCAAAAAAATGTGCAACTCGGAGAGCCGATACGTTCGATTACCTGCACATTCTTATACAACACTTATAAAAAATTTATATACATTTTGTATATACATTGTATAATATTTGCTTTACATGCTTCAGAGTCCTGACGAAAATCGTATGCGAGGAAGAGCTGGTGTTTCTTTAAGTTTATCTGACACAGAAGCTGAATCAGAACTAGACTATCATACAAAAATATTTTAAGCGCTTTCTCAATTCTTATTTTAATACCACATATTTTGTGTATCATACGTGAACGTTTGCTTGTCACATGTACAAATTATTATAACATTATGTTTACGTAGTTTTATGAAAAATATATTTATACTAAAGTACCAAAAAAAGTTGTTAAAGAAAAATATCAACGTGTACTTTATGATGTCACAGAGATAACGACACAGTATCTCATTACTAAATTATAAAGTAATTCAACTGTTATTATAATTATTAAATACATAATTCTATTGTTTATAAAAGAAATATTGGTGTTATATGCACTCCGTTATAATTTTTAAAAATATATGTTAAAATTGCGTCCTCATAGTCAAATTTGGGTCTAAAACAGCTAGAGCTGCTCCTATTAAATGTAACGAACCCGTAATAAGTATTTGATATTTCTCATCATTATTATAATTAACTTCTTGTTTGGAGTTCTTTTTTATATCCTGTAAAGCCTCATTAACACTGTTTGCAACTATTGAATCTGGTCCCCACGTTTTAGAATTTATTTCACACTTAAATCTTTGTTCGTCTATAGATAAACAATTTGCTTCGTCATCTACGCTTTTGATTCCCGCAAAATTTGGTACAAAATACGCTTTGTAAAAATGTAAAGTTTTTAATGGTACTAATAATTTTGTCGGATCTCGAGTTCCAGATGTATTAAAAATAAGAAATTTCTTCCCTCGATTTTTACCGGTTAAATCGTTAAACCATGAAATACAATGTTCTATACTTTCAAATGTATGTGCACCATCTAAGTAAAAGTTACCAATACTACTTTCCAAAATTTGCATTCTACCTGGCCATTTACAAGATGCTAATCCTACTGCAATTTTATCTACATCTATTATATTTGGTAGCTGTGCTTGTTTCGTAGCTATACTTAATTGAGCATTTCTGTTCCTATAAAATTTACTGTTATTTAGGATATTATATGAACTATCTGAGTATTTATCGGATTTGGCCATCCATGTAATAGCCATTTGTATTGCTAGAGACGCATTTTGTTGCTGAATACTATTTGTTATGTTTAGAATAGGTGAAAGATTTTGCCATCTATATTCTTGAAAAGGAGGAACAAGATGTAATGTACAATCCTTTTCCATGGCTCTTTCTTCTAGTACAGACATTGCTTGAGGTAACTGTGGAACAGTAAATGCAAAGGTTTTTGGTTTAAAAATTCCGGATTTTTGATAAGCTATGGCCTCAATAGTATTACCCAATAAAGATGTATGCTCTAATGCTAGACTAGTTATACCCACACAAACAGGGTTTCTTACAATATTTGTACAATCCTGTTCACCCCCAATTCCAACTTCAATTATAGCAACATCAACATTAGCATCTAAAAATATATTAAACATTAGGATCGTTAAAAATTTAAAGTACATAGGCATATCACATTCATGTTCTTTTGTATCTTCCAGCTTCTTATAAACTGCCCAAAATTGTTCTGTAAAATACATTTGATTTATTGGTTGTCCATTTATTCTTATACGTTCTCTTACAGTAACCAAGTGTGGAGAACTGAAAAATCCTGTGTTAAAACCATGCTCACGCAAAATAGCTTCTGTATATGCACATGTAGACCCCTTTCCTTTTGTACCTGCTACATGTATAACAGATAAAGTATCCAACTTCTCAAGTGTAATACCAACTCTATAAAAACGATATTAATGAAATTATATTTGTATACAAAGTTTATATAAATTTGTTTTACACAGAAAGAAGAAAAAATTATTACCGCAGCAAATACTTTTTTGCTTCCAATATTTTACAAAAGGTATTAGAATTATTTTTTGTTGCTATCTTTAAATACTGAGCATTGCTTTGTAAAGAAGTCAATGCTTTTAGAGCAGCCTGCAAATATAACAAGTACACATATCAGTATATGCATGGTATCTTTGCTGTTTTTCTTTGATTTGTTTATTGTAAATTAAATAAAAAAAAAACATTTCTGATCTACCTCGTATGAATTATCATGACGATGAATACCGCTAAACGCTTGTTCCATAATTATATGTACGTATAAAACTTAGTAATTTTAAGTAACTAAAATAAGTGTTATACAAGTTACCTTATAATCTACTAGTGTGCAAACATAGCGATTACTGAATATATACGTCTGCATTACTTTGATTACTTTGCAAGATAAAGTAAACATTTAAATCCGAACTATTCCGGGAGTGGAAAAAGAGATATTCAAGAACTTATCTCAGTCTTACAACACGTGCTATGGATGACGACGTCCACTGGCGTTGTGTTTATATATTTATAACTTATGTTTTTCCCACGTGTGAATTCAATACAACATAAAAAGAGTTATGATAAGTATATACAAGAGTAATAGGTTGAAGAAGGACACATTTCCCAAATATCTTCTAATGTTCTGTTAATGCAGAGATAATATATTCTTTCGCTTCCTACATCTTTTTTTCTATTCATATATTTTGATTCACTACATACATATATGGCATGCACAGCTGCAGGTAGATCTATTTCCAGGAATTGGTAGTTGCAACGATATTGAACAACTTTTTTCTTTAGCAAAATGTTCATTAAGGCTTAGTTTTTGAATTATTAATGAAAAACACTGATCAACAATAGCGCGCGGGGTTCAGTCATAAGAGTGTTGGCTATGAACCGATGTTAACCATAGTTGCGAACAAAAAAATGTGTGTTGCATCGGTAATGTAGTACGCACCAATCAATATGTAGTTATAAAATTTGTCATTATTAATAAGCATAACTTTACTGAGAAAGCAAAATGTATGGATCAAAATAAAGTAAAAGGTAACAGTGGGAATTTTACATTTTGTTCGTTCGTAATCATGATTAATATCGACATATAGCCAACACTCCATGCTTGAATTAATTCAAAACGAACATTTTGATAAAAAAAAACTTAGTTCAATATCATCCAAGTTATTATTTCCTACAATTATGCCCACTTGTAATCGAACAACTTGTGCAATCGATAAGTAGAGAGGCCTTCTGAACTCATTGTTAGTCAATTTGTGCTTTCGTCAAAGCAACAATTAAATACCGTAGCGGATGCGCGCGCATTTATGTATTGATTTACACAACAGATTGGTTATCTGCATTGACATTTTTGCCGTCGGACGAAATCACACCTCGTGCAAAACATTTTTTCGATATTATCTTTAAAATTGATTCGTTACTTCATTTTTAAAGATATATATAAATTCTCAACAATGGCAGATATACCAATAAATATTATAACCCCGCGAAAAATGTCTTTTGGTATTAATGGGAAATTAAATGGGTTAGAAAGTAAAACACCTTTTCTAATTGGAGTTTCAGGTGGTACAGCTAGTGGTAAAGTAAGCAAGACTTTTGTACTTTTAAGAATTTCTTAACTTTGTTTGTTACTCTGTAAATAGTATGTTTTCGATATAACTTAACCTTCATTTAAAAACACTATGTTAAGTGATAGACTTTTTTTAATGAAATACATCATTATGCAATATCCTACTATTTATTAATATTTGCTTGTTCTATTATTTCAGTCAACTGTATGCAAACGTATAATGGAAAAACTAGGTCAAGTTGATATGGATCACATGCAACGGCAAGTAGTTTGTATTTCACAAGATAGTTTTTATCGAGATTTATCACCTGCTGAAAAACTGAAAGCCGAGAGGGGTCAATATAATTTTGATCATCCTGATGCATTTGATAATGATTTAATACTTAAAACTTTACAAGATATATTAGCTGGAGTAAAATGTGAAATACCTGCTTATGATTATAGGACTAACAGTCTGTATGTATTAATAGAATTTAATTGTGTTTAAAAGCATATCAAATAAATTAATATAATGTTATCAATCATTTTCTTGGGAATTTAGAATGAAAGATCAAATTACAACAATCTATCCTGCGGATGTAGTTTTATTTGAAGGAATTTTAATATTCTATTTTCCCAAGATACGAGAATTATTTCACATGAAACTATTTGTTGATACCGATTCAGATATCAGATTGGCTAGGAGAGGTAATGATATAACATCAATGCTAATGTTAATTATAAATACATACTCCTAAGTGAATGCTAATTATCTGTATAGTGCCAAGAGATATAAAAGAGAGAGGAAGAGATCTAGATTATGTTTTAAATCAGTACATGAATTTTGTAAAACCTGCATTTGAAGAATTCTGTCTTCCTACTAAAAAGTTTGCTGATGTCATTATACCAAGAGGTGCAGACAATACAGGTAAATTATACAATATTGTTACAATACATAAGAATTACATAAAATATTCTAACATGAAACTTGGATTATTTAGTTTTATACAATTTTTCATGCATTTATTCGATACTAAATATGTAATAAATGTTATTAAGTTTATCATAAAAATAAATTTATCTTCTATTATAATCTCAATTCATTTTTAATAAGTCTGCAGCTGATCAAATACTTGATTCATTTGTAATCCTACAACTATTATAATCTACTGTGGTTCAATTTTACAATTTCCTATTTATTGTTTGTTATACTGATAGATGATAATATTCAGTCAAATTTAGCTGCAGACTTCAAATAGTAAGACAGCTTAAATTTTTACTGTTTGTATGTGTATATATCTATAGCATTCATGGGTGCTGCCTGGTATGTAAGGGCTAACAAAACAAGCTGTCTTAAGTTAGTGCAGAAATGAAGGTCATATCAAAACGTACATAGTTTGGTTGTTGTATGTTTCCAGTGGCAATAGACCTTATAGTACACCACATCTGGGACATATTGCGTTTGAAAAAGGCTGAAAACTCATCCGGGCAGCATCCATACTTCTACCAACATAAGCGTACCTCGACTTCATCCGATACATTCAGCAGATGATTTAATCATAATATGCTCACTTATAAAAACTATGTCTTTATATATGATATGTTTATGTAGAATCAAATTTTTACTGATTTTTTTTTAAATACTTAATACATCCTTTCTATAGTAATACAAATGTATTATATCTACGCTAAGCAACCAAAAATATTGCTTCTAGTGCCTATGCATTCATTAAACTCTATAGATAAAATTAATTTTACACTGTTCCTAAAACATGGACAAAGTACATAATTATATAAAGTACCTTGTTCAGGTATTGTAATTCCAATGATGCATAATTATTCAAATTTATACATAAGACTAATATATTAAAAGGGTTTTAGTATTATTTACATATATAAGAATCGTTATAAATATGTATGTGCAGTTTTACATTCTTGAAAGTTTGGATTTTTTTACATAATATTGCCCCTGATGACCGTACTTATATAAACCCAAATTTTTATATAAAACAATTTAAGTGAGCATAAAATACATTAGCATAATTATTCTTTATAATGTGATATATTTAATTTAAACTAATGCATTATTCTCATACTGCCATATTCAAACAACATTAATTATATTGATTCGGCGTGATACTAATCTCTTTATTTGGTATTCTTATTTCTTTCAAATGCTCAAATCATCTTAATCTCAATAATGATATTATACAAGTTAACTACAATTTTGATTATGTAATTTAATATATTATTTGTTTAGATTGTAAAATGAAATAATAAAGAAATCAGATTTCCATCATCATAAAACTAATTTTTAACCGTTCATTTATATTTTATATTTTGTTGCAGTGGCAATAGATTTGATAGTGCAACATATAAGAGACTTCTTAAGCGACAGGGGTAGGGTTACAGTACAACCTAAAAGTTCAGTATATAAAACAGAAAAATTATCCAAGAGGCCACATTAAAATTTTTAGAAAGAAAAAATAATTGGCTAAACATGAGTTAAATTATTATATATTTGTTATTTTTAATACTCATATTTTTTAATGTAGAAATTCTACATTAAATTAGTGATATATTTAAAGCAATGATCGAAATAAATTTTAAACAATATATTATAAATTATATTTTATTTTGATTATAAATATAAATGTAGAAATTTAAAACCAATCAGAAAGAATTCTCAAGTAATTTAAAAAGTTAAATATAAGATATTTATAAAGAATGTTATAACTTGGAAAAAGATATATTTGTGAAAAGTGAATTTGTAAAAACGTTGCAGCAATACTAAGACGATAGGTAATAATATTAAATAGCAGCCTCGTATGATACAAATGTTAATTAGTAATAATATTGCGAAATAAGATCATTTTGTAGTTATTATTTATGTTTATTATATAGTTATTATGTACATTGTATATTTAGATATTATGTAACATAGAAAATCTTGAACAGTTTAAATATAAAAGTTACTATTGTTGTTATATTATTGTTTATATCTAACATTAATTTATATAATATTATTAATAAATTATTGATAATAAAGTTCTAGATTCATACCATCATGAATTTCATCTTAATTGTTAAATTAAGGAAAAAGTTATTGAAATCTTGTATAATATGTACTATAATTGATTTAAAAGGATACAATCTTGAAGTTTTATGTGATCCTTAAAAATAGTATACCACTTCTTTAAAACAATCTTTTCCCAATGGGTTCCAGTTTGAGCTGCTATTAACTTTTTTAAGTCACCTATTGTATCATCTGGATTGCATTTTACTCTAACTTTTTTTCCAAGGCGATCATTACACGTTATTTCTAGCATTTTGTGCCTTAATCGAATGTAAAAAAAAGAATGATTTATATCATTATTAGTGAATATGAAGCAAATTAAATAAATTGTATTATATATAATAAATTATTCTGGCGAAAAATCTTTGTATGATATACAAAATATATATTATTGACTTTGCAGGTTATGAAATATAAATAACAGTAACTATTAAATAGTGTATTACTTCATATATTTTAGCATCCTTATTAGCAAACCATATAATAATTTACTTAAAATAATGCTATAAAATAAGCATAATATACACAAAAATAATATTTTACATTTACTTACAAGGTATACTATATCAATATTCCTAAAGAACGTTACTCCGTTTATGTGCACCTTTATTAACTAAGAACACTTTAATTTGATTTATTCATAAAAGAACTTTAAAACTGTGTGTTTAAATATTCCAATAACCAGTGTTACAACATTCAAATCGTTAATCAAACGAAGAAACTGATACTATTGATGCTGCTGACATTATAGCTCATCAATTTCTTTTATAACTGACATAGTTAAAGCATGAATTATACTAATTTTATTATAATATATCGTAGCGATAAAGAGCACGGTGATTATAAAACAGAATAACAGTATAAAGAAAAACGTTCACGTATTTTTGATATCTTCTGCCATTACCGAATTCGTACACGACGATGGCGGACGCAGCAGATCTTCCCGGCGCTTCATCCAGTCAAAAGATGTCGTCGAAACTTATAAGACAAAAAGCACAGGAATTTCTGACTTCTAGAAAACATGCAAATAATTTAGTAGATATAATTGCTCAATGGGATGTAAGTATGAATTTTAAAATCATTTCAAATTGACGAATCTATGAACTTTTTAAGGTTATGTCATTTACTAAAATTCCTGATCACTCCATCAGGAATCCACCTCGTCCTGTTTGCTTACTATAGAAACGATATTTGTCGAAGTTTTGAAGAGAGGCGACATGTATTTAGAGCGTACAATAACGCTCACAATTTCAGGTATATTTGAAGGTTTTTATGTTTTTTTACAGTATTATTTGACAGTATTTGACATTGTATATTTTTTAATTTTTTGATGAAGATCTTACATTATAAACAATTTATATGTTTATACTTTGTGAAAATTTATTTTTGGGCACAAAGTGTAAACATAAGAATCAGAAACAGTATTGTTTTCATGTAGTAAATATTAAGAAACGTGAACTAGCTTTTCCATAAGATTTATGAAACAGAGCCAAGCCCTGAAGCGAGATATATCAATTGGTTGAGGAATTGTTATGAAGAAGTATGGGAGAAGATACTTGTATCAATAGAAAAATATCGGCCAGCCATTCAATTACAAGCTCTCACAACTGCCATAAAACTTATGGCAGAAGAAGGTAAAAATCCATTGGAACCTATTGGTAATTTAGGATATTATTTTCCACTTCATCGGTTAAAACCCATCTTGATGAGCTTACTTTCACCGGAGAAGGACAATGCTAGCTTAATATCTAGATTTCAAGAAATCATAGAATATCCAGATGCTCTTTACTACACATGGAAATGTCTTCCTTCTCTGACTCCAAAAAGGCAACCACACGAAATTTACATAAAAAATTTACTAGAGCTTATACACAAATTACCACTGCCAAAAGAAACAGAAGGTACAGATTAAAGATATTTAAATATTGCAATTTCTTTTAAATTTAAAGGAGACTACTAATAAATTTTGATTTTTTTTAGAAAATGAAATATCGGAAAATAAAAGTTTATTATGTAGACCTCAACAAGGTAAAAAAAGAAAACATTTTAATGGTTTTTTCATCAATTATAATTTTTTTTATATATCTTATATGATTTTTAATAGCCACTAAAAATTTTATATGGGATCAAGCTGGAGCTAGACGCGCCCTTAATAAAGTGTGGGCATGTGTCATGCATTGGGTACTGACACCACAATTACACAAACAGTTATTAGTAGTTCTTCTAGAACGAGTTATGCCACATTTAGAAAAGCCTGTTCTACTAACAGATTTTCTTATGGATTCGTTAGATGCAGATGGGCCTATTGGCTTACTTGCATTACAAGGTGTATTTTTGCTGGTCACTAAACATAACTTAGAATATCCTAATATTTTTACGAAACTGTATTCCATGTTTGAACCAGAAATTTTTCATACGAAATATAAAGCTCGGTTATTTTATTTATCGGATCTTTTTCTTAGTTCAACGTGAGTATTTGCAACATCTTAAAGTATTTTGTAATCGTAAATTATATTAACTATAATAATTATATAATGTTTTCAGACATTTACCAGAAGCATTAGTTGCTGCTTTTGCAAAACGGCTTGCACGTTTAACCCTTGTAGCACCACCTGAAGATATTCTTATAATTTTACTTTTTGTTGGAAATCTTTTATTAAGGCATCCTGGGTTAAAACGCCTTATTGATCATCCGCAAGGAGGAGAAATTTCATCGGAAGAAAATAACGGTGCTGGAGATCCGTTCTTAATGGAAGAACGAGATCCTTTGTTAAGTAACGCACTTCTTAGTAGTCTTTGGGAAATTAAAGCATTACAGTGGCATATTGTACCAAGTATCGCTAGTGCTGCACGTTTTATTCGTGAACCTCTTCCTTCTGTTGAGTATGACATGGCGTCAGCTTTAGAACGTACCGGAGGACATTTGTTTGATAGTGAATTAAAAAAGAAAGTCAGAGATATTATGTTAACGTTTGAAAGACCAAATTCTATGGCTTTACCAAAAGGTGAAAGATTACTGCAATATTGGCAATTGACGACAATGCACTGATCAGTAATATCAAAGTTATGCATTATATATGCATATTGTGCAATATGCATTGTTATAAAAAAAGAACTGTTTTTTCAATGAAAACGCAATGGAAATAATCAAGGACATTCTGCGTTTTTTTAAATACATTAAAAACAGTAATAGGAAAATATTGCAACTTTTTTATTATTTAAAATCTAAAACAATTGCAAAGGAATTGATTCAGAGTATATTGTTTCACGAGCAACATGTAGATATGTATTTTTAGATCTTTAATCATGCAGCTATATAGCATAACAATTACTCGTGAATGCTACCAATTCTGTTAACTAAAGTCATTTGTATGCATGAATGTGTGATAATAAAATGAAAGATATTTTAATTTAATAAATCACCCGTGTTTCATTTGTAACGCATTGATCGATGAATATCATACAGGTAAGCATAAATGGATTTATAGATAGTATTATAATACAATTTTATATTTAAACTAGTGTTCAAACAATCCCATACTTTGCTATAATACATTTAAATAAGCGCCCCACATATGTATAAAAATTCTATGTACATAACTAGAAGTACTTAATCTGCATAGTATTATGTATGTCGTTTATTCTCCAAAATCTGTAATAATAAAATAATTAATATTAATTGTATATATTATGCAAAACGAACAAAACTTGTACAAAAAGCCATTGTTTTATAATAATACAATCTATTGTAAAAAAAGACTGACTTTAATTTAAAGTTACAAACCCATGTTAACTGTCGCCATTCATCCTCATTCAATGCGTGTTTTATTTTCACTAAAATATTTGCTGGAATTCCAGGCAATGTACATTCTTGTTTAATAGGCACATATTCTACTTGTAAAAGTTCGGCTACCGTTGGTCGTGCCTTAGGATCATGCTGAAGACATTTACGCATGACCTCGATTAAAATTTGTGGTGACGATGTAACTTTATTACCATCTCTTGATGATAAAGTTGCAGGAAAAGGAATGTTCAGTTTTGGATTAGTTATAGCATTCACTTTGGCCCATTGTGAACGAATATGATGAAACGGTGTATGACCATACACTAAACTATACAAAATACATCCTAACGACCACACATCCGATTTAAAACTTATCTGTAACACAAAAGTACTTGTAGTGCAATTATAAAGCTCTTAATTATTATTGTGCGTATTAAATTCAAATTTACCTTGTATTTTACATTTTGATTAGAAGAATCTGAATTTCCACCAATGTCCATTAAAGCTTCCGGGCTAATATAATTTAAAGTTCCGATTGGACAATTCTTTACAACTGATGTCATATCTGCATTCATACTAGAAGCAATTCCAAAATCTATGAGTTTCAATCTTCCTCTCACTAATAAAAAATTTGCTGGCTTCAAGTCTGAATGAATTACTCCTAAAAATTTATACACATAATAGAATATTTATCGTAATAAACGATTCTTTATATCATATTATTTACCATTATCATGTATATGTTTAACAGCTGTCAACATTTCTGTCCAATAATATAGAATCATTGTAAGGGGAATCTCTTTTTCTTGCAACATTGATTTTGTAAGACGACTGAGATCAGTATCTCCCATTTCCATCACCACATAAACCATAGGATATTTAATTTCGCTAAGACAAAAATACTTCAATGTAAATGTCAGTGCACGTGTTTATGTCAAATACATATTTGTAAAATGATTTCTTACTAATCAAACATCTTTACTATACATGGTGCCTGTAATTTGTGTAACATTGAAATTTCTTCTAAACAACCTTGGGCCGAGTCCTTGTCCATGCGGGTAAGATTAACGCATTTAATAGCACATAATTCAAGCGAAGATAAGTCTTGTGCTCTTAAAACATCTCCACTCATACCATGACCAAGTGTACCCAAAATTAAATATTCTTTTCCTTTTACAAAAAGCGTTCTACCTTGTTTTGACTTAGGTATACTAGATGGAATTGAACATTGTACGTTCGACGCATTATCTAACATTTTTTTGAAATCTTGCTGCCAATTTTGATTATTACATGTTAAATGCTGATTTTGAAAATCATTGCATACTGGTTTCAAATTTTCTTCACTACCTTTGGTACAATGAGCATGTCCATCATTTGATATCTTATTTTGCATTGCTATTTCTTTTACTACTACATTTTCTGCATTTGGATATTCATTTTCTTTTAATTCTTCATTAACATTTGATTCTAAAGGTGCAAGGTTTTCTAATGTTTCAAACATCTGTTTTGCCATATTTGGTTTCTCATTCAAAACTTTATTAGATAATTTATTCTGAACCCTGGGTGTTATTTCATTTACTTTAAGCAAGTGAGATCCTTGGAACAAGTGTAGATTGGAAACATCATTTTGCTTAGAACCTCCTGTATCTGCTAAAGGTTTTCTTACTTTACTTCCTGTATTTAAATATCTGTAATAAAATATATATTTAGATAAGATAAATTAATACAAGATGTTGAAATAATATATAATTTACTTACCCAGGAGTATTGTGTTTTACTACACTTGGTGTAAAGTAAACTGTATTTTTTGGAGTTTGCATAGATTCCCTTAAATTAATACTTCTGTTTTGTAATGGTGTTTGCTTTACATTACTGTGTGACCAATGACATGAAACTGTGGCTGGAGTTAGTCCTTGAGTATTAGCTACATCACATATTTTACTTTGTGGTGTTTGTGTAATATTTCTACGAGAAAAGCATGGGTCTGGTCGTGCAACACCAACTGATGCATGTTTTAAAGGAGTTTGTAGTACCCACTGATCAGAGGAACTTACTGATGTTCCTTTGTCTAATGTCCATGATTTATCATTGGAACATACATTCTCATTACATATTTTTTCTTCATTTATTATTACTTTTGATTCTAATGGTTCCATTTTAATGTTTTTATTCTGCAAATTATGAGATCCAGACTGCAGCACATTCTCAATATATTGATGCTTAAAAGCTACAGATTCACCATTAGTGTTTTCTTTGCTTTGTTCATTTTTAATATCAATATCTGTGATGTATTTATTTCCTAATTCGTTTTGAGGAACTTTTTCTTGTACATTTTCAGTATTTAATTGCACCTGATTCAAAAGTTTATATTTTATACTTCTTTCATTTTCTGCATTATGTTCAAGTTTATCAAATAGTGAAGATTTATTTTCTATCTTATATTCTACAGTATTATTAACTAATATAGGTTCTTCAGATTTTGAAGAAGTATTTGTACATGAAACTCCATCAATTAAGTCATTCTCATGTTTTGCATCCTGCAAAGGTAATGACTTATTACAGTCATTTTCAGGACAATCATCTTGTGGCAAAGGCTGTGGATCATCAGAATCTGAATCAGTACCAAAATCCTGCGTCTTATCTTCACTTTCATCGTCATCACTTTCACAAAAATGTAATAATTCTTTCACACGTATTGGTTGAAACTTTGGACGTGTATTTGAATGGTTTTGAAAATCCATGTTACTCAACATGAACGCATTTGCTGAAAAATTTGATATCCTTGAAAAATATTTTAATCAGTCCACATTAATAACAAAAGTAGGAAGAATAGTGTCACTTAATCATGTACAATGAAGCATTAGTTCAGAATACAAAACTCCATTGTAGGAAAACTGTTAAATTTCCAAAGTATTTAATATATTTAAAAATTATTAAATGTTTTTAAAAACTATATGAAATAGATTGATTCCAACTATTTCTTTGTTGATTTTCTGGCATTGTTATAATTAAAGTAATCACTTAAAGTTTAACATTAAACTGTCACTTCAAATAGACATTAATACGAGTACAGTATACTTTAGTAAATACCACCAAAAACTGATCTGATCTTCAGCAAAACATTGATAAAAATATTTAGTTGAGTTATACGATTCGAGTCTTTTTGATTTGTATTGTACTGGTTTTCCGTTTACGTCATTAAATTCAAATTTCAAAAGTGCACGGTGATTGGTTAGGTTTAACAGTGTTGCACCATATAAACTCCAAAAACTAGGGATATTTTCATGGAACTTGATCAACGCTTGATAAAACTGATATCGCAAATTGATTTATCTCGAACACTTTAACATTTTTATTGAATTACTATAGTAAAATTAACATAAAAATATTTTTAATATCTTACACAATAACATATTACAATATGTTACATTATAATGGTTTATGTTTATATTTCACAATAAATGTAGTTTAGAACAAATAATAAAAAAATTAATGCTAATTTCAATTTACAGCACAACTTATTTGTTGTGTCATTCTACAATGTTTTTTAAATAGTAAACAAGAGCTGTATATACAATTAATTTTTGTTCCATGAAAGTTGTAAAAATGTATTTTGCATTTTTTATAATGTTCAATAAATTTCGAATTTGTATTTAATAGTAAATTTAAATACATTATTGAACGTTCACATTGAAAAAATACGAAAATGTACTTATTTAAAATTTCCTACAATATATTACATAACTATAGGAAATATTACCCTTTATTCTTTTGCATGAAATTTGGTTTTAAATAATTTAAAGCTTAATTTTCTTTAGACACAATATTTGTAAGAAGAATCTAATGAGTTTAAAGTATTTAAGTTATTTAATTGAATTTTGAACAGTTATATAATTAATTATAATACAAAACACAATTGTATTAATAATTTTTCTGTATGAACTGCTTATGTTTAATGCATGTTATGTTAAGAAAAGTGTAATGAATTTTATTTCACATTACTTAACATTGCATATATGTTTTCTACGAATGGCAATAGAAAACAAGACTATAAATAGCAGCAGTCTTTACTTTAAAATTTATTCCATATTTAGTTTATCTGAACTTAGTAATTTATTAAGATAAATCATGTATAAATAAATTCATTTTTTCGCATCTTAATTCGTATTCCGTATAGGTACATTAAATTATATTTAACAAAGTATCATTTTATATATTGTTTTCCTTGTTTAAAAATTATAATCCAATGCTACCTACTCCTTTCTTATTTCACGATCGATCTTCATTTGTGATCTTTCTTACCCGTAGGAACTACTTGGTAGCAATCATGAAAAAGTAAAACGTCTAAACAAGTATATTCTATTATAATCTTCATCTGCATTCTTATACCCTAGTAATTATCTTAAGTATGCATTTTATTTTTTCTTTAATCGACCAGATTTGATGCAACGATACAAACACGATTTTCAACATGAAAGAACATTGTTACTATAACTGAAATAAAAATGAACGTGGCGCTTAACGAATATTAAAAATTTGCTATATTACTCTTCAATCTTTTCGGTATACTACAAATACCGTGGAAATGTCCGAAAAGTATCGAGTGTCACGTACGATCTTGTAATCGATGGATGATTAATTAAAATGATTGGTATTTCAGCGCCTTGCTAAAATGTGTAAAGAGCAATATAAAAAATAATATTTTATTTAATCTTTAGGGACGAAATTAGGAATTATTATGAGTAATGAAAAAAATGTTCTAAACTATGTCGCAATATTCTTAACGTTTTCCATTATTATAATTAACTGCTCGCAATGGTGTTTTAAATGTTGATGCAGATTGTTGTTGAAACTGATATGCTAAAGGGTGAATTTTAAAGCCATATAACCTGTAAAAACATTATTTTTCTTTTTACATAATTTTATAAAAAATATAAATTTGCGTTTACATTGTCATTTGACTAAATCTTTATATAAGTTAATAAAAAATCTTGTCAATAACAAAACTTTCTTTCTTTTATCTTACCTAGGTACAAATTGATTTGTTGGACGTTTAGGTCGATACTCTGGATGAACCATAAAAAGCATATGTGGGAATCCTGTCCCAAAAAATGCTCCATCGGTATGATGATACCGAGAGCTTTTCGGTGTGTAAACATCCATACATTTGGGGCAATAACTTTTCACCATTGCTTCACCAGGGACATCGCTGAGACCCAAAGGTAACATTGGTTGCGATTCACAATAAACACGTGGACAATGGCCAAAATCCCCAGCTTGATATTTCTCGATCATCTGAGCGATACCCCGATTGGTAAGAATATAACGTGCATGAATGAGTCCATAAAGTAACTCTGCTGCTTGTTCAATTAATTCAGACTGATTCGGATGCCCATCCAATTCATCATCTGCATACAAACGCGCTTAAAAGTACTTTTATATTTTCTAGTAGAATGTTAATATTATATTTACCAGGTTCGAGATCAAGAATCATATCTAATGCTTGCCTATAATGTGGTACTTGCTCATTTAGTCCAGTCAAATTAAACTTATCTTGAATATAATCCTCGTCAACCTGACAAAAAAACATTACATTAGTATTTGAATATAACATATAAACACATAAGACTATTACTACAAAATCCACATTATACAAATTTACAATATACAAATCTTTTATCATACATTGCTCGTTAGTTAACAGCAAATTTTTTAACCTCAAAAAAATGATATAGGTTAAGAAAGTAAAACATCTAAACCATAATACGTGATCTTATAATATTAAATGTATTTACCTCACAGAAGAATTCATTACCCCTCAGGTTGCAAAACCATGAAATCCAGGATACCTCCTCAGAACTGCTCATCTTCCTGTGAATAAGAAAATGGTAGAAATACTCTTTTGACACTATATAGCGGAGAAAGATGGATCACCGCGTCAAAGGCGCGCAGAATTTGTGTGTAATGCGTAAAGATACGGTGCGCAAAAAGAAAAAAATTCTCGAATCTTCGTGTATTATGCACACATACACGACGTCGATGCTTAGTGCACGCCTAGCAATTGGTTAGAAAGGCGCCAACGAGAAGCTAGGTATGGGGAGTTCAGAGTGAGGGGAGCAAATGGAGTTTTCACTTTACTAGGCAAGATGCTCGACGTTACAGCCTGTCCTGGCAGTTCACCTACGTTTTGGTAGTCATTGCTGCTTCCTCAACACGACATTTTCAACGTTTTTAACATTTTCAAACACAATGAACAGTTCGCCGCGATCAGGAAGCACATTATTCAAGAAAAAACCTTGCAGAACGAATGAAAACCCAAAAATAAACAGCCCTTACGGCTTACCTTTTGGTGCTTTGATTAGCCACGCTTGCTCTTCCCAACAATGTAGATAGCGCTGTCGTGCTTTATTCGGTTCGCCACCTTCCGGATTTTTTTCATAAATCCTTATGTTTTTTATTGCAATATGTATTCCTAAATCAGCGTTCCTCTTCTTCATGGAATTAATCAAATTTTGAAGTTTATTTAACGAAACTGAACCTAATAACAACTTCAACTGGAAAACGTTAAAAGATTTGTAGCCTTCACTTTCGTGTTTATGTCTTTTTCATTGACCAATGAACGATCACTGTATTCTCGATACATTATTTTAGCTATAAATTTCCTACAAATTGTTTTATTAAAAATACGATACGAGTACCAAATTATATTATCCTTTACTTTTCCTTCATTTTTTATAAACGTTCACTCGGTAATAAATTAAATTTAAGTACACAAATCATGTTATTCCTAATACGATATCATATGACGTGCTGTTTTCTAGCAACTTGAAACAATGCAGGCTCCGAAAAACTTACCAGAAATACTTTTTGTTATACGTGAATGGGCATTCCATCCGTGACTGCTACGATTATTTACAATTTATAAATTTGTTTTGATATCAAAGTTTCATGGAAGCGTATCTTCTATTTTATTCACACGTTTCATTACTCGAAAAAAAAAATTATACATACATATCTAATTTTACTTGACCCTATTATTATATATAATAAACTTGCAAAGCAAAATGGAGCATATAATAGTAATCTGATGAAAGTATAAATATTTATAAATGCTTGCTGTAATGCTTCTTCCTGTGTTATCAATACTGAGCTGTTAATTGAGTTGTTAATAAACAATTGGGTAAAGCTAGGTGGAGTTCAGAATGTGAAACAATTATGTACACAATCCTTATCAGTTCTCAAGTAATTGTTTAAAAATTCAGTTAACTGAAGCAGATTAAGGTGGATTATGGTATGTATGATCGTGCACATTAATTTTTTTAAATATTGGATTAAATACCACATTTGATTATTTATAGATGCATAAGTGGTTTTGGTTTGGAAACGATTTGGGTAATTTTCTTTTACCAGGATACAATGTTGTTACAACGTCAAGTTTCTTTTGCACTTGTTTAGGCTTAACTGCACTTGCAATATTATATGAAGGTATGAAGATTTTACAAATTAAACTTCAGCAAAGTACTACAATGCTTATACAAAAACAAATGCCTAGAACATCAGAGAATTCTTCTTTATTGTCTAAAATATCATCAAAGTCTATTGGGACACAACTTCCTTTACATTGGTACTATATCTTACAAATAATTTAAACTTGGAACACAAGTAAATTTATAATAATAAATTGATATCATTTTTAATAATCCTGTATCAGTACATATTGGTCTGCATGGAGTTTTCAAGTGTTACATTGGTCTATACACACATTTCTTGGCTACATTTTAATGTTGGCAGTTATGTCATATAATGTGTATATTAACATTGCGCTTGTACTGGGAGGAAGCATTGGATATTGGATATTTGGTCCAAAACTTATAGAACTCAATATGAAACGGTTTTATCAAAAACAAAATATGTTAGACTGTGATAAAGAATGTGCAGGTATGGTTTCAAATATTTTATAATTTGTTTTACAGAAACATCATCCATAATAAAATTTCTAGATAATTCAATAAATTACGAGGGACAAGGTTCAACAGTTTCTGTTGTCACAGATCAATTAATAACAGAAGCTGCTGTTGATGTTCATATGCCAATTGGTATTTAAATTAAACAAAGATTTATCAAAATAAAAATTTATTGGTCTGTATATATTTAAAGTATTTTATGTTATATTCACATATTGCGTATAATTAATATTTATTTATAATAATGTTATTATTTGTAAAAATAAAACATACCCATTTGTTATAGTATTTGTTACTGAACTCTTAGATACAAAGCACATCATAATACTGTTATGTTTCATTTATGCTATATATTATTTATACATATATTTTTTTTCTATTCTGAAGATTTCTAATCAAACAAACGTGTGTAACACATATTTGTAATGAGCAAAAAATGGTCGTATGGATTTTCTGTAGTAATTTGTGTTCCACAAAGCCAGCAAAATTGAGCATTGCAATAAGTACATGTCATTTTATTGCAACCATCTACTTTTGCAGTCGTAGTTTGACACTGTGGACATGTTTTTGTATTTTCCTGTAAGTTCAGTAATTATATCGTGTAATTAATAATACACGTTATTTTATTAATAAAAGAAAGTTCGTTAATTCAGATACCTTTAGATAGTTTTTAGTTAAATGTTTTTCAATTTCTTGTATTTGCTTTTTACCATATTTTTTTTGTAATAATTGCTTTTGACACGTGTTACCTTTTTCATAGTCTTCAATAATTTTTATAAATTCACTCGGCATTATAGCACAAGGTGCACTACCATGGTATACCTGACATATCTTTCATTAAAATATGTCAATAGAAACTTGTTACAACATAAAATATGAGATTAAAATATACCTTGTGACAAAGACTGCAAAAACTGTAATCACATTTGCTGCAGACAATCAAAGTATTTTCATCGTCTTTTACGACTGGACATTGACATGAAATTCGTGGACAAAAAACTATGTCTTGCATAGAACTTAATGTTACATGCAATAATAAATCTTCATATTTTGAAAACAAATTTGGACAAAACATTTTTATTTCATTGTATGTAATAGCACAATTACAACTTAAGTCAGGGCATATGATATTTTTTATTACATTTTCATTAATTTTGGTAGTAATGTATTGTTGTATACAGTTCCTACAGAAAATATGACTACAATTTTGTAGTTTTGTACAATATTTTCCATAGTATATTTCAAAACATATAATGCACATGTAGGAACTATTCTCAAATGTAAGTTTAAGTTGATAGTCATTATAATCCATAAAAAACTTTATTGGATTAAAAATTAGTGCATTGCATATAGCTCTAGCATCTTTTTCAAGTATAGCATTTAACTTAAAGTAATCTGTTAGACTATATTTCATCAAATACAGAAATGAAATATCTAATGTATCGTTGATTTGAAGAAAATTAAGAAGATCATTTCTTAAAAATTCAAACCATAAAAATAATATTTCCTGTTCTTTATTTTTTAACCATATTTCATCTAAATGTTGACAAACAGAAGATGTTTGCCAAGGAGTGAGCCATGAGGACATTATATAAAAATTTGGTAAACACTTTGTAGGATAATCCTTTGGAAGTTGTACATATATTCGTATAGGTGGTAGATATTTTATTAAACACTTTGAAAATTTATTATAAGCATTTTTCAGTTTTATTACCTTATCATTATTCGTTGGAAAAACATTAAAATAGATTTCAATAATATCACCTTGAATGTAAGAAAATTCATTATGATTGTAAATACTTGAAAGTACTAAAATTTCGTTCTCTTGTCGGTCTCGGTTATTCATTACTTTCAGAATATTTTCCTATTCTCATAATCATGTAGCACGTTACTTCTTTATATATTGGATGAGAATAATATATACATACACTTCAACCGAACCGCCAAACTATGTTGTAAATAAAAATTCGTACATAATGGCGCGCAACTACAAAATTAGATTCAATACATCTAACACTAAGATGCCAATCATTATTTAAAATTTCGATAAATATAATTATTATGCGAAGCTAATTTATAAATAGTAGAATAAATAAAAATTTGAAAAGAATTTTCTTTTGAAGATTTTTATTCTTTTTTAGTAGAGAAAATCGATGATATCTTTTTAGCTTATCATGCTGACGTTTGGTTTTGCAATTTAAAGTACAGTTAAGTTTTTCAGAATCTAAGTTGAGTTTCGTTAAAAATAAAAAAGAACGCGAGTTTAATAATATATAAAACAATATAAATAATTAAATTACAAATAACCAGAATATATAATACGATATTCATTTATTTTTTGTCTTTCTCTTTTCTAATATAGAAAGTCGGTATAAACGAGTGCATACGAGAAATTAAAGTTATCTTTCGCTTAATAAAAGAATATAATTGCAAATACCTTCCAAATTTATATAATAAATACAAGAAGAAAGGTGAAAGTAAAGAATTTAAAAATACAATAAATTAGTACATACAAAGATAAAACAGGTTGAGGCTAAGCTTTGAAGGCAAGTAGAGGCTAAGTTTCAGCACGTAATAAAGATCAAGTAGTACAAAACGTATTATACAATGGTAGAAGTAGAAGCGAAACATACACTTCATAGTGGCATTTTTCACCCTGTTTTACGACAGTGGCAATCACCAAATGTAGAAATTACAGTTAACAATCTTATGTATCCAATTTTCGTCTTGTAAGTAAAATTCATAATTTACCGCTTACGATCCTGTTTTATGTATGTTAACATATGTATACAGTTACATATGTATTTACAGTTGCACATGTGTAATGAGATGTATTCATACTCTTGTTTAAAATAATAGTTAAAAAACCAATACAATAAAGTAGTTTCAATTTCTTTGAAAATTAATTTGTGTTACATATTACATAATAATGTGCAAAAACATATTTAATGTTTAATTAAACATTCATTCATTTTCATTTTTTCTAGAGATGAAGAAAATGCTAAAGATGCAATTACCAGCATGCCTGGTGTTTATCGATATGGTATCAATGAATTACGAAAAATGTTGCAACCATTGGTTGCAAAAGGTTTACAATCAATATTATTATTTGGAGTATCAAAACACCTAAAAAAGGTAAGATGTACACAGGAAACATTCAGTAGTAAATTATTGAAATGTTGTTTTCTCTTTTTAATAGGATCATACTGGAAGTAATGCAGATAGCCTACAGAATCCTATTATACAAGCTGTACCTTTAATAAGACAATGGTTTCCTAACTTATTAATAGCATGTGATGTTTGTTTGTGTCCCTATACTATTCATGGACATTGTGGTATTTTAAATGATGATGGAAGCATAAATAACAAAGCTAGTATAGCAAGAATTTCTGAAATTGCTGTCGCATATGCACAAGCTGGTACAAATATTTTTTCCTACAGATACATATAAAATAATATTCAATGTGTAACATGAATAAAATTGTGTGTTGAAGGAGCACAAATTGTAGCACCATCTGATATGATGGATGGAAGAATTGGTGCGATTAAAAAAAAGTTAGCATCAGTTGGGTTAATTAATAAAATTGCAGTTTTATCATATTCAGTAAAATTTGCATCTGGATTTTATGGACCATTTAGAGATGCTTCACAATCTGCTCCAAAATTTGGTGATAGAAAATGCTATCAGTTACCTCCAGGAAGTAATGGGTTAGCAGCGAGAGCAGCTGTTAGTAACATTTTTAAGCTTATAATTTATTTATCTTTAAACTATTATGCTTTTAAATATATTTAAAAGATATATCTTGTTTCTTTTTAAAGGCAAGGGATGTTGCAGAAGGAGCTGATATGCTTATGGTAAAACCAGGTCTAGCTTATTTGGATATTGTTAGACATACAAAAGATGCACATCCTGAATATCCAATGTTTGTATATCAAGTTTCAGGAGAGTATGCTATGTTGTATCATGGTGCTCAAAATGGTGCAATTAATTTAGAGAATGTTTTAAATGAAGTTCTTCTTTCAATGAGAAGAGCTGGGGCTGACTGTATCATAACATATTTTACCCCATTAATTTTAGATATGTTGCAACCAAAAAGCAAGTATTAATGATGTTACTCATTGTCATTATGTAAATATTTATATTGATATAAATATAATGTAAATCAACATATCAATAAATTTAGTTTTGTCTATATTTTAATAAAAGATTATATATTCCAAGTAATAAATTTTGTTCAATACTATTCAGTCAGATAAAAAATTCATAATTTTAACGAATATTTGCAATGTTAATAAAAATATATGTTTAGTATACACATATAGTAATCTTATAGAATAATTTTCCCCCAATTCATTCATAATATTATTAATAAAAATAGCTACCTATTTTTTTTTTAAGTTTGCAAATAATTATGTTATAACTGCTATTACTATAATTAAATATATTTGACCAATTTTTAATAATTTTCAATTCAACTATATCCAACTATGTTTGATTCATTTGCACAAAAATTTACGACATATTGTACAGGATTTTATCCACGGCCGCCTATATTCATAGATAAGTAGATATGCATTCATTTACAACGGCTTTATCTGCGATATGTCGGATATTGGACTGCATATCGGTAAACGCATTATTGACAAATACAATTTCCACTTTTATTAGTTTGTCAAAAAATTAAATTTGCATTCATTACTAATAAATTGAGAGTGATAGAACAAAAATTATATCTGTATTTTTTGCAAATTAATAAATCAATGAAATGTGTAAGTGAAGAGAATCATGTAAATGTAAATGTATATGTATATGAAAAGTCATTGATATACAAATCAAACTGTGAAGATGTTACTACTCGTCTGCAAATGTATCAACGAATAAAAGCGAAAAGACCATGATACAAATATTTGTTTTGCAGTAAAATGTAAAACAGTTTTGCTGTTACTAAAGTATTTAACATAATTAAATCGCTTTAAACTAAAGAATCCAAGTTCTTAAAAATATGGATGCTATTATTTCGATGGATAAGACAAGTATACTAAGAAAGTTTCAGAAAAGACAAAACGAGAAGAATCGATTCGCATATCTACGGTATGTTCTGCAAAGTATGAAACGAAAAAATGCAGAATGGTAATATTCCAATTGTTGTAGCAATCGGCCATGAGAATAGAATGTCAATTTTCGAATGAAGAGGAATATAAAAAATATAATACATCGTCACACTGAATACGTAATTTTAAAACTAAACATCGTGCAACATAGAGGAAAATGACGAAATACAGTTACTTACATTAATATTCGTACATTGTAGTACTTCTGTATTTTGTATTGTATACAGGAAAGAATAATTTATACATATATTATATTACTTATTTTATAAAAACATAAATCATTTATTACAAAAAGACAATATATAAACAATTTCTTTTTCATAATAACATCTTGATGTATAATACAGTTTAAACAATAAGTTATCGCATTTTCATGCCACAACAATATTCGGACATTTTATTAAAAACGAACAATTTATACACACATATATATATATATATATATATATAAATAATAAAGGTAACACAATAATTGATATGATAATACTTTTTATAAGCACATGTGTATTTTTTGATATTTGATAATACACGTTGACTTTACCGTAATCGTACAATGATTCCTCCAATGGTAAAAGTATTCGAAATTTCCAGAAGTACGGTATTATTGTGACGTGGGCCTATCGATAATAGCCAACTGTATGTAGTTCAACCAATCAGTGTGCGTCTTTCCATTGGTACGGATCTTCGAGGACCAATCAACATAGGCCACGACGAAATCGTCTCGTTTAATATCCCGGTACTGAGATCGCTCTGTAGTCAGTCATTCCGAGTTACTCTTGTTGTTCGTTGAATTTGTGACACATTAAAAATAATTTGTACTTACAAGAAAAAGGTTGAACAGAGCGATTTTTAAACTGGTAAGTATGGCATATAATAAACCATGATTTAGTTATATTAATACTATTCAACTGAAAAATCTAGTACTTCATCAAGTGCTAAGAACATTTCATTTGCCACGTCCTGCTGTAGAAAGAGTAAATCATTTTTTGTATGTGGTTTGAATATAATTACACTTTTAAGTACTTCTGAAATATGTTTCATGTAATTTTTATTCTATTTACACGATTTATAATGATTGATATACATATCTTTAAGTTGTTCATTCGCTACGATATGTGTCAAGAGTTCTGCATGTTCGCCGAAAAGAAACATTATACGAGTAAATTGTTATATACTTTTTGAAGTATGGTATAAGAAAATGTATACCGTATCTTACATCGATACTAGAATTTTCTACATGTTAGCGATTCATTTTGTTTGAAATATTTATGAACAATTAAATATGTCACCATAAGTTAAAGATAAATTTAGTATATTAGCAAAAAATTTCAGAAGCTAGGTATTTATTTACCATATGTATTTTGTAGAGCTACTTCTATAACAAGAAAAATGAAGGGAGCCACAGCTCTACTTTTAATAGGCTTAATAGCCTATGTCTCTGCGAAAGAAGATATTGGAACTGTCATTGGAATTGATTTGGGTACAACGTATTCTTGGTAAGCAAACTAAAATTATGTTTAATAAAACCAATCATTTAACCAGAAAATACATGAAAAATTATTTATTATTTTAGCGTTGGAGTTTACAAAAATGGAAGGGCAGAAATAATAGCCAATGATCAAGGAAATAGAATTACTCCTTCATATGTGGCATTTACTTCTGATGGTGAACGCTTAATTGGAGATGCAGCAAAGAATCAGTTAACAACAAATCCAGAAAATACAGTTTTTGATGCCAAAAGGTTAATTGGTAGGGAATGGTCAGATCCTACGGTACAACATGATATTAAGTTCTTCCCATTTAAAGTAATTGAAAAGAATAACAAACCACATATAAGAGTATTGATCAGTGGTGAAGAAAAAATATTTGCACCAGAAGAAATCTCAGCTATGGTTCTTGGTAAAATGAAAGAAACTGCTGAGGCATATTTGGGCAAAAAAGTTACCCATGCTGTTGTTACTGTACCTGCTTACTTTAATGATGCCCAAAGACAGGTAATTATTTATTTATTTTTATCTAACAAATCAAATTTAATTGTTAAAAAACTAATTAATTATGTTCTTGTTTAGGCTACCAAAGATGCTGGTACTATTTCTGGACTTGTTGTTATGAGAATTATTAATGAACCTACAGCTGCAGCCATTGCTTATGGTTTGGACAAAAAAGATGGAGAAAAGAATGTGTTAGTTTTCGATTTGGGTGGTGGTACTTTTGATGTTAGTTTACTTACCATTGATAATGGAGTGTTCGAAGTGGTGGCAACAAATGGTGACACTCACTTGGGAGGTGAAGACTTTGATCAACGTGTAATGGATCATTTCATCAAGCTTTATAAGAAAAAGAAGGGCAAGGATATTCGTAAAGATAGTAGAGCTTTACAGAAGTTACGACGTGAAGTTGAAAAAGCTAAGAGAGCACTCAGTGTTAGCCATCAAGTATGTATTATAATCGTTTGCTTATAATTATTCTGCTTAAAAAAAAGAATCAGTGGTATTAATTACTTATGTTCGTACTTTTTCACAGGTAAGGATCGAAATCGAATCATTCTTCGAAGGTGAAGATTTTTCGGAGACTTTGACGCGTGCGAAATTCGAGGAGTTGAACATGGATCTTTTCCGTAGTACTTTAAAACCTGTACAGAAAGTCTTAGAAGATTCTGATATGAACAAGAAAGATATAGATGAAATTGTACTTGTTGGAGGATCTACTAGAATTCCAAAAGTTCAACAGTTAGTTAAAGAATTCTTTGGCGGTAAAGAACCATCTCGAGGTATAAACCCCGACGAAGCTGTTGCATATGGTGCTGCTGTGCAGGCAGGTGTACTGTCCGGAGAGGACGAAACAGAGGCTATTGTACTTCTTGATGTTAATCCACTTACTATGGGTATCGAAACAGTTGGAGGTGTGATGACTAAACTTATTCCTAGGTAAGAAGAAAAAAATGTATATACATCATTCATTCTTTGTGTTCATATAATAACCGTATAAATAATAATTTTTTTTGTATCGTTTACAGAAATACTGTCATTCCGACGAAAAAATCGCAAATTTTCTCTACGGCGTCAGATAATCAACATACCGTTACGATCCAAGTATATGAAGGTGAACGTCCAATGACAAAAGACAATCATCTTCTTGGTAAATTCGATCTTACTGGTATTCCACCGGCACCTCGAGGAATACCACAAATTGAAGTCACTTTCGAAATTGATGCTAATGGTATTCTTCAAGTATCCGCTGAAGATAAAGGAACTGGAAATCGCGAGAAGATTGTTATTACCAATGATCAAAATCGACTTACACCCGCTGATATTGAAAGAATGATTAAGGATGCTGAAAAATTCGCGGATGACGACAAGAAACTAAAGGAACGAGTAGAAGCACGTAATGAACTTGAATCGTACGCGTATTCTCTAAAGAATCAGTTAGCTGATAAAGAGAAACTTGGATCAAAGGTTAGCGATTCGGATAAAACTATGATGGAAGAAGCTATCGAAGAAAAGATTAAGTGGCTGGAGGATAATCCAGATACAGATCCAGAGGAATATAAGCAACAGAAGAAAGAACTTACCGATATTGTTCAGCCCATTATTGCCAAATTGTATCAAGGTGCCGGTAACGGAGTTCCACCGACTAGTGGGGACGATGATGATCTGAAGGACGAACTTTAACTATAAGAAAATCAACACTTGTATTCGTCCTAATATAGACTGAATTAACAACAGTCTCGTGCAAATGTTGCAGAGATTAATACGTCGTTGACACGTCGACTATAAAAGACTGATCGACGAACGTTCGTTTATTCATTAAGTTACGTCAGTACTAAACAATACACGGTTGTGAAAGTGGCACTGTGTATTGTTCCGTAGTGTATTTGTCACATAAGACACAACAGTCATCTTGATCTTCTGGTTAAAAGAAAAAAAGGAATATACCTGATGGAAAGAATTTTACTACTGGAAGTAGCTTTTCCAATTTCCAGAGAAGATTCTGTGCGTTGTTTTAATTTAATTAATTGTTTTGTATGTTCCATTACATGTAATCATCTAAGCCAGTTGTATAATTCGCATTACAGATTTTGCAGCATGGGTGAGAATTAGAGTGATTGAGCAAGTGTGCATGACTTGCGCCTATTACTATCTGTAGAAAAACTATATCGTACTATGTACAATATAGGTGTTCTGTGTGAATGAACGTCATATGTATCAGTATCACGGAAATAAACATTTTTTCAATAAATTATAGATATCGTTGAACGTCTTATATTAGAATGAAACATATTTATTAATTGTAAATTGATAGCGAAAGAAGGAAACTCGTGGAAAATAAATTTGGAACAAATTTTATTTGAAGATATGCAGTTTGATCTTGTAACAAAAACAGTTGAAACTTCATAGACGGGATTCGTTCTCTGTAACTTCGATCGTCTATTGTGTTTTTGTATCGAAATATAATATTAACAGACATAATAATAATAATAATAATATAACATATTCTTTCGTATAACTTCTTTTGATATTTAAGTTTATATCATAGCGATTCGTTTACTAAATATCTTTGTAAAGTATACAGATCATTTTAGGTACAAAAATAACATTGGAAATACGCAACAATCATTTTTCAGTATATAGCGAAATCTGTAATGAATTTCATATGATTGTTTTTTTCTTCCGCAATACAGATTTTGGTTTTATAATTTACAAAAATAACGATTAGAAAAAAGAAATTAAAAAATAGTAATACTTTTTTTTTTAGCATAAAAGCATGTATCGTCATACAATCGTGGACAATAAATAGTCGACATCTATACAACTTTAAAAGTTGTCGAATGAATGTCTACTTTGCAGAAAGATTCGTACTTTTTGTTTTTCTTTTTTTCATAAAAAAGTAAGGCCGAAAAGTAGGCATTCCATGTAAACCGTGATTTAAATATTTCCTTTTTTGCAAACATTATTAGCGCAGACCCATTTTGAACCCATTAATATTGTTCGGAATAAACGTAAAAATTGAATGTTCTTTTTTTTGGCATTCTATCAGAAGATTTATATAAAATGATGGTTTTTGAGCATTCCTTTATCGGATTCGTTGATGGGTAATGCACTAAAAATGTTGATACAATAACCTTCCATTTTTTGAATCTCATTAATCCTAAGGAACATTTTTTGTCATTGTATTTATCTCTACTTCGAGACTTCATCTGAGAATACATATTCGTAACACAAACGATTTGTAACACATTATTCTTACCAAGGAAGCTGATCTCATTCTCGTTTGTGTTAAAAAAAAGTATAACGTAATCAAGATTACTCGACACTTTGTGTAAATAGTATATCTTGACTGCTATTATAGTGCAATCTCGCTAATATGGTCCTGCAAGGGATCAAGGAGTGAATAAATGTGAAATGAGCCACGTAGAATGGAGCTCCTTCCACTGCCGATAACTATTCATATTCCGTGCAATTTTTGTAAAGAATGTATACAGTAAATGCCCATTGTGAATGCACCGGAATTGCCGAAATTAAATAAGAAAATCTGATATAACTTACAAATTTTCAAATTGTAAGATTTAGATAATTTTCTCAATTAAAACTGTTGAGTTTTCGAGATTCGAGATGATACGCACATCCTTGACGCTAACGTGCAAGGTAACTCGCTTAGTGGGCCAAATAGCGAGACTTCACTGTATGTTATTTAATTACTATGTAACGTGGAATTTTCGATTCCATCATTTTTCTTGCGGTAAATATCTTTCTTATTATTTTTTTTTTAACTTAGCGAACACATTTAACATATTATTTTTCAGGTTTTAATCAAACAAAACAGCACAACCTGAAGTCAGTGTATCTTTGAAAGAGAAGTATGAATTTAAAAGTACCCTTCAGATTTTTAACTTTCTCTTCTTCTTTATTCGATACGATCGAGAAGAAATTTTATCGTGATTTGAAAGTAGAATTAAGAAAATTTTATCAAAATAAAATGATTAAACTAATCATTGTTCAATAAACTGATTAAAAATATACCAATTAAAATTTATACGAACAATCCTAATATTAGCATTAATTGCTTTAAGTTTTAATAGCAACACTAAAGTTAATTCAAGAATTAGAATGTTTAGTACATAAAAAATGGCAGTTAAAAAATGACAGTTTCCAAACGTAAGATTATTCTCTTCGATCGTTAGATAATAGCACGTATAATTAAGCTACTTTTACGTGATATCATTGAATATAATAAGCTACGAATATAAATGTATTATACGGCCTGTTACCCTTAATGCATAAATAGTAGTTAGATGCGCGACTTTTAAAAATATTTTGATATCTATTACTGCAATAGCTTTATAAAAAAAATTCTTTTTTTTTTACCCTCCCATTTCAGAGAACGAAACGAGATTTCGTTATGTATAAATAATCTTCTTTCAAGCGTATTATTGATCCATGAACTTCGATTAGAAAAAATTTCTCTAAAAAATACTATTATTTTCGACAATGCATGAATTTAAAAAATTCATACAAGGTGTCGCGCAACTAAGATTAAAGATTACAAGATGAACTTCAATTCGGAAAAATATTAACGCTAATACACTTTTATCCGATTAAATTTTGTTTCTTCTATATGTAGGAGAAACTAAAATATCGCTATATATCTATATTTATGTGTGTACTAAAATTAATGATACACGATTGGCATCGATCTATGAATTACCGAGCTCTGGCTGCAAAGAACACTTGAATATTTAGGCACTTAATTTAAACGTTTGTCAAACCTGAGAATTCATCCACGCTGTACTTTTTACGATATACTTTAAGAAAAAACTTATTTTTTCACATTAGAAACTAAAGGTTCTTTTTTATAATGGTAATTCAAAGATCGATTTACATGATTTAGAGGTATCTCTGAAAATTGTATTTTTTTAACAAAAATTAATGTGCTAATAGATGTACTAATCAACAAATGAAACAGGCATATGGTGCACCCCTGGTTTTATTTTTTACTTATCTTTTCTCCTAGTTTGAACAATAACAATGTACTTTGTATCACAGTATTATATTAGTAGTGTATTTAGTATTTGTCGTATTTACTTTGGATATGGCAAATATGAAATATAACAGTAAAATTATACTAATGTAAGTCTATATTCTTTGGGGCTAAATGCATATCACAGTGGGAAAATTTTCAACGTTCTAGTTTTTTTTTCTCTTTTTTTTTTAACTTTAATTCAAACTTCCAGGAGTGCACCAATCCTAAAAGTGTATTACCTTAAAATTACATTATAACTAAATGTCTCCATAGAGATTTTACAGACACCTTTATTGTTAATAGGCATCTTTTACTATTAGTTTAAAATGACCCCATAGGCTGTTTTAGATACTCATTTCGTATCTAATATGCAGTCTTATCCTAATTTCTTTTCAGCTGCGCAACGGATTTTATAAAATGGAAAACTATATATCAGTAAACGTATACCTGTTGGTAAATGATATAAAGTGGTCCAAGTCATTTGAAATGTCTTCGTTTACCTAATTAAATGGTCGATCACAGATGTATCACATTCATTTACTTGTCAATTATTAATTCATTTATCAGTGTATCATCCGTTGTAAATAAATATTTACAGAGTTCAGTGGACCACTCTCGAAACGTAAATAAAATTATATCAAAAGTTACACAGCTCATCCTAAATGCTAAAAACATGCAGTAAATATTTAATAATATTGAGATATTAGTATTAATATGAGATAATTATAATGTTAAGAATTAGAGAAATAATTAACGTCATGTGCCGAACCATTCTTTCCTTCATCACACCAAACTTAAATAAAAGCAAAACGTATATAATTTCTTACAAATATGGCTTTGTACTAAACTAAAATATATAATGTCAATCGGTAGTTTTGAGAATATTAATACAAAACTGTAAAGAAAAATCTTTTCCAATTAAATTTTTTCGGCACTGTTTTAAAACAAATTTCATTTTTGACATTTTTTAAAAATATTAGTATCTTTTTTCTTTGAATACTTGCGTCATATTATTTCATAATCATCTTTTCTTGTTTTAATAGCTGAACAGTAAACTTTTTATGTTGATAGTAACTGTATCTCTAATTTTAAAGTACTTTGAAGAACTTGTTATTTAACTATTGCATGCTTTGACTACTTCATAAGTATCAGACTAGTAGCATTTATGAATTATTGGAAACTATTTAGTATGAGTCTGATCGTAATAATTTAAATATTTTGACGTATTCCTTAATTGACAATGTCTTAAAAATCATGTAGCATAATTAGTTAGTACTCCTTGCCAAAGAAACAACTGTTTTGTGTACAGTAATTAAAAGAGAGATTTTGCAAATGCCTGTATAATTATAGGGACTGTAGCATCAAAACCATTAATTGTCAAAATATTTTTGTCAATTTTCTTCTTACGATACGTCGATGAAGAACATACAGCACAATTTATTAACCTAAGAATTAATAAATAAAAAAATTATTATGTTGTTTCGTATTTATTAAATTATTTAAAAATACTTACTTTGCATTTGGAAGTTTAACTTTAGTTCTGTATGCCTGTAGAGCTTCTTCAGAAGTATCAGTTTTTTCGAATATTTGATCAACGACGTTAATAAATACGTCATATTTATTATTTTGATAAGCGGCCCACGCCATTGGTTTACCCAAATTTACATTTCCAACAGGCATATGTTGCAGTCTCCTCATAGCCTGACGGAAGGAAGCAGTTTTATCGATATTTACAGTATGAACTCCAACATGTTTAAACGTTGCTATGGTGACATTCTTCTCGCTACGAAGAAGTGCAAGTGCTATCATGCATCCTGCTTCGGCACCATTTACATTTCCGCTACGCCAAGCATGCGTTTCCAACATCACTTTGTTCATATTAATTGTTACCATGTAACGTAGACCAGTTGGTTGAATATGCTATACAAAAAATAGATTAAATAGGATATGAGTCAGAAAGTTTAGAGTGTAAAAGTATATGTACTTACACAAAATGAAAGATTTAACAGTTTATAGAGAGCAGCAATGATTTTAGAATTCGGTTTAGGTGGAGATGGCAAAGGTTTTTCAAACTGTTCTCTGATTTTTCTTTTTTCGTATGTTAGTGGCCTTGAAAAAGCAATATATATAAGTTTTAGAAATTATAACGAATAAAGTTTTAAAGTAAACTTTATTAATTTTTAACTCCTGATACCTACTTCCCAGAGTTTTCATAATTCCTTACAGTAACTAATACTAATGCTGGATGAACTTTACTTTGGGCAATCTTCTCTTCATTAATAAGTTGTTCTGTTATTTTTGAAATTGTTGGTGAGTCTGGTTTTAATAATTCAAGATTATGTATTCTCTGCAGATTAGTCAAAAGTGTGTGCAAATCCATTGATGGTATTAATGCATTCCAAATCTACAAATGATGTGTAATTATAAATTATGGGTCCAAAATATAATGGACAATTTTTGTTATCTATATTACTTACTTCTTTAGACTTCAACAAATGTCCAGGTACATGATCTAAAGTCAATTTGTACGTTTCTAAAAGACCTGCAGCCCGAACTTCGTCCGTGCAATGTTTAAAATCTTCAACATGTTTAATATATTCTATTATTTCTGTCAATTCTATGTCTTCTTCAGATGATTTATTAATTTCTTCCAAACCACGTATTATGTATTTAAAAACAATTTCTTCACCTATATAATAATATATTATTTAACTTATATGATTAGTTATTTACTTAATAATTGTATTTTAATAAAATAAATACCAGGATTTTTGGACACAGGATGTGATAGTTTTATAATATCTTTATGTTTCCAACCATATCTGCCTTTATATCTCGTAACACACCTTGCCAATTCCATTGGAGTCTTTGACAGATACCAATTATTTACAGCTTTCCTTAAACCCTGACCCCACCCATGCTTTGAACTACTGGTAGCATCAAGTTCTTTTTGTTTACTTATTTGGGATGCAAATTTTATAAACAAAATAAAATGTTGTGGCAATACACAAATTTTGTTTAAAGCTACATAAGCTGCATGACGTAAACTTTCACTTTTCATTTGCCTACAGCAAACAGCAAGAGCAAATACTAGTGTTTCTGGATTTGGAACTAGATTACTTTCAAATGCCTATAAACAAATACATTCTTAAAATCATGAATTAATTGTACATGTCTTTATTAATCATTATAAAGCTTTACCTTTGTAATAATTTCAACTGGCAACAGTTGTTTCTCTATGTTTTCTGCAAGTTCTTCTATACATGGAACATTTTTAGCTAAAAAGTAATTATGGACAAACCAGTTTCCAGGTTGATAATCAGGATATTCTTTCCCAACATAAAGAAATTGTGATAAACGTATTTCAGGATCATTTGGATCCAAGTCTACAGCCATTTCTTAGCACACAGTACTGTAAAATATAAATTATAAATTTATAAACATATATATAAATTATTTATATATTTATTATTTTTCAACAATAAAATAAAGTATTAATGTAACTCTCTATAAAAATAAATATAAAATCTAAACTTTAGGCACCGTATAAAACAACATAGTAACAGGTATCATTGGATGACCCGATAAGGTAATACGAAAATACGGTATATGCCATTATAATAGCACACGGTCAACTTCGTGCACCGTACAATTAATATGGTCTTTGGTTATATGAACCTTCATTATTGAATAATACAGCCATCATTATGGATATCTTGATCCTTATTACCTTGTGTTAATTGAAAGAGCAATAACTTGAAACACAACCATACAGAAGGACGTTTTGTGACGTACAGAGACGTACTAAGCGTACTTGGACGTATCACTGGCCAGTACCGACAGAACAAGTTAGAGGATCTGTGATCTGTGTAGAACTTGGGTCAAGTATAAAACATAAAAGCTCATTGACCCTAGTGAGTTACAAATGCTCAAATAATGAATTTTTTATTCGACTAAAAGTAAAGTTTACTTTTTCTTTGAATTCTTTCTCAAATTTATTTTCTTTTCTTTTAGAAACTGATAGGTTTTCAAATATTTTCAAATAATTTTTTATCGTACAGAGCCACCTTACAGGGAGCAATGGTGAACGTTCCCAAATATATAGTGAATTTTTTAATAGATTATTACCAAATTTTCCATCATAACTTTATATATAATAGGATAGTAAAAATAGCGGCTGTAAAAAGCATTTATTTTTATTTACTAGCTGTTAATTTGTCTTTTTCGCTTGCGTTTAGGTTTCACAAAAATTAGCGATAAAAGGTAAATGAATAGGGATCTAATGAAGTTGTCGCGTAGTACGAATTCAACATTGGTATTAGTGTCATGAAATCTTCCCTAGTGGAACTTTCAAAAAAGTAATGTCAGTATAACGGCCATCATGACAGAGTGGTTGCAGTCAAGAATTGTTCGTCTTAGCGAATTACAAGATGTTGAAGAAAAGAAAAACATTTTGTCAGAAATTAAAATTAAATTGGGAAATCTAGGCAACAGAGAAGTTGAACAGATTTCTCGTAACGTAGATTTCGGTCAATTGTTTACCCAGTTAACCTCGAATGACAGGTACCGTGTTGGAACTCAGTTTTGAAATAAATTCAATATCTATTCAATTTTGATATAATCAGCTTTGACAGCAGTTAGATTGTTTTTGAAGAGTATTATACAAGTAAGTATCACAAAATAAATATTCACCATTCCTTTTTTTATAGGGAAGTTATACATGAAGTGTGTGAAGTTTTGAAGATATTGTTTACTATCACAGAACCTGGGGAAGTATATCAAAGATATTCAGCAGAAGTATCTCAGTTATTAAATCATCCAGATGCTATAGTTAGATCACTTGTTTTGCATGAAATTTTATGCATTGCTTCTAATCCACAGAAGATATCGTTATTACTCTCAGATATCAGCTTACTAGTGACTGTTATAAATAAAATTGCAGATGATGATTTAATGGTAGCTAAGTGTGCAATGTGCATAATGAAAGAAATTGGCAAACATTCAAATGGATTACAGGTTTTATATACAGGTGAATTATTAAGAAGTTTTGCTAGATTATTGGTAAAGAACGACATCATTACTTTTCGTATATACGAAGTGGTTGTGGATGTTGCAAAATCTTCAAAGGAAGGTTTAGAAGCTTCTGCTCGATCAGGATTTTTGAATAGTTTGTTTGATATCCTTGAAAGTGAAGATATATTGCTTCAAGTAAATGCATTAGAAATTTTGACACAATTGGCATTAACGGAAGAAGGGTTATGTTATTTAGAACAGCAAGATGTATTGAGAAAATTGGTTCAAAAAATAGCACAAGCTAATGAAAACCCATTATCAAATTTATTGATTCCTGGTTTAATGAAATTTTTTGGCAATGTTGCTTGTCATTGGCCCAATGAAATTTTTTCAAAATATCCAATTGTAATTTCTGCATTGTTCGAAGTAATAGAAAGCGGAGATCAAACTATTCTTGGTGTTGCATTAGATACATTAGGACATATATCTACAAGTGTTGAAGGTAAATATACCTTGCAAGCTTTAGGAGATGCATTGCCATGTACATTAAAAAAAATTGCTGAGGTAATACAGAGAATGCCTACAGAGCTAAGAATTCGTGGGCTTAACAATTTGGCACTTATACTTGATGTACCAAAGGCAGAACAGGATAACAGAATTTTGTCATTAACAAAATCATGGTTTGACGCATTATGCAGTGACCCAATGGGTATGATTGTAGGAATATGTAGACAACCATTTGCAGATATTAGGCAAGCAGGTTTAGAAGTGTTAGTGGTTCTAGCATCTCAAGTATGGGGTCAAGAATACATATCTTCATGTCCCGGTCTTGTAGAATTTTTATTGGATAGGAACATTGAAACTTTCAAAGAATGTAAGGAAGTCAAATACGAAGTTGTAAAGCAACTAGCTCAAGCTGAACAAAATATTTTCGATGCAAGTATAATGCAAAAATTTACGGAGTTTATAAGTCAAGGACCCCACTATGTAGACATTGGTACAGAAGTTGCAGTAGAAGGTGGCCTTTAAAATGTTATTTTTATTTTTGTTACGTTATATTAAAGAATTTAAGATATTAATAACTGACAACTACTTTAAGCATTGTGTAAAACACAAAGTAACTTAAGCTAGATTCTAAACAAACAGTATGCTACTATTTATTTTCTATACAATTTATGTGAAAATAAAGTGCATTGGTATATAAACAAAGAAACAATTTTTTTTCCTGTAGGATGAAGGAGACAGATATACAAAGACAAATAATTTATTTCATAAGTAATAGTACATATTAAAATTAAGGCTATGAATTTGCAATAATGCAAAAGATGCGTGTGACTTACATCGTGTTTGTAATGTGTCAATGTTTTCTCACTGGTTTATACTGTTTTTACATTAATTACGTACAATAAAGACGTATAAATACTTTTACGAGACATGTTTTATGCAACAATTGCACCGATGCCTCATTGTATGCACTTCCGCTTTTTTGGAGACAGTATTTTTAGCATGCTCACAATAGGAGCCTCGAAGGATACCGAGATGATGAATGACAATAAGTATGACAAAACGAGTTGCCCAAAGAAAGTAATCATCTGAAAATGATATCATTAAATCAGTTCAGCAATGATGGATTAATTAACCTTCTCATGTAATCATTACCATAGTATAGTTTCCTAAATGAAACGGTGAATCCAAATTCATAGCTGTTAATCGAATTACAAGAGGATGCACCAAATAGGCACAGTATGTTATCCTGCTAACTGGATACAGAATCGGTGCTGATAGAATATTGTTCACGTATCCTATAAATGTTTAAAGGAAACATTTTTAAATTAAAAATATCTTTACGATAAATAAATATTAACATGCGCATGAATGTTTACCTCCATAGCCTGTGCTACATGCGACAACGATCCACGATAAACCCAGTGCCCAGATGCTGTGACTTAACGAGGAATAAGCGGCTGCCATTATAGGAGTAAGTTCTGTCTCGTACAGACCGTATAATAAACTCAAAAGGCACGCCGAAGAGAGGAGCCAGCCCACGACGACTGTCGTCTGCAAAGTTACAACACGTGTTCAAGTTTTCATACGAATTCGAGAAAACAATGCTTGACTTACTTTGGACATTTTCACTTTGCAATCAGTCTTAAAAAGGAAGTATCCGATCGACATGCCTATGAGGTAAGGACCTAGTCTGGTCCATGGTTTGTCATAGATTTTATCGAATAAAGCCAACGGATCATCCGAGCTAGGCATATGATTGTTCACCAGAGCAATGTAACCTGTCGTTAACCAGGAACTGAGTAACAAGGTGGTCATCGCGAAGGTTGCGATCTTGAAGTGGTTGGTAGCTAGGATTAGTATTACAGCACCGACTGTATAGAATTGCGTGTCATCCGCAACATACCAGCTCCAAATCATACACTGGAAAATAAGAATCCATTAACGGAGTCTATATGTTCAATCACTATTTGATAATTATGTAGAATAGAGTTGATCTTGCCGATTTCATTCACCTTGATACATGTTATGTAAAGTATGAAGAGGAAGCAAAGAGGGAGTGAAATAACTATTAGTAACTAGCTGACTTACCATTTGGTCGACTGGGAACAATGTATTGATGTAAAGCAGATTTCTCCACCAATAATTGGGACAATTATAATGATCAGCTGTTGGTGGCTCAAACACAGAGTTGGAATAAAACCATTTCATAGCGATCTGTACAACGCCAAGAACAAACATGTAGGGAGCTGTGAGTCTACAGAATCGGTACATAATAAGTCCGATGAACTTAAGACCTCCAGCTATGAAACCCCGTGTACCCTGTGTCAATTTGTTCAAGTCTCCTTTCGCGTTTGTTCGAAAATACAAAAAGCTAACGAGCAAACCACCCATAAAGAAGAACGTATCGACGCTGAATGCTCCGTTGGTAATCGTTTGGAAAAGGAACTTTCTTTCCACGACTTTTCGATACTCCATATTGTCGGAATACTTGAAGGCGGTGATGCAGGTGTGACCGAGGATAACCCAGGCCATCGATATCGCTTTCAAACCGTGGATGGTGCTAATCGTGTCACCGCCAACTTTATCGTCGCAGATGATTTTCACATTGGCGCGAACCGAGAACGAAAGTAGGAGTTCCTCGAAGACACCTATGAACAAAATAACCTCAGTTACATTTCTTCCTTCGTTTCCTATTCATTCGTTTATCAGGTATGAGAAATTTAGAAGATCTAAATATTGAACTTTCTAGATATTTACTATGCGCTGCTGAAAACACGAATAGTTCTAAAGTAACTTCACCTTTTTCTAAACTGACAGGACTTACTTTGAAGCCGAATATATCTCTGATACAGGACAAGAAGTCTGGTACTACTTGTTTTATCTAACTCTGGGAGAGTCGAGGGAGAGCATAGCGAGTGCCTTATTTGTAAAGATTTGTGGATTCCAATAACGCATAGTAATACCATCAAGAATAAAGTTTTACTTACTGAACTTGTGCACTTCCGGACTCGCCGATCGTAGACTACCTTCGTGATCGTTGTTGTTATTAACCGGTAACGGCTGAGATCCGTTGATGATAGCTTCTGCCGCTGGAACAGGAAGGTAGACCTTACCTTGAAAAGCTACGGAATATAATAATAAAAGTGTGTCACTGTATGTGCTACTGTCCTTGTACTGTGCTAGTCTGCAAGCGTTAGTATACCCTTATTCGTTCTCCAGCGAAGGAGGGGTATCAAATACATAAATAATAATAGCACATTGCACCGAAAGGAGGAGCGTTACAGGAAGGACACACCAAGCAAGATGAACAGGAAAAGATTGTCGTCTTACCACTCAATGGTTTTTGATTTCTAACAGCGAGCTGTTCTAATTTTGCATGCCTTTCCAAATCGTAAATCACGTTTCTACCACGAGTATATTTTCTCGTTATATAAAGATCGTATCCCGTCCCGACCGCCATCAGGAAAAGAACCATAGCACTCACACCGCTAGAACAAATTTACGACGTTCATTTCTAGTTAATCCATAGACGCGGTTTCCACATTTTATATGGTACTTGGGCGAGGTTTGATTAAACGTACGATAAGATCCAGAATACTGGGTCCTCGTACATGTTGTACATGTCGTGTTGATCTCGGATCTTCTCGATAGTCGAGTGTTTCGCTGCTAGTTCGCTCGCGGCCAATTTTGCTATCACGGAAACGTCGGAAGCGGTGCATGAAAAAGGTAGACAGACTCCGAGGTAGATTGTTCTTGTCTGCGAATCAAAATTATGACGTTACTTTCCACATTTCACTGTTTTCCATCTACGGAGGATACTAGCGTAAGTAGGTACGGACTCGGACAGTATGGATCGACACATGTAGGACATGTTAAAATATTTACCATAGAAGACAGAGATGCGTTCACGGAAATGGTCATCATATAAAATCCTAATTTATAAGGTGGTTTGTCCGATTTAATTTCGGTCCAGAGATTATTTCCGCTGAGCCCATCGTTTCTTTTTCGCGGTTCCGAATTAAATTCCTCCACTTCTTCCATCTCCGAATCTCGATGGCTGTGCGATATCTTTCTGCCATAGTCTTCGTTGATGTAAGTGCACTCGGTCGACGAACCAACATAGTAAGAGTTTCCCCAGAAGAAACCGTTGGTGTATCTACCCGAAGCGTCGTCCACTGCAAATGAAAATCGGTAAAATCGTTTTGGAACGGATCAGATTCTAGGAAACCGGTCGAATGACTTAGCTATAACCCATGACCCACTTTATCAGCCAAAACGCTTTCCCTTCGCTCGATGAGTTATTTCTTGTTCGAATAAGATTAAGAATTTTTATATCCGTACGAGCTGCCGCATAAATGTCTACTTGGAATTTTGCCGGGGAATTCGAATATACGATACTTCCTGAAAGTTTACATACGATTCGTTTCTGTCTTTTACAATAAACTGAAGCGTCATGGTTGTCGCATACGATATTTGTCACGTAATAGAGATTACGTTCTGTGTAACCTAACAGCGAATGTCGTAAACGGAATATTAGAAACGGTGATTCGCAAACGTCGATGTTAATACATAATTTTCATTACCAATGGATTACAACATCTATCTACAATCCAGCAGTTCTCTAATAACACTTTCTATTCGAGAAGAAAGTAATATTATCTAATCGTCATCGTGGTAACGCTCAGACTATGTTCACAGACCGTATGCACCTATTTGTGCAGTAAAATACGTACCCTAGTCATGGAATCGTTACATCAACGATAAATTTGCAGTTACACGATAAATTACGGTGTCGTCCTTTTATGCGGAAACACACTGATCGATAACGATTTCCTTTCTAAAATATTTTGCAATTCATTCCTGTCGATTAAGCAATTTTCCAGTATGCAGGTATCTGTTGTTCTTGTAGTCTGCGTAATTTAGAAGGGTGCTGAATTTACGAAATCTAAAAATATGAGGATCTAAAAATATATCAGTTCAATTATGTAAGAATCCAGAAGAGGACACCGGGATTTAAGTATACAGAGACAGGGGTGCTTTCGTTCGATTCTAAAGTTCTTGACCCCACATTGTTGTATTTTGGTTCAGTTCACCAACTTCTAGGCGTATTACCTAATCACGGTGCTACTAGGATTCTTATTATCGATTCTATTCGCAAAGAAGCGTGCACGCGTAGAAATTAGAATAACAATGGATTTTACGAACGTGCCCACGATCTCTGGCACAATAAAATCCATTGAACAGCCAAAGTCAAGTTCAATGTTCGCACGTGATTCACCTCATTTCCCCGTTGATCGTATTTAAATTCAAATCGATTTTTTCTTTTTGACGAGCAATAACTTTTCACAGAGTATTCGTCGCCTATTTTCAGCGAAAGGCTTCACAGATTTATCTTTCGTAAACTTTTATAAAAGCGTCAAGTGTTAAAGTCTGCGATCATAATTTATTTATTCGAGGTGATCGCGCATGTAGTGGCATGGCATTGGACAAGACATATTTACGCGATTAAAAAGGGTTTTACAAAGTAAAAAGGACAAGAAATGGCATAGTGCAAGGAGAACGACCGGTTTGCAAGAAGGTCTGTTGCTTAAAGCATTACTGTTCATGGTCGAGGTTTGTTCCTCAAAGTTCAAGGGCTATTGCAATAAGTGTTGCTGAAAAAAAACACTTAGTCTCAGTTCGCTGCATCCGCTCTTTGTCCATTGCAACAACGAAATTGCATTGTGCATTCCAACTAAAGAATGGAAATTGTGTTAGTTGAAAGAACGAAATCGTATACGGCGGCACACGCGATTCTCTTAATCCTTCGTTAAAATTCTTACCGTATTTTCCACTCAGTTTGAAATTACTGACCCGTGTATCGTCTATTTACTGGATGGATCCTTGCTGTAAAATCGGCGCCAAAGATCATAAATAATTTCATTGTAATCGAATTGCTCGAAAATTTGATACACGATGTCTATTGTAATTTAAATAACAAATTGCAGGTCGAAGAAACCTGATGTCTAAGTGCAAATTTGGCATAAATCGTAAAGTAAGTTCGAGGCCAGTTTTACGATCAGTTTCAAACTGCCAATTATCTGCAGTCAGCAAAGTACGACTTCAATTACTGTCGACCACTGACCGTGATAATATGACTTATTACTTTTCCCAGACCCATCAAAACGTGTCGGATATCACGTTCTGGACGACTGGTCAGGGAAAGTAATTTGGAAAGAGAAAGGCTCTTCTTTACATAGTTGATCGTGTTGCAATATTAATGTGCCTCTGAGCGGACGTGCTTGAGTTTAAAAAAGAAAAAACCCATTCCAAGCACGTGGATGATTCGCTGATTCGTAAACAAATATAACATTCTTGCTTAAATAGACAGCGTTCATACGAGAACGTTCCGTACCAAATTAAGCGATTTTATTTAGCAACGCATTGCTTCGAGACATTTTTTAATCGCGTTCACGAACGTGACCAGACGGCATGGCCGAAAGTCTACGCAGACGGCGACATAAAGGATGCACTTTAGTTGCATCACGGTAGCGATTACGCGAGCTTCGGAATAAAATTATAACGCGTCCAACCTTTTCCGATGTACGTACGTGCAGAAAGTGAAACGCACGAGTCACGCCTAATACATACTTTGGCGGTGTCGCGCCAATGGTTGCGAAAATTTGTACATTTCAAAGGTGTCCCATAATCGGTCTTGTTGCGTTTGCTTGCACTTTATAATGCTCGGTCGATTTGGCAAGTGAAACTGATCGTACCTTGATCCAGATGCTTTTGGAATTCACTTTCAATAATTACTATTCGTTTCAATTCGAATAACTTTTATGATTTAGCTTGAATTTGAAAGTAACAGGTCCTTCCTCGAGCAACGGGAAATAAGCAGAAGAGAATCGCGCTAATACGAAAAGATGTTAAATCAAGTACAAACAGAGATATCGCGATTAACAGAGGTGTGTTAAGCAAGTTATTGTGGTATCTCTCTGTACATATAACTTTCAAATTTAGTACGTGAGCGGAAGAAAATTTAGGAACAAAAGATGTCGACTCTTCTAAACTGCAAAAGCGGAATTAAATATCTTTTTCCAGTATTTTCACCGGTATTTACCGTTCGTTTTCCTCCGACTTAATTGAGTGTCTTAGCATACGAAACAAACAGGTCGGAATGTATTTGAGCTATTGCACAACTCGTACGCTCTGGCACTGGCACTTTCTACTCTTCTACTCTTTTAATGAGCGATGTGGTGTCGATCGAAAATTACTTCGACCGAACTTTTGGTCTCGATAAAACGACAAACGATTTTAAGAAAGTTTCGAGAAGGCAAACGGGACAATAAACGTTGCGGTCGGTTAGACAAGTTCTATTTGCGTTTGCAAGTTTGTCTAGGAGAGAAACCTGTTTAGGTGGGTGCACGTAGAAAGTACATAAATGAATATGTTTATCTTATATAATCAAACAGGTCGAAACATTAAAGTCTAACAAATGTTAGAGCCCGCTATCGTTTCTGCATAAGCTCTATTTGTTAATGCGAACGGTATTCAAGGATATTCTGAATAATAAATTATGTATTTGGTATCATTGTTTTCCTTCTGAAAATCGCACGACGCTAATTGGTATGAAAATCTACTTTACAAAATTTTTTAACTCTTTTCTCATGTAAACGATGTCAAGAGAATCAGGTATATTGTGATTAAAATCTTCAGATTTACTGGTAAGAAAGAAAAAACGATTGCATTGTTGCTGTTATTTATGCAAAATCATTCAACATTTTTTCTCGTCTAATTTATTCCAGAACACGTACAAGCGGTATTCGTAATCTCCTTTTTTTACGTTGCCATGTCGTTATTTTCAGAAAAATTTGTAGATTTATCATTAGAAAAAGCGGGAATAAGATATCAACACCGACATTTAATATATAAGTATTACATAAAATTTGGGGTGCCATTTTCTAATAATTGCCATGACAATCAATTGCTAAAAAATGTTGAGTTTAGAATGAAAGAATGTTACAGCTGCACCAGGTGCTAGTAATTAACATACGTAATCTAAACGCGGCTGTTGCATACAACCTGGAATATTTTAGTAGGCGTTGTGTATGTGGAACGGAGTTCCATAAAGATATTAAATGTATCGTGATCACAAACTAGGAAGCTGCTAAGTAAACGAGACTAACCGTTACATCACGTTTATGAAAACGAAAGAAAGAGAATAAAATGAAGCGAAAAGAAACACATATTATTCAAGAAAAGTCCGGTTACGTGAAAGTTGCGCGTTTGCAAGCCCGGCTTCCACGTAATCCTTTCTCCGGACGGTTTTTTTTTATTCTGCGTGACGTAATTTCGATAATTGCCGCAGTTTCTACTTCGACTCATGTTCCTTTGCAGAAGTCTTCCTTAAACTTTCTAACGTTACCCTAGCGCGAATCGTAGGAAGGTTCGTGCAAATCGAACTTATTGATCATAGTTCATTCGGTGCAAACTTTTTCTGCGGTTCAAGATAGGTTCCTAAAATAAATCTTATGGTTTACGACTTAGATGAGTTATTGTCATCTTAGTTTTACTTTAATTTTAATGCTATTTTAACTTATAAACGTATGTATTACGTATACGCGCAAAGAAGAGAAGCGTAAGAAAGTTACTGAGTCACTCGGGGAACAGAGCGTCGAAAGTCCAAGTACCGTAAATCGCCGACCTTCCGGGCGCATCTTTCATATCCACAGATCTAGATTAAGATACTATCCGGTGAGAGTACTGTCCTAGTTGCACTAACAAATAAATTCCTTTTGATAATTAATGAAGCGAATAAGCTTCCAGCGTTTACATAGAATTATGCAAAATATCCCTAGAATTAAATGCGTTTTACATCTATCGCAATATGTAAGTGAAGAACGTCACTGGATATACGAGACTCACGCAACATCTAAGAATAGAACATATTTTCTTTGTGACATCTTTGACAATCATTTTCGAAAATCGAGGTTGATACAGGTGAAAGGGTTAAGTATGTCAAGGTTGTCCCTTAGATCGTGCACGTTGAGAATAACTCGTTGGAGAACACAAAAAAGAGAGAATGATTAATTAGATCGTGGATGGATAACTTCCATGGCATGGTAATGTATGTATATTTTGAAATTAATTATGCAACAGACACGATAGCGATCGTTTTCAGGAGAAAAAGCAGATCATAAAAATTTATGATCCGAATTTTGCGTCTAAAATCGCTTTGAACTTGGGACGGTATAATCGAGTAGAAAGTTTGTCGTACTTCTGTTGTTGGCTATGTTAGTCTCATTACAACTTCTCACAAGTTCCTGTTATTGTGCGACGTTTATTGTTTCCGGTTAGAATTTTCAAGAGGAAAAGCCCGACGGTACAAAATTTCTTCGCTTTCTCCTTTCGCGGAGACCCCTGCTCATCGTAGGAAACATTGGCGTAACTAGAATTTTTATTCGAGGTACTCCAGTTCTATTAATGTCACCGCCCAAAAATTAACACCATCAAGCGATTTGTGGAAATTATAGAATTTGGATATTGTCAAATTTGGGTACTTGAGATTCGGAAAGTTAGAAGTTCGGGAATTTGGGTATTTAGGAATTTGAGAATTAAGGAACGTGAACATTCATGACTTTAAGATTTTAGAAATTTGTAGCTTTCGTTCTCCAACACTCGCGCTACGCAGGATGAGCCCTAGTCTGAAATGTAGGTCCACCCTGGTCTCCACATATTTACGGCAATAGTAGGAAGCTTAACTTTGTATAATTGCAGAGGGAAAAGGTGAAAGGTACGTCGTCAGTAGGAAACATTAGGAGCATTACCGTTATGACATTTCAAATGACTTTCATAGCGACGACCATTAATGGTGGCAAGCATTCTCTGTTTAACTTTCGATCGTGCTTAACCTAGATCGACGCTTCCGGTTTATTGTTCACTTTCTGAATATCCTCATTCTACGCCTATCGATCCTGAAGCAAGGCATGGAAACAATAATCGGAGGACAAAGTTTCCCAAGCATTAAGCGGACACGTCAGTCTAGATATTATCGCGGATGTTAATGAGACTAATTAAAACGTAACGCTTTGTTTGATTATTTCGTTACCTCGGGTATAAAGAGCGGCAAAGGACTTTCATAAACAAGAAAAAGGTGGAACAAGAACGTTGCGAAAAGTGGCATTGACCGAGGTGGAAATAAGCGAAACATTGAAAGCGAGATTCGTCGTTGAGGCGAGCTCGAGCGATCGTGTAAGTCGCTGGTTGCTCTTCGTGTGGCGAAAAGTGAAATTTCACGATGAAAGTAGGCAAACCGGGAGGAGGAACTGCCTGCTGGCTGGCAGATGTCTATTCGAGGACATTTCTGGCAAAACGACTCGTGACCTATCAAACTCTCGATTTCCTTCCTCATGAAAGTGAATTAATTGATTCAACTCATTTTTTGTTGATCTATCAAAACAGATATATTGAATATGAATGAGTAACAGATCTTTATGCATCTTCTTGAGCGTTTATTTTTAAGAGATTCGGTTAATGTATCTCGTCTCCGGTTTCTACTCTTTTACATTTTTTATAGAAATTTCGAAACATTCTTGAAGGTCAGCTTGAAGATGTAAAAGTGACAAATTGGAGAAATGTTATTATGTAAGTTAAACGATATAAACATTATTGGACTTTAGCAATGTTACTCAAGTTGCAATATTATTTTGATAATAACTCGTTGATTATAATGTTCAATGGAATGATAAATTTTCAAAGGCCTCCTCGCCATGATACGTAAGTAGGCAAATACTGTTAATAAGTCTAAGGAAATGCCCCTCTGATAAAAATCCTGGTTGTACTAATGACGTTACTTCAAGTATAACGTGAACGCGTTGTTCAAGGACTAACGATTAAACTTTTTGTCTTATATTCATATTCAATTCAACTAACACGAGTAATTCGAACGGACTCGTACACTTTCTATTTGCAAAATAAATTTTTACTCTGTACTGAGAAGTACAGTCAAGTGAAAATCTCATTTTTCTACGGAAAAGATGGCAACCTAAGATAAGAGGAGACTCTTACACTCTTCTTCCTGATTTTGAAAGAATTTTCAGGATTCGGAAATGTAAGAGTTAGTTAAAAATTTAGGGGTATTTAAAAATTTGGCAGTGCGAAGAAATGGTAATTAAAAAATTGTCAAGTTTACATATGAATCCTCATCTTGCGTTTCATCCGAGTGTACCGTTACATTTACGTGTACGTACAAAGAAGAGAAAAAATGATGTTTACATAAGGCTACTCCCGAATAATCGATCGTTAAATATTTACAGAAATTCTTCCTACTAAAACCATGATTTATACCGTAAACTTTCGGCGTACCTTTCAGTGCCCATCCTTCGTTTCTTCTCAGTCCATCGATGTATCGTGTAACGTGTTTGGCGCATTGCTTATCGACAGGATATTTTCCTTCGGTCCAGTTACTAGCAAGATGATGTACGTTAAAAATGTCCAGTACCTCCGACAAGGTAGTCCAGCTTTCATTGAAAGTCGTGTCGACAACACTGTCCGCCGAAGTTCGTGATCGGTGGCTCGGAAGAAGTTCTTGGACGGGATTCTCCGAGACGTTCGAGGACGATTTAGCCCCGTGAATCGCGAGGCACAACAAAACGAAACACCACGATCGACTCATCGTGCTCGAGCAAAAATCGAAAGATTCCGATCAATCCCGACTGATCATGATCAAAAATAGATCTATTTTATGCACTCTTGAACTCTTCACGGAGCGAAGTCTTCTGGACTACTCGTCCTCTGATGTCAATTTAAATATCACAGTCAAAAAGTAATACGAATCACAGGTAGCCCCTCTTTAAACTTCTAACGGAATACAAATCTTTCACTGATCGAGGTTGTCACGAATCGAAAAAAAAAAAATGAAACGAAATCTTGATCAGCTTCTTCCAGTCACGTAAATCTCTGCAGTCGCATCTCCGAGTTCTTCCAGGGTATTTGTACACGGACCTGTTTCGTTCTCGTTGTCATAATTTCCGAGCAGAACAAACGCGATCCGCTTCGACCAGTCTGCGAGCCTTCCGAGTGTCTCTCTCTGCGGCTTCTGCTCGTGGTGGTTTCTTCTCGTCCGATGGCCAAGAATCAGCTAGGACGACGAAGCTGGTAATGGTGGAAAAATGGCTCCTCCGGATGAATATCTTGGTAGTAATGAAAGTACGAGCATATGGTGGGAGAAACCTCCCCGTATTGAAAAGTGAGCGCCAGTGGACGAACACCTTAGGCCCGACACGCGCACCATGGTTCAAACCGTACGTAGTTAGCATAATTTCGTGTCCGTTGACGAACTGCACGAAGAAAGCCAACAAAGATACGTCACAGTTTCTTTCGAGAGGATTTTTTTCAACGTCAATTGCTAAACATCCTGTGGCTTGGCAAACATGCGGGTTTTGTTCCGTTTAGCGCGGTCTAGGAACTTGGCCATGCTATGAATGATAAACGCTTACCAGACTCAGGGTAGACTGCTATGCTCGTCGATTGAAACATAACAATGATTACCGGATGCTGCGAGCTGGTGAACTGACGTTGGTAAAAATTTCGAAAGACGATCTCCAGGAATTTCCATCGCAAGGGACCCGGATGGATCTGGATCATCCAAAATGGCACTTCCCATGTAGTATGAGTAATGATAGGAAAGTTACGTATTTTCAAATTCTAAAACACCGAGTTTGATCCTTAAACGTAGTGAGTTATTGTTTCTGGTGGGCAAGGAAGAAAGGAAGGAGGCCAGATTTAGCGTATTAAAATTAGAAAGCTTACATAAAACCAGAGATTTATACTGCTGAACAAGAATGTTTGAATAGCGACTGATCTTTGTAACTAGTTTCTCTTCTGATAGTTTTTTTTTTTTTGTTTAAAATATTTTATATGAAAATAATTTTCACTTTTCTTCTTTGTACTATCCGACTTTGAGATTGTATGATTTTGTAATATTTTTAAGTATAATTAAACGTTATGAACGTCCATTTATTACAGATAGAAGTTTGATTATTGATTTGACCAATACAGATAATAAAGCTTTTAACTATCGATAATTAATCGATCACCAAAAGCGAACTAATTGCCAGCAGTGATGTCACGTAGCTTTCGACAATGTTTTGCATGAGTTCGTACAAAATTGACACAGTCTATGGCAGAAGTTTCACCATGAAATTTCATACAATTAGAAGATGGTGGTTTCTCTTTCTACCGCGTAGAACTTTCGTCGGACGTTGTCATTGGCTGCTCAGTCGAGCTGAAATTCAATTTCATTTTCCTTATTTTTAGTATTATCATTATTACAGTGGTCTGTCATCGATGTCGAAACATTACGACGAAATTTCTAGTAGTTGCAATCGATCGTTGCAAGCGTCTGCAACTACGCATTCATCGAGAAAGTAGCAATTAAAGCGAGCTACAACAGAAGAATCGTTAAATCGTGTTCGAGCCGCGTGGCAAATTGAATAACTTACTTTGCAACGTAGCATATATTTAGGATATTTATTAACGCGTTGACTGTACGAATCGTAGCTGTGAGTTTAATTTAGTCGAAAACGAAAAATCTTCATCGCAACGATCATGTTACGCTATGGAATTGGCGTAGCTGTCCATTTCCTTTTTAGGAATTTGATCTTTATCTAGTTACGCCAATGACAGAACATCAAAACAAACGATAAAAAGAGACAATTATTTATTTCCCAAGCTTTTCTGTTAGATTTGTAATCGTTGTCCAAGGAACGATATAGCAAAAACATATCGGTTGCCACAAAGGTCGCTATAAATTAAAACACAAACGAAGGAAATTACACCGATAAAATTACGCCAGTAATGCAAAACAGCAAACATAAGCATTAGATTAAAATAACCTTCATAATCGATATTATCAGATTTTATATTAGCCACGGTTATTTTTACCGAATCAATGAACAAATTTTATTAATTTGATCGATTTCGGACGTTCAATAAAAGCGAAATATCTGCACAGGTTTCGATCAATGAATTCAACAGTGAAAGTATTAGAAAGAAATCGATAACTATTTTTGGTATTGCCACGCACCACGTGTTATGAAGTTCAAACCAAGATGAATATCTTTCGTCATGGTAATTAGTCTGCTGCTGAAGTTTGAATAATAATCAGAATAGATTGTCGAGTTCAAAGTCTAGTTTATGTTCTTTTCCTTTTTCAATTCTTGAATTATTAATTCAATTTCAACACTCTTTTTATTCTGTGTACACGGTTTACCGTTATTTCAATACTGAGGCTGTTCATTGACTTTTACTGGGCTCTCCCTAAACTCCCTACAGGTTCTCCCTGGCATTGACGTAAACCGAAGAATATAAGAAAGAAAGCTTCATATTCCATATCCTAAAAATCTCGAAATTTCTAAAGTAAAAAATGTCGAGTCACTTTTAAATTACATCACATCACAATTGCCTTTTACTTTCATTGAACGTGTTCATACAAAAATCTGCAAACTCATTCTGAAATCATCGTGATACGATTCCTTGTAATAATCTCAGCGAAACTGGAGTGAAACTTGTAAAAATAAACTGAATTTGTTTTTCCTCTGCAAAGGAGACAACTTGTCCATTGATGTAGTCGAAAGTAAAACATGTTCAGGTTCGAACGAAGGTCCAAAGTTAGCCTTGTCCGATGGTTGACCTTTCTTGTCGTACGGTTCCCATGTTTCATCGTCCACCGATCTTTCGTTACAAAATTCATTACCTTTGGATACTAAATTCCTCGTCTGCTTAGATGTTTTTCTAAAATCTCGTTTATGGCCTGTATGGTAAATATAATCCAAGGTAAACGAATCCCATAACGTCCGAGCCTGATGGTTTATAGCAAACGACGACTTTGAACAGAATATTTTACAGTATCTTAATAATATTCGTATTTTAATTTGTATCGATAGACTCGAGTTTGGAAACGAATCGAGAATTTTAAATAATTTGTTTTTACACGTACGTTTAGATGTGTACTTCTTTTTAATTGCTCGACCAGTCTTCCTTGAAATTCTTCCTTCGATTCATAAATTCCGTGGATATTGCTTTTGAAATTTATAAAATTCGCTTTAATAATATAGTGAAAAGTTGTGTTGAGGAAGTGCTTGTGGTTGCTTTTTAAGAGTTTAGAACATAAATAAATCTTACTACATTTTTTGCTATGTATCTTATACAATATTTCTGTTTCGTAATCAGTTATAGCGTGTCTGATGTTATTCAGAAAGTAAAGCAGTGAACAGTTCATTGTTTCTCTTGAATACTTAATATAGTTGTTAAAACGTAAGAATATTGAATGTATGTATAATTTTCATCGAGTTATTTCGTGCCTTTCTAGTAATTAAAACAATGAACTATTCTCGGTAAAGGCACTATGAGAACGTCGAAGAACAATGATACTACACATGAATAAAATAATAATACTTATAAAACATAATATTATATTTAAAATGTATACCGTTATAAATAATAGAATTAATGTTATTTAATACATTATTGACAGTTATTCGATACAGGAAGAATTCTTGACACTTATAAATAATAAACGCAAGAACCACGTTCCTAGGGACTACATTTTGTCTCTGTTCCGAACGATGAATACTTTCACTGGTCAGAGGGAGTGAAAGGAGAAAAAAAAATGAAAAGAGGGCACAGAGTGGGAGATTAAATAAAAACGAGAAGCGAAGTTAAAAGAGTCGAGATCTAACGGAACTTACAGAAAAGAAATACAATGTTGTCCCAATCGATAAAGTATCTATACTATAAAAGCGGAACATGCGTGTGTAATCAGAACGCATATTCATAAATTATGAAATCCCTATTACCCGTAGATGAGAAGAATTTAATATGTAAATTCTTTCGATAAAATATGCGGATATTTTAAATAATTACTGTTTGCCGCGGTATCGAATTTCTACGACTATCGATTCCCACTTTTTTTCTTCAGTCTGAACTTGTCGCATAAGCCACATTAACCATACAGTTGTATTTTGCTTGTTTGTTTTTGATAATGGATATTATTATTGATACTAGAGGTCAACAAGAATTATTAACAAAAGATTGTTTATTACAGTCAGACGATGATTTCGATTTCGAAGAAACAGGTGCTGAAATACATTTTTGAATATTGTTTTAATTAAGGTTAGATTCGTATGACAGGTTATAAATAATATTTTATTATTTTGACAGGTGGAGAACCGTCGAAGTTCTTTGATATAGAGGAAAATTTAATTGAAAATGAAGCCCGAACAAAAAGGAACGTGTTTAACTCAGCAAAAGATATCGATCTCGATGAATTCGAAAATGATATGGGATGGTCAGGCACACACAAGAAAGGCAAAACATCCCCTCCAAACTTAACAGCTTTAAAACAAGAAATAGTATCAGTTGATGACATTATGAAAAATAGCGTTGTTAAGCCTGGTTGGGAACAACTAAAATATGTGCACAATGAACATATAGGCAAAAGAAAATTAAAAGCTAAAAGACAAAGAGAACGGGCTAAAACTAAGGGTACTGGTTGGTTTAATATGCCTGCTCCTGAAATGACACCAGAAGTTAAACATGATCTTCAGGTCATACAAATGAGATCAGTATTAGATCCAAAACGTTTCTATAAAAAGAATGATCTGAAAGTTTTACCAAAATACTTCCAAATTGGTAAAGTTGTTAATTCACCTTTGGATTATTATTCTGGACGTCTTACAAAGAAAGAACGTAAGAAGACAATTGTGGATGAGCTTATGGCTGATGCTGAATTTTCCAAATTTAATAAACGTAAATATAAAGAGATTATTGATGAAAAGAAAAAGACACATTACAAAGCTCACAAACATGCAAAAAAACTTAAAGGAAAGAAAAAATGATGCACATAACTTGTAAATATTTATGTTAAATAAATAAATCACATTTTTTATAAAATATTCATTTTATAACCATAATTTTTTTTTATGTTTATGTACACAATTGTATATATTACATCCATAACAAATTATAAAAATGTATCAAAATGTTTTTAAACTCAGTTCATTCCCCCTGTAACTTCAATAGAAGCGCCATTAATATAAGAACTTTTACTGGATGCCAAAAATGCAATAACTTCTGCTACTTCTTCTGGCTTTCCCATTCTACGAAGGGCTACTCGTTTTATAAACATTCGTTTCACATTATCGGGTACAGTTTCTGTCATAGGAGTTTCTATAAAACCAGGTAGCACTGCATTTACACGGATTCCAAACCTATAATCCAAATATATATATCTGTGATAGTAATCATAAACACTGGCATATCATAATCATGTAATCTGGGATATTGAGGGTTTTATGAAGCAAAGTGTTTAATAGTTATTAGTTTAATACTTACTGTCCAAATTCTAAACAAGCAGTTTTTGTAATAGCTATAACACCAGCTTTTGATGCAGCATAATTAGCTTGACCCATGTTTCCTATTTTGCCAATGATGGAACTTAAATTAATAATTGAGCTACCTGTGCTTACATTCGCATTCATCATTTCTTTCACTGCTGTTTGAATTGTGAAAAATGTCCCTTTCAAATTTACGTTCAATGCTTGATCAAAATCATCTTGTGTAAGTTTTAAAATAAATTGATCGCGTGTAATGCCTGCAGAATTGACTATAATAGTTGGTGGCACTGAATATTTATTTACAGCAATTTTAAATGCTTCCTTAATACTACTTTCATCAGAAACATCTACATTTAGTGCCAAATGTTTGGAATCTAAAACATTAAATATATATTATTGCCAAAGGAAAAAAATATAAGAAAGTGTTATACGGACCATTTAAAGATGCAACAGTTTTTTCAGCACTTTTCAAATCCCGGTCGGCGGCAATAACCTTAGCACCCTGTTTTGTCAAGAGACGGCATACTTCTCTACCTATACCACCTCCTGCACCTGTGCTTGGATAAATTTCATGTAAATTTTTTCTTTACAATCATCTATTTTAATCTTCTTTTGTTTTTTAAATACCCACCTGTTACAAAAGCTAGTTTACCGGCTACCATTTTTGTTTCTTATCAGAGAATAACACGATACTGTACTTCTTGAGATAAAATTGTACAGTTACTCTATAAATCTCGATTGTAAAAGCTTAGTACTACTTGATATAAAGAAGAACGAAATGTCATGATGTGTGATGTAATGATAAAAAGAATTCCACCAGTTTAAAAAATCACCTTTGGACGATTTAAATATTCTTCTTTTTTTAACCACTATATATATGCAATACGCACAAGTGCATACGTAAGTATGCGAATATTGGACCAATTACGACAGATCTCTGTTGCCTAGGTAACCATACCATATGCTGCTGACGTCAAGCACGTCTGCAGTGACGTCAGAACCTAACACGAGTAGTTATGTTTACGGAAAAAATTGAACTTGAATTATAGTCTTACTGGAAACAGTTGCTACTCAACAAGGGTATAAAGAGTTTCTTACGTTAAATTTTATTACTAACAAATAGAATGGAGAGTGCTATTTAAAAATACAAGTATCGTTTTTAAAGAAACTATAAGCGGTATATGAAAAAAGTTTAAATTTATAATAAGCTATAAAAAATATGTAATTCAAGTCTGAATAAGTAGTAACAAAATATATAAAATTATTACTAAAACAGTGATAAAAGTTAAATTGATCTATTTAGAAATTGTTTGTAACTTGTCAGTGAATATCAGGTATTTTTTAAATATTTACTAATTAAACTATAAAGCAACATTTTTTTTATGTTTTTTTTTTTAACATAGAAGTATATCGAATGCAACTTGAGGAATATGTAAAATTAGACAAAAATAATAATGTTATCTTAAAAAAATGATAAAGAAACTTTGTAAGTAAACAAATAGAATTTAAACGGAGGAAGAGGCAGAAAATTAGTGGAAGGGAGAAAGAGGTTGTACGCAGGAAACTGGCAGCACCGGCGCTTCAAGAAATATAACCTTGCGCTTTCTCGATCACGCAAAATTCGTGCCAGTTTCCTTTCGGAAAGGTTCCAGTGTGGAAGCAATGGGGGGACTAGACTGAAGAGTGAAATGAAAAGTTTGGTGTACGTAAGAGGAGAAAAGAGATAGGAAAGAAGAAGAAAGAGGTGTATAACAACGAATCGTCCAGTTGGAGGGAAGCGACGACGCGGTGAGCGCACGAACTAAAGAAAAATTCGGCGGTAACTAGTAGCATCAAAATTACCAACTAAAGAAATCGTTCCAAAAATAATAAATCAGCAGCAGTTAGAATGTTGTTCGGTAAAATAATTAAATGGTTATAACTAAAGATTACAAATGTTATTATAAAAACATTTATATAAACGCGAATATCATAATACCAAGGTTTAAGTTAGAAATAGTGAAAACTACTATATCGTCGATCCTTTTCTCGCTTTCTTCGTGTCATCGATGAAGAGAAAAGCTACGTGTTCAGTTGCAGGATTTGTTAAAGGCAGGTGAATCGTAAGTAAAGAAAAAGCCGAAAGAAAAAAAGAACGGAAAAAGGAAAACAAAAGTGTTGTTTTGACGACTGCTAGTTAATCTTATCAGTGAGTTAGCAGACTCATGTTTCTGGTGCTAGGACGATCATTCTTTCCTCCTAAGGAATATATATAAGAGATGAATGGTAACACGAGGACTTTCGAGAACTGGAATTCCAGATGATCCCCCTGGTGGCAAGCGCGGGAAGTACCGCCACATCACCCCCCTGCCAGTGGTTAACGATATTCTGGTTGACTGTCCGGCGTCTCTTCTTTGGTGCGTTAAAATTAGACAAAAATAATAATGTTATCTTAAAAAAATGATAAAGAAACTTTGTAAGTAAACAAATAGAATTTAAACGGAGGAAGAGGCAGAAAATTAGTGGAAGGGAGAAAGAGGTTGTACGCAGGAAACTGGCAGCACCGGCGCTTCAAGAAATATAACCTTGCGCTTTCTCGATCACGCAAAATTCGTGCCAGTTTCCTTTCGGAAAGGTTCCAGTGTGGAAGCAATGGGGGGACTAGACTGAAGAGTGAAATGAAAAGTTTGGTGTACGTAAGAGGAGAAAAGAGATAGGAAAGAAGAAGAAAGAGGTGTATAACAACGAATCGTCCAGTTGGAGGGAAGCGACGACGCGGTGAGCGCACGAACTAAAGAAAAATTCGGCGGTAACTAGTAGCATCAAAATTACCAACTAAAGAAATCGTTCCAAAAATAATAAATCAGCAGCAGTTAGAATGTTGTTCGGTAAAATAATTAAATGGTTATAACTAAAGATTACAAATGTTATTATAAAAACATTTATATAAACGCGAATATCATAATACCAAGGTTTAAGTTAGAAATAGTGAAAACTACTATATCGTCGATCCTTTTCTCGCTTTCTTCGTGTCATCGATGAAGAGAAAAGCTACGTGTTCAGTTGCAGGATTTGTTAAAGGCAGGTGAATCGTAAGTAAAGAAAAAGCCGAAAGAAAAAAAGAACGGAAAAAGGAAAACAAAAGTGTTGTTTTGACGACTGCTAGTTAATCTTATCAGTGAGTTAGCAGACTCATGTTTCTGGTGCTAGGACGATCATTCTTTCCTCCTAAGGAATATATATAAGAGATGAATGGTAACACGAGGACTTTCGAGAACTGGAATTCCAGATGATCCCCCTGGTGGCAAGCGCGGGAAGTACCGCCACATCACCCCCCTGCCAGTGGTTAACGATATTCTGGTTGACTGTCCGGCGTCTCTTCTTTGGTGCGTGGTTAGGCGTTGTTGCGACGGTGGATGTTCGCTGAAGCGCCGTTACTATGTCCTCTTCACGAGGCAGTGGCCCGGAATCGGGAGAGCTCAGTGATTCTGAGGACGGTTATTTAGATACAGATCCATTAAGGTATGAACTGAGAAATATCCAAAATGTGATACACGTTACTCGACAAAACATTGATGCTTTGAACAACCGCTTTGCTGGATTTCAACATCCACCTTCTATATACTTGAACGAATATCAAGAGCTAACTAGTAAGTTACATGATCTAGAATCCAAGGAACAGAAGCTCAATGAATTGTTAAATGCCAGTCGAATATCTGGTAGTGCTTCCACCTCCGAAAGTGAATCACGTGAAGCCAATGCATCTACAAAGGGTCAGAGAACACCGATGAGATCTCTGCTCAGGGCTTATTTGCCTAATCAACAACGCACTAGTGTACAGGTTCGTGAGGGACTTTCATTGAGAGACGCGCTTGCCAAAGCGATGAAACTAAGAAACTTGACTACTGAAATGTGCGTGGTATATATTTTGGGAGCAGATAATTCCAAATATTATACATCCTGGGATACAGACATCTCTCTGCTTGATTGCGATGAAATATCTGTGGAAATTTTGGATAAGTTTCCAATAACTACTTCCATTTCGCATAACTTTGTGCGCAAGACTTTCTTTTCACTAGCGTTTTGTGAATGTTGTAGAAAACTCCTCTTTCAGGGATTTTATTGTAGAACATGTAATTATCGGTTTCATCAAAGGTGTGCAGGTGGTGTACCAGCTTTGTGTCACCAAGTACGTATGCAGGATGCTTATTACCAAGCATTACTTGCTCATAATCTTGAGAGTACCGCTGGGATTTTGCAACTTCCTTCTGGTTATGGTTTAAGCAGAAGTATGTCCCCATCTTTAGCTCCATCAAGAAATCAGAGGCATCCACGTTCTTTGGGACAACAAGATCGCTCCAGTTCAGCGCCTAATGTTTGTTTTAATATGGTCAAACCAAGCGGAGATTCTGCTAATTTAGATGAGTACAGTAGATCTCAAAGTTTAGGTCGTCCTATTGGTATTATGCAAAGTGCAGTGTCGCCTGGTAGCAGTCCAACAAAACATAGTCAGTCAACACAGGCTAGTCCTACCAGTACCTTGAGGCCAAAAAGACCAAGAGCAAGATCAGCAGATGAATCATCTAAAAATCTTTTAGCACCTAGAGAATCCATAGAAGATTGGGAAATTCCAGCAGATGAAATTTTAGTTGGAGCTCGTATTGGATCAGGTTCTTTTGGAACAGTGTACAAAGCTCATTGGCATGGACCTGTAGCTGTAAAAACACTCAATGTTAAAATACCAACTGCTGCTCAGTTACAAGCATTTAAAAACGAAGTAGCAGTTTTGCGCAAAACGCGACACGTAAATATTCTTTTATTCATGGGATGTGTGAGCAAACCGCAGCTTGCAATTGTTACTCAGTGGTGCGAAGGGTCTTCATTGTATAAACATTTACACGTATTTGAGACAAAGTTTGATTTATTCACGTTGATAGAAATTGGAAGACAAACTGCGCAAGGTATGGATTACCTACACGCAAAAAACATTATCCATAGAGATTTGAAAAGTAATAATATATTCTTACACGACGATCTTACTGTGAAAATTGGCGATTTCGGCTTAGCTACGGCAAAGACTAGATGGTCTGGTTCTCAACAATTCCATCAGCCAACTGGATCTATCCTTTGGATGGCACCAGAAGTGATACGAATGCAAGAAGAAAATCCATACAGTTTCCAGTCCGACGTATATGCGTTCGGCGTTGTTTTATTTGAATTATTATCTGGACAGTTACCGTATTCACACGTTAATAACAAGGATCAAATATTATTTATGGTTGGACGAGGAAATTTACGTCCCGATTTAAATAAATTACGTTCGGATACTCCAAAAGCATTGAAGAGACTGACAGAAGATTGTATCAAATTTTCTAGAGAAGAGAGACCAATATTTCGTCAGATTTTAGCTAGTTTAGAGGGTCTTTCGCGAGGATTGCCCAAAATAACAAGATCAGCGTCTGAACCAAATTTGAATAGGACACAACTACAGTCGGATGATTTTGTATACACCTGTGCTTCACCAAAAACTCCAGTGAACTTCCAGTTCGGGGCATTCTCTTTTTATCCTTCTGGTGGAAACATATAAAAGTAACACCCGAAGCAATGAGTCTGATGCAATTTGCATAAATAGAATATTTACGAAGAAATTTTAAAGGAATCATAATAAACTTAGCTACGAACAATCTATGCAATTCTTTCCAACTACACTTTGACAGTGTTGCAAAACTGTTTGCTCGATGTAGAATGTGATTACAGAATACTTAATGCAACTAAGATAAAAGGGACAAGAAATTCATCTTATTAATCAACGTATCTGATTGTATTTGGCAAGAACGCATGCGTAGCTTTTACCTTTACATACTTACTATCTACGAGAAGGACTTTTATTTAATGAGTTGTCGCTCGTGTGTAAATGCATATTCTCAAAGCGTGTGTATACGCGCCAAGATAGTGTGTGTAGAGGTCTGTTACTTTTGTGGAATCCTTATGAAGGATGTAAAAATAAAGTAAGTAATAGAATTAAACGGCATTTAATTCGCGTGGGTCGTCGTTTGTCTGTGAAGTATTTTTGCAATCACCGAAGTGATTTTTGTACCTACTTCCTTCATAATGTCTTGAATATGCTCACATAAGAATTGTTCCTTTTTTCCATAACTTATAATTTATAGTTTATCATTAGAATGTACATTAAGTTTCATTGAAGATCACTGTCAAATTTGTATGTATATTGTTTTTAAAAGCAAAACATAAATACTCTGTGACTCTGTCACTAACTAAGTAGATACTATAGTATTAGACATAACATTTACACAAGTTTTACACAGATTACCTCTTTTTTCTTCTCTCTTTTTTTGCTTAAATAATCGTTCGAATACCAATCTTATTCGACTGACTTTTTTACTTACATGATTTTTTTTTTTTTATAGATTAAACTATTTTGGTTAAAAATAAAACCAAAAAAAGATTACGTGGTATTGAAATGACAAATCAAATTAGAAGTCAAATAAAAAGAATGAAAGTGATATGTACACTTGACCTATTGACTCTTAAGACTTCATTAATAAAATATTGGACTCTATGAGAAGCGTGAGTCACTTATTCTAGCTTAAAAGTTTATTGAAAGCATAGGTAGGAATTTAGGGCCTAAGCCAATAAATTTTATCGATCGACAATTAAGGGAATGCATTCGTGTTGCGACTTAATAATTGAGAAAAAGGGAAGGAAAAAAAGAACGTTATCGACTAACTTCCATTTTCCTATCTTTATAGTCGACTTGTTGTTCCTTGTATTTTAATATTTATTCGTTTATACTATAACTACTCTCTCTCTTTCTCTCCTCGCTCTCCCTCATCCTCCTTCCCTCTACCTCTCTTTTTTCATTTTTTTCTTGTAAGCTGTTCATTGTTCGAGACGGACAATGCAGGAAGGGGCGCGAATTTCACTTCGAGCCGATAGATCAGAAATAAAAAGATAAGTATTTGTTACGCGGCATCGAAGGCTCGAGTTAAACAAGTATGGCAATTAAAGAAACTTTGTTACAATAAACGTGTTTCAGATAACGGCCCCGACGAGCAGTAAATAAGTTAACGAGTGAATTGTGTACGGACTACAAGTATAATAAGTATATACAGGGTGTCTTATGAAATTAATATAAACTATTTAAAAAAGTAATTTTTGTAAAATTTTCTTTTCAGCGCAAAACGATCTTAGAAGTTAAAGTAATTAAAATTTTAAGGCGTGGAACTAATTTATATACTCTGATGTATCGTAAGCTTTTTCTTCGACCAAGGAAAGGAGTAGAGGGAGAGATTTTCCACCACTTTCGATCTTTTCTTTCTAAACTTTCCGTAGGTTTTTTCTAGTCTCTTTCAAAATGCTTTCTGAGCACGCTTTAGATCTCCATAGGTTCTTTGTATATTCCCTCTATAGTATTATGTATTATAATTTTTAAATTAAAAATTGGACACTTTTTATTTGAACAATGATTGTGTACATTTTTAGTTATGTTCTTTCTCTTATACTAACAATCACACGACACCCTGTATATAGAAACATACTTGACGATAAAGTAAGCGTATCAAAATTTATTTATTCGTGACGAGTAACTAGGGAAAAGTTAAGGAGGGGGTGAAAAATTAGATAAACTTGTTCGGTACGCGTCTGATGCGATCGATAGCGCGGGAATAAAATCAAAGGTTTATTTAACACAGAAAGCTCTTAATTATTACAAAGAAATTTTAACGCTAATGAACAACAACACTGTAAATTAACTACGTTTTAACTTCGTTTTGCACACAACCGCTATTTTAAATCGTTTTTCTAACTTCGCGAACTCTCTGGAAACCGTCTTTCACGTCTGAATGTCGCCAACTCACTGCTCCTTTTTTTTCATCGTTTATTTGTCACGCTGTCAATTTATTAGTAAAATCGATAATTCTCGAATGTGGTATTTACAACTAATCGATCCTACCACTAACCTGCATTCTACAATAGTGAACTTTACAATCGTGTTAAGCGACATTTTGCAACATTCTGCGCTAAAATTTAATGTCGACTCGAAACACGTTTCCAACAAGTATATATATATTATATATATAAATGGCCTAAGAGGAAATCTTCGAAATTGATTATTAGTTGTATAGACTATTATAGTGGTCTTGTTTCGACAGAAAAGCACGCGGCATCCCGATTTTTGTTATTTATTTATTTATGTATAATCCAGTGTGATATAGACTGCGACTAAAAAAAATAGTGAAAAATAAAAAAAAATAAAAGAGATAAAAATTCGAAAGGAAAACTGTGCGTTGGAGATTGAAATCTCGTTGAGAATGCGTGAAAAAAGAAAACAAGGAAAAAGGTGAAAAGCATTGCTGAAACGTGTTCACCGGAAGCAAAACGACGCACTTTTCATTGTTAAATAACGCTTTCTCGTCCCAGGGAAACAGTGAACTGTGAAACATAATTAACGATATTACAAAAATACTGCGAAAAATAAAGAAAGGGCGGAGGGTTAAGCACATTTGCTTTGCGAAATTCCTTTAAAGTGCAATACTCTGTAATAAAAACTTCTTTGATATACGTATTATTTCGTAACATTTTGATAGCCGCAAATTTTATAGGATTTACGGCCTTTTCGTTTGCTATCGAAGATTAAATTATTGATAGATTTATAATCGTTGATTCTATACATTGAGAAAAATGGAAAATTTTCAGACCAGAAGGCAGAATCAAATTTGATCCCTTGGAAAAAACATTGACTGTAAATAAGAATTTATGATCTTGTGCTTTACTCTCCTCCTTGATCGATCTTCCTGCACGTTATTATCAAATCTTAGGATGTTATTATTATTATTTTTCTTGGGAGACATTCCTCTGTACATTGCTTCGATGTAGAAGGGTCTGAAAGCGATTGCGAGCGATCGAGAATGTTTTGTGCCGATTTGCATGTTGAAAAATATAAATCATGTACGATGTACAGGATGTTTCAGAACTTGAACTATTAAATTTTGCCATTCTTCATAAATAGAACTTGAATAAGTTGCGAACATTCTTAACGAAGAATTAATAAGTAAAACTAAGAGGTTGTTGCATATAAGCGATTTTGAAACGTACATTTCGCAACAGGAAAATATCGTAAAATAGTGAATGTGAATGTTTTATTAATGATTTTTATACAAAATGGCTGGCTAACAATTATGGCAAACCATGAATCGCAGTGATGATCGTATTTTGCTTCTTGGTAGCTTCCTGTCAAGGACTGTTTCCTAATCAAGACTATTTTTAATTTAATACAATAAAGCAAAATAATTAACAAACACATAATGCAATATATAAGTTCGAAGATTAAATCAGATAAGCAATCCTGCCCAAAATGATAATTTTGTATGTAAATCTGCCATTTCATCTGCAACAACCTAACATTTTAACACGAGAGGAAGAACTTTTATTATTTAAAATAATTAAAAATTATTAACTTAAATCATTCTATTACGTATGAAAAAAATTATATTTGTGCTAATATAGGAAGATATAGTATCTAACTTTGAAACATCCTGTACATTCAAAGAGTTGACTCCTGAAGGCTTAAAATCGATTCGAATAAATTGTAATTATTTAAAATATCCAGAAATAGTTAAAATAATGTATCGATCTATGAGTCTTGAAGAGTCTACTTGAATCTGTCGATGAAAACTACTGAACTTTTATAGCTCTTAAAATCGATCAGATATCGAAGCAAAGTGTGATTACTTTAGAGAACATAAGGCTAAACAGCATCGACATTTGTTAATCGTGTAGGAGTTTAAAACGAATCGTTTCCTTCGAATTCTGCCAGATATAGCATCGCATAGGTTTGACACGATAAAAAAAAGACTGGATCGAGCGAGATTTTTAGTTTGATCGACGGACGTTTGATCGTAACAGGATTTCGGAGCATCGTTTTTTGTCAAATCACGCTGAAACTGCTGTCAACCCGAAACCGCGTGTCTTATAACGAGATAGCGTGACCGAGATTGGAGATACTTAATTCAATCAATCATGACGATCGATTGATCATTGTATTCAACCAAAAAAAAGAAGCAAAAATAAAAAATTAACTCTTCATGTAAACAAGTCTCGTTCTTTTTATTTGTTAACATTTTCAGTTTTCATTCATTTCCACCATGAATACCTACGTTTCATTTATAATTTTTATTAAAAAATCTTCAAATATATTATTGGCAATAAATTATTCACTATTTTCCAATATCTTTTTCTTATTTGAAATTTTAATTTGAAGATTAATCGAATAATGCCTGACCTATGTATAGAACGTACTATCTATATAGAATGTTGTTCGGTCTTCTTCAGTTTTAATGAATATTCTTTTGAAATGCAAACAATACTGATAAACGTTTGGACGAAAACTGCTCTTTTCTTTGAGGCTGCATTTTCAGCATCAATCAGAATCAATTACAGGGATTTCGAATAAATCTGAAATGTCATTGATGGAATCGTAATATGATTTTAATTCAAGGATCACTCGAAAGAAACTGATGAGTACCACTGGCCTAGAAACTGCATTCTTGTACACTCGGGTGCAACGAAGAATTCATTCTGCTCGGGACAAGTGTAAGATCACTTACCTTTGCTTATAGAAAATTAAATACGTAAACTAGAAAATTTCTAAATTTAAAAATTTATTTCGTTCACTCAGCAAATATTCGTCTTTATTTTAAGAAGCCTACCGTGATCGTCAGTGCATCCTGTAGTGCAATGTAGGCTTCTTTCGATAGGAGAAGAACAATCAAACAGTATTATCTTAAGCTTGGGAGAATCTAAGAAGCAAATAAGGAGAATTTAAAGAGGGCCCAATAAGAAACTAGGGAAAGTCTAAGAACCTTAAGAGAACTCAGGTCGGAACTTCGTCCTCGTACATAAAGAAGATGAACAAAAACGAGTAGTGTGAGGTTCCATATTCGTAATTTCCCCTTAATCGAGGGAAACCTACATTGCACGCGATCGTAAAGCATAATATGTACGATAATATCTCAGCTTGAATGGCAATACGTAAGTACCATGTAATTGCATTTGAATTAAACATCATGTTCAAATTAAATATCCATGAAATTCATTTCTAGCGTTTGATAGAAAGGTGAACGGGCATTAGAACAAATGGTAAATGATTTTATTTCGATAAAAATCTCGAACAGAAATAATGTAAGTATAAAAGTAAAACATTTCATTTCAGACGATTGCATACAGATCGACTTACGCACGCGAGTATATAAATACAATTAATCTTCATAGTTAATTGCATTTGGAACGTTGGCCTCAGAATATACATGCATAATCGTGTTTAACGCGTATACGAATACCATAACAACGATAAGAGTATCAAATGAGTAAGTACGATCATGAAAATGAAGAATCCCTGTTGGAAGGTCGTGACATCGTGGGACTCGGGTAATCCCTTTGTGAGGTCCCTCCTACTTCCTCTTCCTTTTGCGCCGTGCTCGCGATACCCTAATCCGCGAATGCTGGATTAATTCCTTTGGTACAATTGCAGTTTCGTAATAGAGACCTCTGACGGTCAGTATATATCATCAATATTCCAGGGTTCTCAGTATTTATTGACAATATTGTATCGACAGTGCCTAGCGATCACGAAAATCCTAAAATATTGACATATTGATTATCGAAAGTCTCCGTAATATGCGTATTTGAAACGCGTCAAAAGTGATTCAATCGATGTGAAATCGAATCGAATACATATGAACTGTAGCGTTTATTTTTCTTTTTTCAACCAGTATTGCGTTACATTCGCCGCGAATTAATTCATAACGATGAACTATGTAGTTTAGAGCCACTCGATTTCCATAAAAATGCTTGTATCGCGCGCAGTTCAAAGACGTATGTGTGAGTAATCACATTCGTACACAAGGCTACGGTGTGTCGCGTATTATAAAAGGTTCAAACGTTTATGTGTAGATACATCAACGAACGTACACACGCACGCACAAAGAGGTTAGACTGAAGTTTGCTGGTAGTGCGTGAGTGCACGTTCGTTTGTGTTAGAGCGTACGTGGGATGTTACGGAGGGAGCGCGCATGCGCAGAACCAGCTGGCGCCTCAACCGGCCGAATAGTCGATGCTGGAACTTTGAAGTGCGAGTGTCCGTGTTTCTTCGCCCTTCGCGTTTTGTCTTTGCTTTGTGAATTCGTACGCGAAATATATTTGCGTGCGTAAGTACACGTACACATCGAGGTACCGAGGAATAGGTAAAGAGGCCCCTTCGCTTATGTACGATTGTTGTGAACAGGTGGACGTCGAGGTCGCTCGCCTTACTTCGCGAAACGAGGTTAGTTGACTTCAAATCGTATTTCGGATAACGTCGCCTTCAAAGGGGAACGACATTGCGTTGTGAAGAACGACCCCTATGTGTGTGTTTTTTTTCTGTGCATTATAGCAGGTGATAACACTCGTGACAAAATCGAGAAGAACTTACGGATTATGCTCCTCCTTCATTTTTTTCTCTGTATAATATTTCAGAGAGCTAATGTGTCGGACAAAAATAGTATCAGGTTTGGGAGTTTGTTTGAATTTCCTGAGAGTTCTTTCCGCTGATATTCAAGGATACGAATTAACGTGGTACAATTCGCGGGGCGTAGTGTATTTATACGAAGAATCGAGTTCGGATATCGATACAAGGAGCATTTGCGACATTGACAAATCGTTCAAGCTAACATTTCGATAAATAGTGAATATCTTGACGTCAAACTATCGTTTTGTCTTTTAATAACGAACGACAGTAACTTTATCAAACGAAGAAAGCTTATCGCAAGGGAATCGATAAGGGTCGATTGTACAACGATATAATAACAATAACACAGAATTCGATGAAACGTGAGCGTATTGTATGTCTGTAATTGATGTTGTAGAATTAATATACTGTTAATTAGTCGTCTACGGCTGAGAATCAAAGGAAACGACATTGACCGAGAAACGGAAAAGCAAGCGTCCCGTGCAAAATTTACATTACGGAATATCGAACGTTGATTCGATATTGACACGCTTTTAAACGCGCCTATCATGTATAATTACTTCAAATCGTATCGACTGTAGCGAGTCGTCGAATATAACATAATTACCATTTTGGCTTTGCAATTTTACTCGAGACGCCAGTTAACTCCAATAATGACGCATTTTCGATGAAAATTAAGTTTTGATCGTGTATCGAAACGAATCGATTTCGACACAGACGATCGTTTCAAATTTAAACAAATTTTCGTGGTGTCGCGTGCGACTTTACCCAGTCGATAACAGTATTGATAATGCTAAACCATCGATTGAAATCGATGGGAATTGTGATCTGCCACATTGTACAATGTAAATTGCTATCGTGAATGAGTTTTACACATGTGGCTTTATCTTGTAAGAGTGTTCCATTCTTAGCCACGCGTGTATGGTGCGTTGAAAGCTGGAGCACGTTACACATTGTGCCAAAATTAACAGTATCGATCGCCCATTCGATTTTAACAATCCATCGAGAGATGAAGTTATTGAAAAATCATGGATTTTTATTAGCTAAACCTTCTCTATTATCGGTGGTCAAAATTTTTCAAATCAGACTATTTGTATGCAAACTTGTACTTGACGTGAAAATTTAGATGTTATGTAAAGGCCAACAAATTTTGGCAGTGCACAAATGTCCTTAAAATTAGTAATTCATCAATAGATACTTTATATTTGTAAGTCGTATTTAAAACCGTTTTATGTTTCTTTTGCAGCGTAGAATCCTACAGCTGGAAGCCGTTCACCTCTACTGAAAAACAGAGGAAGGAGAACGAACTAATTCGTCTCGAGATCCTTCTTCGATTAGTTTCATTTCTACCTTTCATCTTCAAGGATTCTATCCACTGGAGTTTTGATCCCACGGAAACATTCGTTATCGTAGCAAACCGGAACAGCTGTTGCCTGTAAGAAACTTTGCCAACTCGTTCTCGTAACCGGAACATGTGTCAGCCACTCTTTTAACTGCGTCCAAGCGTCATCACTGCCTCCTGCTTAAAACCGGAAGTTTGCTCTGCAATGGAACAATTTTACTCCATCCACGGTTCAACCTCGATCAGTCGGTAAGGTGGATCGTGTAGATCGGGGTTCAGAAGCGTTTATCCTTCCGGGGCAACAACCAGTGACGAGGGAACGAATGTATAGGACGACAGATCGGGAGGATGCACCGCTGGCTCCTTTGGACATGGGATAGATGATAGATAACGAATGATGGGGTGGTAGAAGGAAATAGGAACGCAACATGGATTGGGTGACTCGGCTCAGGTAGCCAGAGACGACAAAGTCCACGGCCACCGGGGCAAAACGAGCCCCGATAGCTAATTTTTTCCGGAAGAACAGATTTCGTCACGAGGAGACACAGAACCGTGTTGCGGTGAATTCCTTCAAAGACTGTTTTATCATCTTTTTCCCTCGCTCTCCCTTTCTCTCTGCCGTCTTCGAGTCGGTTACAAAGACTGAACGTATTGAAAATCAATTCATTCAAAAAAGTTTGCCATTCAAGTTGGTAGCGTTAGTTGAATGTAAGAGGAAAATCAGTGGCTCATGAAAAGACTGAATTCATTAACTCCTTTAGACATTATCATTCGTGTTTACTGTTGTATCTACATATCTTTTGAGATCTCGTGTGATTAACAATCTATCTGCTTTGTGTATACGTATATACATACACATACGTGTAGAAAAATATATATATATGTATGTATTTGTATGTATACGTGAACAAGTTTCTTCGCTGCCTAAAAGAAGAAATTTTGCCTTTGAACAATTTTCCATCGAGTTAAAGTCAGAGAAAACATCATTGTCTTGATCGTAACGTTTACGGAAATTGATAAAGAAAATTGGAAAGTATTCGAACTTACTATTAGTGGGAAGTGAAGTTCAGTGTGAGCGCCGTCCGAGCAACAGAGCAGGATGGGTTGTGGACAGAGCAAAATCGGCAATATCTATCCGAAGAATAAGAAAAACAAGAACAATAATGGCAAGAAAAACGGTGATTCTGTGGGTAAGTGACCAATTCAGAATATGTATACATTGGTTAACACGTTGACTGACGCGTGGAAGCTACTGAAAATTTTATTGGGTAACATTTTGATTCTTTTCCTTGCCAGCGAAAATGGATATGCAAAACATTGAAATACAACGTACTTAAAAATTTAAGTACTACTCATATGTGGATCACATGCCAGTCAACGCATTCATTTAAAGAGTTGATCATTTCCTATCATTATCTTTTTAACCTTTGAAACAAACACGATTCAGCGCTTTTAAGTGTTTCCGTGATAACATAAATTTTGAATGGATCATTCACTTGCATTTTCTTCGGAATAAACGTACGCAATGTTTAATTCGCGCTCATTGTTCTCGAGTGTCAAAAAGCTTATTCATCGATACACGCAAGAATCGAAGATGCGTATGTCGAATTACGTTCCAGAACAGGTGGAAGTTACGGAACGTATATAGCTATCTATATTTAGATTTCGCATATGCGTCTCGAGGTTAAGTCGCAATTCTCCTTGTATAATTACTATATTAGTAGTTTCTTGCTCTACTCGTCCTCAACGCGATGCATCATGGCGCCTTAACGAACTTTTTATCTGTGGCATGCGTATTAAACACATTAGTATGTTGTTGTTCTTCTGCGTCTCGAAGAAAAAATCTGTGCGTGGTCGCACGCACGCGTGCGGGAACGATCGATTTTGTTCTTAACGTGCATCACTTGAGGTAGATTAGGCCCTGGGTTAGGTTGTACAAAAGGGGAGCGAAACCTTCTGGCACGGTAAATTGACGTTCAGCAACCCTCTTACACCGTTGTTCAGCTGTTTCCGCTCGCTAAAAAATGAACAAAGATGTTCGAATTAGACGACTCGAATGAAGAATACGTTTTAGACTAAACGTGACGATTAAGTCATTCCAAACTTCCGCAACTTTAGATAAAAAATTAGTTTGCATTCGTTTTTTAATTACGATTAAACTGGGACCACCCTCCGCGTTTCTATAGATTGATAATCGAGTACATTTAAACAACGCCATGTCTATTTCGAGCAGTGTTTGTCGTCCTAATTTCGTTGGTAATAAATTATCAACGACTTAATCACCGTTGATAGATTTTCTAATTTGTGGAGTCACGCGACCTACATTCGGACGTTTTCTACGAACAAATTCAGTCACGAACCCGGTGTCTGGACTTATTTTTTTTTTTTTTTCAATTTTATTGGGCATTAATGTTCCAGTACACGTGCACTCGTGACCATCGCAACGCGCAGTGTTACTGTTCGATTATGAAAAAAGAAGAAAAGAAAGATAAAGAGAACAAATCTGTGTGCTGGCAGTTTTGAAATCGTATGTCGGATCGTGGTTTGTTGTTTACCGGCTTCGACGTCTGTGAGCTAAATATACCATGCGATAATTCTGATATTTATATCATTACGATGGCTTCGCTTATTACGGTACTTCGAAACTTCTCGCGTTTAGATGTCGGTATTCTTACTTCACCTTTCTTCCAGACAACTCTTTAAACAAACATTAAATAACATCTCATGATTGTTTATCACCGTTCGTTGGTAACCCTGAGGAATATTTTTACACTCAGGTAAATTTGCAAATTTGAAAATTTACTCGTAAGAAGCGAAAAGTGATAGACCTCTTACGTCGTCATTTTTCCTATTTAACTGTTCGACACTTGTCACGGTACATCGCTTTATGATTGAACGTGAAATTACGTTAGGAATCTATTCGTTACGTCACGAGGAATACTGTTCTAATAATAAGACTACGTTTCATTGAAGTATATGCTTGTCTTTTTGGAGAATGAAAAAAAGTAGATAAATTTATACCGATACGAGATAGTTGTAGGGTTGGAATTCCGATGTTGACTCGTTTCTTATCAACGATCACCACAAATCGACTGTACAAAATAACCAGCATGAATGCATATACTTGTTATTATTTAGAGGCCCCACAAATATGTTTACGAACATAATTTTTTTAATTTTTTTGTACGTACGACCGTTCTTAGATTAGCTTATTCGTAAATCGTTTAAATTTATGGATTCAAGTATTTTATTATCCTGGTTAAAAATAAAGTCGGCGTAAATAACAGTGTAATACGTAATTAAAGTAGGTTAAACTTCACTGAATTACAACAAACATTTTGAACCAAATTCTCAAAGTTTTAAATCCTCAAGTTTAAAAATTGTGTAACTTATGGTTTACCTTGTGTTGTCATATTGATTTTTTGTCTTCTCCCGTGCATTCGAAATGTTCATACGCGTTTATAATACACGATACTACGCATAACGAGTGCTTTTACAAGAATACAAACACGGGTCAGTTATTTTAAGTTAAAGTTTAACCTTTACATCGATCCTTTGACTCGATCGATTGTTTACAAATGTAAATCTATCGGTTTACCGTGTCAATTTTTTGTTCGTACACTGTTTACCGTGTTCTAACATTGGCTCGGTCGTAAGATTGCATAAATTTATGGATTAACATATTTTTCTAGTCTGCTATAAATAAAAATCGACACAAATAGCTATCGATTTAATAATACCGATCGTATGACTCGCTAAATGCAAAATAACATTGAATTTCCAATTTTTCTCTAACCGCAAAATGCTGCGCGCGCATCCTACTTGTCAGTTTACACTGTTCACAGCGTTGCCATGGTTTGAGCGGGAGAACGCGTTGCCGTCAAACGGTCAAAGTGCTTAAGCGTAGACAGGGGAAATCCGTTGTGCTCGTTCGTATTTTTTAACAAGTCGTGTACGTCCCGAGTTTAAAAGTAATTGCGTTTGGCCGGTACTTCGTCGAAATACATACATCGCACTGTCGAGTCGTCTTTGCTTGGTAAACAAGACAAGTTCCAAGGCCCGAGGCTGATATTATCGCGCTCGGTAGTAGAGCAGCGAACGACTTGCCTACGTGATCGTTGTCCCGCCTATAAAAGGGTCGCGCCTCTTTAGCTTCGATGTCTGTCTGTCGTAGCAATTTCGTGTGTGAGCATCGTTCAGTTTTTAATCTCTTCTTCTGAAAAAACTATTTCGGTGTTACACGATACTTATATTATATTACGTCGTTCATCGATTATCGTACAGTCGACAATTTATCGGTCGTATCAAAGTCGCGAAAGTGAGGTTAAGTAGCCGGCAATCGGAGAAAATACCGTTCAGGTGACAGTGGACGATTTTGTTTAAACGACTGGAGGATTCTGTCCTGCCAGGACGTCGGATTTTGGGAATAAACAAAAGGGAGCGAAGATGTGGTTGAAAGTGTTGAGGCAAAATATATCGCATCTTGCTCGAAGAACGAAAGGTAAGAGTTGCGTTTGTTTTTGAAATCGGAGGAGAAACCAGACTGATCCAGTAATTGTGACAAGTTATTTACACTTGCATTGTGCTTGATGTTAGAATACTTAACGACGAGCGTTGAAATTGTTGTTCGTAAACACGTCGCGATTCGTGATGAATCTAATTATGTAGTTGAAACGAAGGTCCCTCTTTTTGTACGTATGTACTTAATCGTAGTATGGGTAATTCTATACTCGAATTAGGCTGCATCTAATTTAAGCTCGTCTCGCGTTTCGCGGTCTTTCGAAGATGGGAGGAGAATCGTGGAATGCCGTTGATGACGATGCTGCGCTGCAGCCGGGTGTGACTCACAGCTGCTTCGGCGTAACGTATATATCCGGCGCGGCGTTTGCATTGTTCGACGTTTATTAACCTCGCAGAAAAATCGCACGAATGCTATGTTTTGTATGTAGGTTAGTCTAACTTGATGCCGCGTGACTCGGGTAATTACAACAACCGTGATAATGTGCACATACTACGTCGAATTTCTAAGCGCCTGTTTGCAGCAGAGTAAATTGAACATGAATTTTTCATTTTCCTGTTATTTATTGTACGACAACTCGGTGTTTTCGATTTCAAGACAGACGACGTGCGAAATAGACGCACATCCGTGTACGGGTAAAACGTGACCGTAGTCATGTGAACCTTCTCCGAACGGAATAACCTTGGAAAACAAGGAAGGAGACTCCGATACGTATTTCGGGCATTCTCTTCGAACTGTTATCGACACGTTGTTAATTCTGACACCGACAACACCACCTGTAGCTTTTTCAGGGTCGTGGTGGGGGGAGAAGTACGATACCAAATCAACCCTATGCCTGCATGTTGTTATAAATATAATCTTGTTAACACGAATTCTCAAATTTAGAATCTAAATATTTTCTGAGTTTATTGAAATTATTCAAAAGATTTTAAGTTTTTTATTTTTGAGAAAGTTTGAAACTCGTTGCTGCAGCAGTTCGCGGAAAGCCACGTGACAATGTAACGTCATGTAGGAAGCATCGTCGATATAGCACCGACAACGTTATAGACTTCGATTTCACCCGTGTAATATAAAATGAATTTACAAAGGAAAGGAATTCAGTTTGAATAACTTATACGTGACACGAGAGGGAAGCGTTCAATTTTTCGCGACAAATGTCGGTACTGCGCGATTCCGTCACGTGACGCCAGTCACGTGCTTTCAACACCGTAGATATAAAAAGAGGCGGGAATTTGAAAACGATTGACGTAGGCACTCGGAACAGTTAATGGCTGTGGCTTTGCGCGCTTTCACGATACCAGTCGACCGGCTCGTTAAACATAATCAGATGCAAATGAACAATTTATTTCAAGGAGCATTTATCATTTTTTTTACTTCGATTTCATTTTTAACATATTTTTTCTCATTTCCGCTTCAACGTTTAAGCTTCTCTGGGGTTTTATCTAAACTTGAAATTTTTATAGGTATCTAATATCTGATTGCTTTTATTAATGGACAATGACTCACTAAGCCAGTACGCCAATATTTCGTAGAATTACGCGTTATGATGCAAGACATTAGTAACGTTTTTTCTGAAAAATAAAACGATAGGGACATCATATTATCTACGCATCGGTTTTTGGAATTCGCGTTGTTTAAAAAGCATGCATCGGAGATAACGGCAAGGTATTCAAAGATATCTTGCTCTTATCTGTTAATAAAAATCTTTGTTACATGCGAAATCAACCTTATCTGTTCCTGTTGTCTACTAAGTGGCTTTGTGTCAGCACCACTGGCGTCTTGCAATTAAACGCGATTAACCAGCTTAATTAAGCTGTCGCGTATAAAATCGCGCGTAATTAAAGAATACATTTGTTTTCCTTTGCGCTAGAGAAAATTTGAAAAAAAGATTTCAATCGAATGCAACGGAGCATCACAGTATTATTAGTCACACTTATGCGGTTGATTCGGCTTGGGTTAGGCCTTGCTTTAAAATATACGCAGTTTCCGTCTCACTGATTCGACTTTCCGTTTCAAAATATTTACAAGTCCGTATCTCATGAATTTAGTGATTCGTGAAATAACTGCTCCAATATTATTTCGAAAATAAGAACAAATATCAAGTAGTAACAAATATCTTTTTATGCATTAAGCAATATGAAACTGGAAGACTTGGAAGAATTTTGAAACATAGTTGTATCAGAAAAATTGAAACAAACTGTAACCTGTTGTCTTTAAATATCGAATCAAGATGAAAGAAATATGAATTTACCAGCTGTGCTTCTCTCAATGCGATCGAATTGAATTTGTTTAGGAGTTGAGCAACTACTCGGAGGTGAACGACCCGCGCGGCAAAACCGCGAAGAAATCCATCGATTTGCAACAGGGAGCAGCGTTCTGTTCTACTTTGTGTCACGAGAGAAAAAGGAAACTGTTAATTCCAAGTAGGATCGATATTCCACCAAGGAACAATGGCAGTTCGACCGAGAATGCAGCTTTATCTCGTGCCAAAATTGACCTCGATACCGCCGCCTATCTGTTCCTGTTAGGAACGAAACTTTTTTTTAGGGCAAACTGATAAGCTCGATTTCTTGTCGTATGCACGAAGCCGACCGGTTGATTGTGTTATCGCCACAGCATATTTCCAAGCTCAAAGGAAGACCTAGACGAAACGATGAATAATTCATTTTCAAACGTTAAACAGCGAACCGAAGTTCTCGCGAAAATGAAAACGAGCCGTTTTATCGATATTCAGCGAGTCTACGCCTGGTGCTTTTCAAACAATTATTCGAGTAGGGAATTTCAAAAAGTTTGCATTCATCGATGCCTGTTCATATTTAAATACTTCAAAGGTGACCTACGTTTTGTATTAGCATACAAAAAAACACGAGATCGATTTGCGAAACTTGTGTCGTCGGTAGTTGGAAATATTTGATCTCGGAGCTGTAAAATGAAAGTGGAGACCATGAACGTGGTGCTACGTCTTTCGGAAGAGTAACGCGAGATCCGATGGCGATCGTTAACCTCGATTATCTGAACTGATACAGCATTAATAACATTCGTAACTTCCATTTTCCTTCTGCTGAATCATTTGATAACGTTCGTTGCAGTTAATGGATGCTCGAGCGCTCCAAGTTCTGTCTTACAGGGCGTCACAAAAGTGATGTACACGGAATTACAAATAATTGGAATGTTACATTATCATTTTGGGATATAAGCGCCTGAAAATTCATTGGTGAATAATATTAAGTTGTAACATGGCCCCCTCATTTTTTCAACCAGTCATTTCGTGTGGAATACGAAACGATGAAGCGTTTATATAATCATTTTCGTCAAGGTTCAAGTTCCAAATCGATACTGGACATTTTGTGGTACTCTCATGTGTCAAATCGACACTCTGTACAAACGGAAGAAAATTGTACGAGGATATTTATGAAAACAAAGAAAAAGAAGGCACGTTGCGATCCGCAGTCGAATCGTATCATACCGGATATGGGTTGGGAGTTCGAATTACGGCGGTATAACTGGTTTCCGTGGAAATCAATACTTCGGCGACGATTGATAGCGATTCCTGTACTTCGCCTTCCTCTTTATACCTACATACACACATAAGCAAAACAAACGAAAGGAACGAACAAAGTCTCTCCGCAATCTCCGTTAAAGAGCCAGGTAATTTCTTCGCAGAAACGTAGTAGTCCAGACGAAACAGGGGCATCAGAAAAATCTCAAGTACCGCGCGATAACCCTCCGAGATAATTGCGACTTATTTCTAATTAAAATTTATTATGCATATAAAGGTCTTAGGATCTGGGAAGATAGTAAGAGAGCTCTCTGAGAGATTAGGGGACGTAAGGATTTGGGTATCCGGGGCATAGGGATCAAAGTATAGGGATTTGAAGGATATAGAAATTTGAGGGAACAGAAGAGAATGTCGTAAATACTTAGGAAGGTTGATGGGTATTTAGAGATACAGAGATATAGGCATATCTAGAAATGTCGGGATATAGAGATAGAAGAATTTCGGGATACACGTCTCGATATATCAGATACTTTATCTTAACGGTAGTGTAAATATGTACCGAGGGATCCGAATCCAGATTCAATAGCGTAGTTTCATTCGATGGAATTTGTAGCGCACTATGACATTATAGGTGTCTAGTTATCTTATGGTAATTTAGGTTCGTTATTTGTTGATTTCGCGGGAAATTGATAGTTGACGAGGCTGGCGGGTAAACTAGGTCGGCGTCACACGACCCTATTCAATCGGTGGCTCGCTAAAATTAACGCGCGTTGTTTTCTTTCCGTTTCACACAGGCAAATCTAATTGTAGACGGCGGCAGGCTTTCTGCGCGGTCGGATAAGCCTCTCAAGTAGGATTTTATTGAATTAGATTATCAAAAAGATGCGGCTTCGTATCGATCCATGTCGTCCTCGTTCGCGCACGTCGAATTATCAAATCTTCGCATCGTCTTTCTGTACACGACTTTCAATCGAAACTGACCATATATTGGGCATGGATTTAATCCTTTTCGATCGCGTCCAAATCGGACGTGTACATAATGAACATCACACGTCAAAGATAAAAATGAAGCTGCACTCTCTTCTCGCTGCATGGTCCTGAATCAAAAGTCACAATTCGGTAAATGTTAATTTCGAACTGTTACACGTTGAGTCACGAGATCGACTCGATATCGAAAGGTTGTCGTTCGGCCGATTCGTATTCGACGCGAGACAGACAGATCGAGAACATTGGTCGAACGACCGTACAAAGAATTAGTATTCGTCTCGCACGATCGGTGCGTTACGAGGCGCGAGCTGAAGCGTTGAGTAATCGCATTCCCGTAACCATTCGACGTGTTATTATTGGAATTCCACGTTACGGATGTCCGGCGAATGAAAGGCGCTGCGGTGTATAAGTAACGAGCCGACGGAAATTTGCCATTCGAGCGATTGTTAACTCCTTGCGCCGAGGAAGGTGCTCCGTCCGAGTTTCGTGGTAATTTGAAATTCTCATTCGAAGATTCGATCGTTAACGTTATCTTTAAACGATGTTGAAACGCTGTTAACACGTTCGCTTGATTAAATTTACATTCTGACGAGTACCTTGTTAGTTTTCGGATTTTCAAACTTGCGTAGAAAAAACTGCGTCAAACGTTGCGATTCGTTCAGGGAATACCTGGACGTAAGGATTCTTGAAAGTCTCGAATTCATCTTCAGAATTTCTTGCGATCTTGTCGCGTGTATCAGCGGTAGCACGTGGAACGTTCTAATGAATCACGTTGCTTGTCACGATACTGCCAGCTAAACATAGTCGATCCACGAAACACGGGCGACAACGTGTATTTATGGAACATGGAGCAGAACATTTAATGTTCTTGCTGTTTCCTTTCAAACGGACGACGATTATTTTATATCAATGAGCAATTACGTCCGCGAGACGTAGTTTCCTAGACGAGGCTCTCCAGACTCCGCATAGTCGATCCTGATCACAAGTATCTGATTTACGAAATTTGTTCAGATAAAGAAAGTAACATGCATGTTAATAAGTATCTTCAAGTATGTTACCTCTCGAGAACTATTTTTGAATGTACTAGCTTTCTAAACTTCAAAACCCAAGCGGTTTAAAGCCTCAGAGTTTCAGGAGTTTCAGAAATTCGAAAGTTTCAAGAAACCACAAAATTCCAAAGTGCTCTGCAAGTCTGCTATCCTATAGGATAGAATTTTGTGCGGAATTGAATTTACGTGGTATATCGTGTGCGCACGCATTCAGGTACACGCACATTGCGAATCTATTAAGGGCAGGTCGAATCTATCGAATTATAGCACGCGACACCCACGTTGCCATGAATAATGCATGGAGCCAATAGCGCGACGTACTCGGCCGGAAGCTTTTACCTCGGCGGAAATATATTTCGAATATATACCGGCTCGTCAACGACCCTCTATATATCGGAGAAATTAAATTAAACCTGTCCCTTTCGCTCTGCATTTTTCCTACTTTTCTCTTCTTCCTGTTATTCAATTTCTCTTTATCTTTAGAATCGAGTCGGGCGTGAATTTAAGTCCGTCTGTAATTTCGCAGAGAACGAAATTACGTTCCGTTGCTGTGGACGGCTAGATCGATCGTTCTCAAAGCGTCGAACAGATTTCTAAGAAGGTCCTTCATCGATTCGATCAACGAAGCGTTCGATTATCTGCGTGTAATTGGTCATTGACGGCCGGGAAATGTTAAAAAAAAATGCGGTGACTAATTCGAGATATCTTGGCGTCGAGGACAAAAACATTGCGTGATGGTATCAGCGTAATTGACTATTGCTCTAACAGTCAGCTTGTTAACGCATTATTATGAGAATCAACGGAAAGCTTAAATGGTAGAAACCAATATTTAAATTGGTAATCGTATGCAAATGTTATATGATAATATCGACGCCATTGATGCTATTATTAAACTTAAGACGTCTTCTCGAGAAGCTGCAAAAGAATTGAAAGTTGAAAAGTCGAAGTTGATTATTAAATGTCGGTAATTCGTAAAGTCGATTAATTAAGTATGAGCGGTTGAAAGGTGAAAGTTTCGCAATAACGATCGTATAAACGCCGTCGTAAAAATCATACAAATTAAGTGGATAATAATCTACGAAAGCGAAAGGACCGATAATATTTAGTCGCAAAATCGTGCTGGCACACGGTCTTCGACTAAATTTTCGAATTCCCTTGAATGATTCGAGGTACGATGTTCGCTCTCTTTTGCTCTCTTTTATTTTTACCGGTGGCCTTCGCGATTCCGTATCCCTCGCTCTCGAATCCAAGGTGAACGCGTCGCTTTCAGGTTTACGCTTTGCTAGCTTCTACCATCCGCGTGTTTCTGAGTTACGTTAGTCATTCGTGAACAACGACCGTCTTCCGGCAATATTCCGACACGATTCCCTCTCGTTTTCTCGCCGGCGCAATTATTTTTTCAGCTCGTCTCGCTCGAGATTCTCGCGAAATTTTAGTCGTTAAGCCAGGAACCACGTTTTTACGGCTGTTACGTGATTTAGGAAGATGAAGGTCGTTTTAATGCTCCTTTTTTCTCCCGACTAACAAACATTCTTGTTGGAATAGCATTTCATTCCGTAGTTATGTGTACGTTCCACGAATAATGATCAAGATATAGAACGTCATTTTTTTAAATCTCATGATTGACTCGTAAATTTTTAGTTATACAACTGACAGACAACCAAAATTTTCGGACGCGAATACATTTTCGAACGATCGCAAGGCTATTTACCAAGAGCTCATTCTATTAGATATTCGTGTTATCAAAAGTATATGGTTTCCTATCGAAATAACTTGGCCTATAAAAAAGGAAATCGTTGCGCTTTATAATTCCTATTGTAATTGTATTAAATTTAATAGTCTTCAGAATTTTTTCTTAATATCGTAGTCTCGCCTTGAAAATAAATTGTTTTTATTGGTAACCGTGCTTCATTTCCGGTTTCATTAATTTTACGGCGACTCGGGCCGCAATGCAATTTTTTTCGATCGTTCCATTTCCGCTACAATTATAATCTTTTGCGAACTCTTTAATCGTGAACAAACACGTTCGATACTACGTGATTCATTTCATGAAGAGAACTGTAAATCCCCGAAAAACAATAGCGAATTGAAATTCCAATCGGCCCTGACATTTTATCAATAAAATCTCAAATTTGTTTGTTTCCCTCGTCCAACAAAAATACCGACTATGATTATAATTTGTCATAGATGCGATCGATCGCGTCGATAATCGAATTGGAAGATTGATGGCTCGTGTTATCAACATTTTTTCGAAACGTGACGAATGTTTCGTTCCAAATCTACGTTGTTCCGATGGACAATACAGTCGAATTAACTTCATAACGGGAAGATAAATTTCGAGTAAATGAAATATCATGACTTTGAAAGCAACGTTGATGTAATACAAGTATTCGTAACGGAAGTTGATCGATTGCATGATTAATCTTTCCGTGACAGATAAGCTCAACTATTCGGGTAAAGAAATAAAAGAAACGATGCAACAATGACAAAAAGTCAAGGCATCCAATAAGTGTTTGATGACTCCATTTTTAATTCATATTACGAGCTGGTTCGTCATACTTGGTATGTCATTAATCGCATTATGCAGTATATCGTGGATCTAGGAATTTAGAAATACAATTCATTATTTTTTTATATTTTATTGCTATATATTCTTTCCGTAAACCCAAGGAAAAAAACGTCGATCGTTTTTGTGTAGAAACGAGGTAGAGGCTTTCGACCCATTCCGGAAGTCGAGCGAAAAATAGAGGTACTGAATCGCGCGCTGTGCCCTTAATAATGTTAATACGAGCGGAGAGAAAAAAGAAATAAACGGTGACGTTTCTTTGCCTCTACTCGTTGTGGAAAACGATTAACAAGGTTAATAATATAACGCCGATGAAAGGCCGTCGCTTTGAGCGACTCTACGTCGGACCAGGCTCGCTGGTGCACGATAAACGCGCACGTAAAACACGTACCAGATACGTAATTAACTGCGACGTAATTAGCTCACCTTCCAGACCGTGTGCTCTCGCTGCACTGTAACGGCCACGGTATTGCATCTCTGTGTGCTGAGATTTCTAATGGCTGTGCGTCAAGCGAGGGTAAGACCCCGTGCGCGCATGCGCGAGTCAAATGGAGGGGGTAAGGGATGACGAGTCGGGTCTATAAAAGAGCGTGCCGCGGGTAGCACCCCTGACACGCTTTCGCGCCCCACTATGGGCGGTAAGGGGTACAGTCAGAGCGCGGGAAACGCTCTGATTCAAATACAGAGAGCGCGAAAGCGTCGGAACTATTTTAAATAAAAACCATGAAATTAAATCTGTGTTATAAAAACGAAATATGAATGCGTGTAGATGTTTCTAGATATGTACACTCTATATCCTTATATTTATAGATTTCTCTATCCTTTGACTCTTACATTTCTAAACTCCTAATACGTTTAACGCGATGAATATCGCGTCAGCCGATATCGTGCAATTGAAGTAGAGATGTTCTTTGACTTTTGCAATTGTTCTCCAGAAAAAATTCCGAGCTAAATGTAAATGCTGATGCTACGTCAAAAAAAAGAATCTTGCACGGATGAATCTGTCCGTACGTCATAAATTTATTTTCACTTTCCTCGGTAGAATTTCTGCTCGACAAAGTAATTCGCGCACGTAGGCGTTACATGGAATTTCTGAATTTTACTCTGTTCATCGACCTTCGGCGACTTGCCAACTTGAAATCGAGCTGGATGAATGAGAACAGTTTCCATGGATTGATTTCTCGTTACGTCAACCAAGATCCCTGAAATATTTCATCGATTGAATCTGAACCCAACCTCTGTCCGCTACGCACACGATTTCGACATAAAATATTTGAGAAAACAGATGGGATTAAGTTAATTCACTCGTAGAGAAAAAGATTTCGCGCAAATGTAGATCGATAAAACTTGAAGGAAATCTGGATAGATTGTTAGCAATCTCATCTGTTTTAATTATACATTTAGAAATCTGAGATTAAATAGTTGACCTTTGGAGATCGTCAAAATCTGTAAAACGTCTGGTTTTCAGACAGAATCGATGTTCTCATTCCGGTTAAGTATTCTCGTTCAACGATGCGATCGCCCGTTTTTCGACCGAGGAATTCATATCGAAATTCTGGTTGGCTGCAGAATTTATCGTCGACGATTTTCGAATTAATTCGTGGAAAGTTACAAACGTTACGAACGTGTATGTTTCGTATGCATCCACAATTTTTCATGGCAAGAAGACCACTTCTCAAGTGACTCAAAATTTATGTAACTCGTTTTATCAGCTTTTAAATGACGTTAGTTATAATTACGAGCCATTGGTATCGTAAGTACACAGATATTTACGGTTGCTCGGAAAGTACGCGGTTTTAGGAGTCTCTGTACGGGTTCTGAGAGGGAAGCGTATTATGCGTCTAGCATGTAAACACAGATCGAACAAGGTTAGGTAACGATGTTAAAGCTTTAATAGGATCATGTGGCAGGACGATCAAGCAGTGAAGACTTATCGCTGGATGAGCAATAAATCGACAGCTTAACTCCTTACTTTATGATTTCTTTCGCCACTACGTGTCTAACAGCTAATAACTAATACGTTGACCGTTGAGTAAGCGGCGCTAAGAGTTCTAAGAAAAACAAGATTCTAACGTCACGCTTCTAACAGACTGGAATGACATTATCTTCGAGTTAGTACTTCACCTTTTTAAATACGTACGTTTTCCAGAAATGACGCGTTATTGCGTCACATTGGTAAAATTTAACCATTTTTGCGTTCTTCCCATTCGACCTGTTCAGGCATCAAGAATGAAATAAAGTTCAGCGGAGGCATTCGCGTAATTGGCGATTCGTTCACAAATTGACAACCGATAGTTCCAACAACTCTCCGTCGGTTTTCTATTCCGACAGGTCGATTCGATCTTCCGCTTCATGCACCAGAGTTTCATTTAAAACGGCTTCCACCTGAGCTCGTTTTTCTCGTGTTACACAATCGATTCCCTTCTCGTTGGTATCTCACGCCTACAGCTTCGTATTCTGATTACTGATTTATGATTGTTTTATGTAAAATAATCGAAGCGTGTTCGTGCAATGCTAATCGAATTTTGCTCGACAGTAAAATATTATTAATACATATTTTACTACTTTTTGATTATCGAAATTGTATGTTATTCTTTCGAAACACCTGGTGCGTTATACGTTATTCGCTCGATGTTTCTGAAAGTCCGCCTCGTGCATCGCATACTAATTCGACGCGATTAAAGACGTGGCTGGCGCGCCTGAAAACAGAACAAAATTATGCGATAAAACAATTAAACAAAATTTCTTTTCACTTTCACGCTCCTTTTGGACTACTATTCTTTAGTGTGCGCCATTTATTCGGTACCCTCTTTTAAGAACTACCGGGATCGTTATATTATGCCTATTCATTCGATATGTGTAAGGTCGTACCTTGTACGTCAAACGCTATTTATCAAACATACATGACGCACCGTATACGTCTTACGTTATTTATTCAATAGACTTGCAAAGCGGTATGTTTGCGCTACTTGTCCCATCCGCGTAACAAGGCACCTTGTACGTCTCGAGCTAATTATTCGATTCACTATACGAGACACCTCGTGCGCGTTGCATTGTCACCCTCGATAACGTGACAGGTGCACAAATGCATTGTCAACCGATGCTTGAAAAACTATTTGAAACGAACATTGGTTCGAAATCGGTATAAATAGTGAATATTTTAACGACGAGTAAATTGGTCAGAAAGAGTAGGTAGCTCCTTGTGTTCGAATTTGCTTCTTGGACGGATCGAAAGAAATGAAAAAGCCGACAGGAGGAAATTGCAAGCTAATCAACGGAGTTGAAAAAATTGAGCATCGAGCTCGAAGCAGTCGCGTGAACGTGGACGCGCTGGTAATGTTCACGCATGGATGAGACGATATCGCAAAACAAGCATCCAAGAGTCGTGTCGCGTAATTGTAACGAAGCGAAGTTACGCTACGGTCGTCAAGACCCACCTACTGACCTACACGCTTCTACATAGAGCCAGCAACCGTGTTTTGTCTTTGCAAGTGTTCGTACGTGTCTCGGGTTTATTTGCGTTTCATTGTAATACGAGTTCATTCTCCTTTTCCTCTATCTCTCTTTCTCCCTGTTTCGCGCCTTACGTGTGCCAATGAATGGACCACGTATTCGTGCGCGTTGCACCGATTAACCATCCGACTTATCACCCCTCGCGAATAATTGCATCCGTTTCGAAATGCCAGTGAGCATCCTTCTATCGAAAACCCCTCGAACCGATCGGAACGGCACGGCAATGTTTAATTCGCGTATACCGTTTGAATTATTGGGTATTTAAAAGAGGATCGCTTTTACGTTAGCTCAGGTACTAGATTTAGAATTATTTAGCAACCTTTGCAGTATTTCTTGAGCCCTAATTTGCTATTAATACAGCTTCAAATGTTTCAAGTATAAACTTGTTCAGAATAGATCGGGGTTAGATATTACTTTTCATTCTTTAGCGGTCCAAAATTTGACTGTCTAATTTTAGTCGACACTCGTTTAGTTCATCTGGATCGTGATTGACCCGCTCGAGAGTCGATTAAAGGAGATTGAAATTGATTATTCGTACTAATCATAGAACATACTTATCCGTTATTCTTCCTACTATCGGTACGTGTCGTTGAAAACTGTGACGAGATGCGCTTCGCTCGCTTTTCAGCAAGTCATTTATAGTCGACGGTCGGTCTATTTTAATCGAATATTCCGTTTGGACTCGGGCCTGAGCGTATAATGGTCCTTAAAAATGTCGAGCTACCCGTGATAAGATTATAAACGTGTTTACGAGCGCAACATCGTGAACCTTGTACCCGAGCCGCGCTTTTACGATTTGAAAAATCGTTCCACCCTCCCTGTGTGTGGGCATCGCGCCGTTCCTTTCCTTTATCCTCCGTTTCCCATTGTTCATCTATTATGCACGATAATACTCGAGTTCGCGACCTTTCTACAAGACCCCCCGCTTCTGCAACACTTTTTTTTGCGTTTATTTTCCTTCTCGTTAATGAAAAGAAAGTGGTTTGATACGCTGCGTTGACTCTGCACTTTGCACACTCGAGTGTATTGCAGATCCGCGAGTAGACGATAGATCATTGCTGGTCAGGGCCTACCCTTACGAGTACTTACATATTGCTGTATATTGCATAGTTATGCATTGTATTCTTACATTAAGGAGGACCACCCTGATCTCTCGTTTTACAACCAGTTTAAGAATTTTCAAAGTGTCGGCGATACCGTTCGATTAATATTTTCATCCTTTTTCGTGTCGCAGGTTCTGCGTCCGTGGAACAGAAGAATGGAAACGGCAGCGCGAAAAATAATAAAACGAACAACAACGGGGTCGAGGTGAATCGGAACGAGGAACAAAATGGTTCTAGCGAGCTGAAAAATCAAGCCAAGAAGAAGTCGAACGCACCTGGAAGTGGTCCTCTGTTACAACAAGCGTGAGTTTCAATTTCTGAATCTTTCGAAAGAAGAATATAAATATGTAGAAAACTAAAAGTTAGTTTTTAATGTTACAGAGAGATATCCACCAGTCAACTTGACTTCTTCAAGATGCTCGATGAGAAGATCGAGAATGTAAGTGTTGCATCTTCCACGGAAGAAAACCATTTTCTCTAATTTCTCTCAGGGTTCTCAATAGATTTCTCTGGGTTCTATATAACTTTATAATAATCTGTCTAGCTTTTATTCAGGTGCGTCTAGGATTTTCTCAAGGCTATTCGTAGGCTTAATGAATTCAAACGTGTGTTACATTCTGAGTATTCCACAAAATACTGTTTGTCCGATTAAATCTGTCTTGCACGGAGTACGCCGTCGTAGTAATCCACTATGTGACGAAGCTTTCGGCTTACGCTATGTAACGAGAATCGGGATTAGCCTCGAATTACGCGGTGTATTCTCTATCGTGTCGGCAAAATACATTGGAATCAGGCCGTGTAAAATAGATTGTGTACCCTTAAGGCTTCGCTGACCTTGCTTGGCCAGCCTTGTCACAATAATAATATTAATCCGTGCGGCAGTTGGTCAACCAGTTGCAATTTTTATCTACTGCGGGACATGAATTTGTTTGGTATTTCATTGGTTGCATACTAAACGACCTTGCGACCATACCGAAGATGCCGCTCGTTCCTCACCCTTTTTTCTTTTCATGCGTTCGTACCGGTTGTTCTTGACCGCTCTAACGTGATCTCGATCTCGTATTCTTCGTTCGCACTGCAACGCACTGGAAATTTATTGTAAACAGTTTGTTCCGAAGCGTGATCGATCGTCTTGTCAGAACGATTTGGAAAATTTTTAGAGACACTCGAGTAAACCCAACAAGGACAAGAATTTTAGATGCATAGGTGGATAGTGTTCGTCATTCCTTCTACTCTTGAATCTAGACTTGTGTGTAGACTTCGTTCGGTGAATAAAAGAAAGAAAATTGTGTTAAAAGAACCTAGAGAAATCTTAAAGAGAGCCTCATTCATCTTAGCAAGACAAGAAATAAAACAATCATTAACCAAGCTAAGCGTTCACCTCAATCGTTGTAATTCTAAGAGATATGGTAACACTATGATTACAGGGGCCAGATTACGACGAAAGTTTGGACACGATGGCCAGAGCCGAACGAGTATCCAATCTTCTTCGTCAATGGGAGCTTGCCAGCGTGACCTGGTCCAGCGTATCCGACCTGAACAACACCTCTCCTTCCTGTACAACGAAGAATCGTGGATCTGGATTGAATTCGTCCCGGCAAAGTTTGAGCGCGAAAGACAGAGAAGGAATGAGGAACATAGTCGGTGGTAGACCGGAGAGCGCCCCGATTTACGTGAGGAACGCGAATCGCGTAGACGGCCTGCAGGAGACTCACTGCCCATCGCCAAACATGCCGAGGCACGTGTTAGAGTCCATCACCCAGAGTCCGACGCAAAGCTTGAAGAACGTCACTCCGCCAGGCTCGTCTCCTACCAGTTTGCGCTATCATCAGGACACCTACAAGGAGTGTAACGCCAATCAACCATCCGTGAAGACCGTCAACGTGCACTACGGTACTCAAAATCCTGTAAACGGAGAGTACGTGACCCAACAGGCCCTTTATCGCGATCAGTATTTACAACAAACCGGAATCATTACCGTACCTTCACAATATTCGACCAGCTCGCCCGGTGGCAACGTGCTCAGAAACAATCCGTACATGCAACAATATCAGATCACTAATCCGCAACACTTCACCGCCTCCAGAAAACGAGGCTTCAACGCTGCCCAAATGACGTGACCGGACTGGCCATGCACCACCAGATAAAAAGACTGAAATTATATCTTGCGAGAGAAAGAGAGAGGGGAGGGGGAGAGAGAAAAGCGCTAGCTGGACTCGACGATGATCTTTCTCGAGCTCTTCGTCGAGATGATTCTACGAGACAAGAAAGAAGGAGAGAGAGCCTCTGCAAGGCTGGAGACTGACCAACAAACGGAGAAGATACGGATGTTTCTCTGTATGTTCCTAACGATTCCGTACATTTTCGTTGCGGCGAAGACACGTAAAGTTCGGTACAGGCGAACGATCTTCGTCGTTGCGGTTTCACACCGGTAATATCTTGCGATTCCAAATTATGACACGCTATCGTAACGATATCGTTTTATTAATTGCGACGTGATGTAAACCTGTCGAATTGTGGAGCGACACCTGTGCGAAAACGCAACGAGTCGTTCGTCTCCACCGAGCCTAAAAAGTACACGTATATCGTGTGCACGGATGATACACAGCGATGCTAAAACACGTTGGTGATGGCCTAAAAGATATCGCGATCGCGAAAAGAGGCAGCATTATCTGTTCTATGGAAATTCTTCTGGAGTCTGCTGACAGAATTCTTCGCTATAAGTGCCAAAATGCTTTCGTAAGCAATTCGATTGTCACGGGAAAAAGAGAGAGACATTAAGGTCCCTTTATGTGCAACCTTTCCATGCCTATTCCGAGTATGGAATTTTCCCTTTGCCCATTTTTCTTGTATAGACTGCAATTTTGGTGCAATATTAATCTTCCTTAGGTTTAATGTCCTTTGGAGATAGTCACGATATTAGAATAATTATTTTGTATATATATAAATGAATGTATAAAAGTAAATGATGACCGTTTTGAAAGGACATTACATTTACCGGAGTTAATAATGCGTCAGATCTATCAGATACGAGAAAAATGAATATACGATCAGGTACGATACGGTTGTTTATGAATGGACCTTTATCCGTTGAACCAATACTCCGTTCTTTGTAATTCGTGTAAATGAAACTTTTCGATGTGTATATGATATACATATTTTTTGTTTCGTTCATACTTGTACTTTCGTTCTTTTTTTCTAATCGGTAGCATCTCTACGTATCATTAATAAATGTATATTTCTATATATATAAGGGAAAAAGAACAAATATATATATATATATGTATACAAAAAATAAAAAAGAACCACACGCGAACGCGAGTTTCGCCGTAGCGTTTTGTATAATTGTGTAATAGACAAAGAATATTTCTGAAATATATGTATATGTACATCGCATATACGCGTGTATGCATTTATGTATGCATCTAAAAAGCATCAAAGAAACCGAAAACATCAAATGTATTTAGGAGTCTTACTTATATACCGTGTATAGATTCAATTGTATGTATTGTATGGATACATTTAATTTAACGTGATGACTGTATATTTATATGTTGACCATGTTCAAAGTTAACGATATATATAGTTGATGATGAGAGTTTTATATTTCATGTTACGGATATGCTGTATATCGTGGAATACACTCAATCGAATTCGCTGCATCGCTGTCAAATTCAAAACTACTACATTCTTATTTTTTTCTTCCGTTCAACAACCTTCATTTATTTCTGCTATTTTATAAATGAATTCGTAGGTTTCCCCAACGAATGATACTTGTATCGTCGATTGTTACATGCAATGGATTTTCGTAATCCGTCAAGAAAAGATTACGGTATGTAAATTGAATAGACATTAAAAAAATCGATATATTTAAAACAATTAAATATTCGTGTTGGTCCAATTAAATATTCTTAAGCGAACTTAGGAATTGAGCCTTTTACTGGTTTTATAATTCAATATTTTCGATGACGTAGCTTTCTGTTCCTACATTTTCCATTCTTTATCCAGATATTGTAATTGCATAATTTGTATAATAAAAAAATGAACTTTGTGTTAATCGTACCTTAGTCCGATATTTCGCATTTAAAATTGACATGAACTCTTATTTCAAAAACAGCAGTGCTGGCGTTATCTAGCAGTGAACACCGAAATTAATCAAATAAAAAGGTATTTCTTATTTCAAAATAAGCAATCTTTATACTTTATTGGCATAAGATAAACTTTTTACCGTCACAATATGATTCGAAAATATTGCTATCATCGTGTGCACGAGGATATTTTTAATTTTCTAACGTAAATCAGAACTGTCGATACTACAGGAGTAGACGAAATTGGCAAGAAAGGTATTTTCAAAAGAAAACATCTGTGAGAACGGTTTTTGATCACGGAATATAATGCAAATAGGATAAAATCAATATTAATAATTATTGAGCGAGCGAGCGAAGCTCTTATACTTGACTTTGCAACTTCTTTGCCCACGTTTTTCTTTTGCACCACTCAACCAATTCTCATCAAATTTTGCACGTACATGCATATGTACATCCAGATGGACATAGAAAAGAAAATTTTAAATAGGACTTGCCACGGAGGAATAGTCACCGAAAAAACTGATCCTCATTGACTATATGGAAAATAAAAAAATGAATATTTCGGCACTTTGACGACGTAGTATGGTTCCTGAGGTATTTAGAAACAAATTTCTATTAGGGTTTGATGCGTTTTGATGCCTAATAAAGCCAGGAAATCAATTTTGGTCGAATTCGGTCCAAAACGATACAGGTGGCGCCATCTAGCGGCGAGCGGCGGAACTACGAAAAACTAAAATCTCGATTTTCTCGAAAACTAGGGACTTTTCCGAAATTCTGAGATATACAAATTGTTTCTTGTCGCCTACGGAATCGAACGAATGCAATTATAGCATGCTAGGACAATTATTAAGGAAAATAGAAAAAAAGGCCATTTCATGGACTTAAAAATTGGCGTCCATCTAGCGGCGAAAGTTGGAACTACAAAAATATAAAAATGCGATTTTCTCGAAAATTAGCGAACTTTGAGTACTTCTGAGGCTCAGAAAGTGTTATGTGATCCCATTAGGACCAAAATAAAGCAATAAAAGTTTCCTGAAAGCTTTAATAAAGAAAATGAAAAATATGTCATTTTATGGAGAAAATTTGTGGCGCCATCTAGCGGCGAAACTGCGAACTAAACTGAAAAAACGTATGTCCGAACACGCGTTAAGGAAATATATAAAAAGTAATATTTTGCAACTTTGACGACGTAGTATGCTTCTTTAGACATTTAAAGACAATTTTTGTTGAATATGTTATTCATTTTTTTGCCTATTAAGCCCAGAAAATCAATTTTTATTTGACCCCTTAACGCGTGTTCGGACATACGTTTTTTCAGTTTAGTTCGCAGTTTCGCCGCTAGATGGCGCCACAAATTTTCTCCATAAAATGACATATTTTTCATTTTCTTTATTAAAGCTTTCAGGAAACTTTTATTGCTTTATTTTGGTCCTAATGCGATCACATAACACTTTCTGAGCCTCAGAAGTACTCAAAGTTCACTAATTTTCGAGAAAATCGCATTTTTATATTTTTGTAGTTCCAACTTTCGCCGCTAGATGGACGCCAATTTTTTAGTCCATGAAATGGGCTATTTTTCTATTTTCCTTAATAATTATCCTAACATGATATAATTACATTCGTTCGATTCCGTAGGCGACAAGGAACAATTTGTATATCTCAGAATTTCGGAAAAGTCCCTAGTTTTCGAGAAAATCGAGATTTTAGTTTTTCGTAGTTCCGCCGCTCGCCGCTAGATGGCGCCACCTATACCGTTTTGGACCGAATTCGACAAAAATTGATTTCCTGGCTTTATTAGGCATCAAAACGCATCAAACCCTAATAGAAATTTGTTTCTAAATACCTCAGGAACCATACTACGTCGTCAAAGTGCCGAAATATTGCACTTTGCATGCGCAGTAGAATTGACATAGGCGGCTCATGTACGTATCGCAATGTTGACACAAAATAATTAATTACTCATTACCCGAACATTGTTTATGAACTTTTATGATCGAACCATGTAAATAATGCATTACTGACCATTCTTTAATCGAAAAAGTTCATATACTGTGCTCAGAAAGTGAGTAATTAATTAATAAAGTCAATATTAATCAAATAAAAAAAAAAATTGAACAAGTGGCGCCATCTCTTCAACGAAAAGGGTGAACTATACACTTTTGAAACTGCACTTTAATTAGTTCTCATTTTCTGCCGCTAGATGGCGACACGAAATTTCGCCCAAATTTGACTTTCGAAAATTGCTGATGATTGCTTCTAAATTTTCAATAAGTACAATTTTGTAAAAAATTCAGAGAGATGCATAAACATGAATTTTGAAAAACATGTGAAAGTGAGGCTTTCAAAGTACTTTCAATTTGCAATAAATTATTGTTCCTTTTCTGCTATAAAATGAATTGGTTTGATTTAAAAAATAAGCATTTATTTGAATAAGTGGAATTATTTACTTATCCCGTTGAATGAAGAATGACGTTTGTGAATGCAGAAAGACAACATTGAATGGCAGGGACCATTTCTCTTTGGCTACCATTTCTCCCTGAAAAGCCGGAATTACACACAAACGTATGAACTACGTTAGTGTTGAATGTTTCCATGCAAAGTATTGAAGCGCGAAATATGTCAGTGAAGCACAATTTGTACTGACAGAATTGAGCAGAATGATATACTTTAATTATGTATGAGCAAGATTGGTGTATTGAATTACTGGTTGCATGTAAATGGTATTAAAATTTTGATTTACTTTGATGTATAAAAATTATGCCTATAATGTTTTTGGGTGTGGCATAAAACATATACAATTCTGTTAATGTTACTGTTGCAATTTATTTATCGTTTCGAATAGGAATTGTATATATTTCATGATATTCTTATAAACGGACAATAATTTATCACTTTCAATGCTATGATTACGTGTTCAATGTTGATACAACTTTGAGGTTAAGCGGTTTATATTGTAATGCATGAATCGTATATCATTTTTTTGTGTTTTTGAATTTACAATAATGGTTTAGTTTATGCATAGGTAGCAATAAAATTTCTTATTTAGATTGTTGCAATTATTTATTCCAATCTCTTAATATAGTGATGTAAACACAGCTAATAAATATAAAAATCATTATTTTATACATGTAAATGTCTCCTCCATTATTTACTAAAATGCGGTTTGTTTCCAGATGTAATGAACAAAGGTGTATATAAATATGTTGTACCAAGTATAAAAGTCAAAGGAAATACTTGAGCTATTAGCATGGAGAAGAGAGCCAGCGCTGAACTTCTAAATATAGAGCAAAATAATTCTAAAAATGCAAGTTCTGACTCCCTTAATTCTGACAGCAAGAGCAGTTCCCTTAATTCCAAGATGGGTCAAGAATCGGTAACATAACTTAGTTAATAAAATGGATTTTTAATTTAGATTTATCTGTATCTAATTGTATGCAAGCATTTAACTTCTTTAGGAAAGCTGGGATAAAGCTTCGCGTTCAAAAAGTTTTTCCTCCAGCTCTACTTCTACAGATAATAATATTGTGTCTGCTTTAGAAACTAGAAAAGACAATCAAGTAAAAGTGAGTTCTATTCAAAGGAATGTAATCAATGTAGTTTTTATCTTTTGAAACATTTTCTTATTATTAGATTATGTTTTCTTTTTCAGACAATATGTTTCTTGATTTTATTAGTTTGGCATATCTTTTTTTGCTCCCTGAAGATTATGTAACATCACTTTTACTTTTTCAGTATTTAAATTATTTAGAACCTTTATTCAGTTTTAAGTAGTAAATAATTATATAATTTAGTGATTTAACAATCATATTAAATTATCATAGTTGGCATGTTTATCTTTTTTTTCACAGAACTTATCTGGTGGAGAGACAGGTCCACCACTGTTGAATGGTGAACGTGTCCAAGGTATTGCACAGGAAGTAACATATGTATGTCCTTATTCTGGACTTGTCAGAGGAATTCTTAGTGTTACAAATTATAAACTTCATTTTCGGAGTGTGGATCGCGAAACACCTTACATAGTCGAAGTACCTTTAGGTGTAGTTAGCAGAATAGAAAAAGTTGGCGGTGCATCGAGCAAACGAGAAAATTCTTACGGAATCGAAGTGTTTTGTAAAGATATGCGCAATCTCAGATTTGCTCATAAACAGGAAAATCATTCCAGAAGAGACGTTTTCGAGAAACTGCAACAATATTCGTTTCCTTTATCTCATAAGTTACCTCTTTTCGCGTTCGAATATTCCGAAACGTTTCCTGAAAATGGATGGAACGTTTACGAACCCATAGCCGAATTAAAGCGAATGGTAAAGAATATGAAATATCTTTATCTCGTACATTGTAATTATGTACGTAAAATGTTATCATTGTTTTCAGGGTGTAAACAATGATATGTGGAAGATATCAAAAATCAACGACACTTATTCTATATGCGATAGTTATCCAGCTGTGTGGGCAGTGCCAGCCGCAGCGACGGACGAAGACTTACAAGCATCAGCAGCTTTTCGAAGCAGAGGAAGACTTCCAGTTCTTTCGTGGATTCATCCAGAGAGTCAAGCGACGATAACTCGTTGCGCTCAACCACTGGTAGGGGTTGGTGGCAAGCGTAGTCGCGAAGACGAAAGATACGTGCAGCTTATTATGGACGCTAATGCACAAAGTCACAAATTGTTCATTATGGATGCTCGACCAATGGCCAACGCGATAGCGAACAAAGCCAAGGGCGGTGGCTATGAAAGCGAGGACACTTATCAGAACGCGGAGCTAGTATTTCTTGATATTCACAATATACACGTAATGAGGGAAAGTCTCAGGAAATTAAAGGGTGAATTTTTTTTAAGATTCGATTCAGGGTTTCCCAAACTTTTATGGATCAAAACCTATTCGTTTGATCACACATTGGGAATCTCTGTTCCGGATTGATTAGTATTTACTAACGGAGGAAAGTTAAATCGTCAACTAATTTTTAGAATTATGCTTTCCAACGATCGACGAAACCAGATGGCTATCAGGGATAGAGTCTACCGTCTGGTTGAAACATATTAAATACGTACTTGCAGGAGCGGTACGAATCGTAGATAAAGTTGACAACCATAAAACTTCGGTGCTAGTGCACTGTTCGGATGGTTGGGATAGAACAGCACAGGTTAATTATTAAATAATGCTTCATGCAAATATTTTGCAAGTGTTTCTTGCAGTGTACCCAAAATATTTATTACCTTTTCACAGCTCACAGCACTTGCCATGTTGATGTTAGATCCCTATTACAGAACAATCAAGGGTTTTGAAGTACTCATAGAAAAAGAATGGCTTAGTTTTGGTCACAAATTTCAACAGGTATGTAACGCCACATTTATTTTCAGTGTATTGATTTCAAAGTTTTATAATTCATAATTCTTGTAACGTATATTAGAGAATTGGACATGGCGACGAACATCACAGTGATGCGGATAGGTCGCCAGTATTTTTACAGTTCATGGACTGTGTGTGGCAGATAAGTCGTCAATTTCCAGACGCGTTCGAATTTAACGAACATTTCTTAATCACTATTCTTGACCACCTGTACTCTTGCAGATTTGGTACATTCTTATTCAGCAGGTATTTCATATTTTGGATTAGTCATTGAGTGTATCATTGATCACTATTGATATAAATTAACACTTTTACAGCGAACGCGAAAGAGTTCAAGAACAAGTGAAACAAAAAACTGTCTCCCTTTGGTCATATACAAATAGCCAGTTATCACTTTATCAGAATCCCTTATATTGGGGCGCTGCAAATTACCAACCTGTTTTAATCCCGATCGCCAGCATGAGATATATCAAACCGTGGAAGAGTCTGTATTGCAGATGGAATCCCAGTATGCGACAGCAGGTTCGTTAAAACATATAGAATACATGATAAATATTCATAAACATCTTTGTCCTTAATTCTTTAATTCTGGTTATCGTTTACTTTTTAAGGATCCCGTTTATCAACGCATAAGAGAACTTCTAGTCTTAAAGGAGCAACTGGAGAAACAGCTCGAGGAAGGGCGTCGCGAACAAGCCAGTCGAGTAAATAGATCTGTGACCTCACCAGCACCTCCTAGGATACATTCGCCGATTCATTCATAGCACAGCAAGGATTCTTTCTCGTCTTTTAATGATCTGTAATTATTTGTAAATGATTATCCTTTTCTCGCTCGAGTCAGCGTATCATTTATACCTAAATTTACTTCGCCATGTACAGAACGTTCGTCGATAAAGAGAAAAAGAAACATGTTTACAAATTTTTCGCAAATGGTTTTTTATACATATTTGCTCCATTTTCCTATTCATTCGTTCATATAAAAATATACATTTCAAAAACGGAGTCGTTCATTATTAACATTCTTATGTACAATCAAATACGAATGTTTTTTCTACAATCATAACCTTCCTTGGATAGATGGTTATCGAGTGATTATTAGACTTGTTTCAATTGTATTTAGCAGGATTTGTGAGCACCAAACTTTAGAAGAAACGAATTGTATTCTCGTGTGTACGAATCTCGTATTCGGTACCAAGTCGGTACCAAGCACAAAGAACTGCATGTCATTGCTGAGGTACCAAGTCCAGGTCATGCACTGAAACAGTTGCGTCTTTTAACATTTTCTGTAAGATATATCTAAATTGCAGGGTTGTCAAATTATACCCACTAAGTCTTCCCAGTTGTAGAAGTTGTTGATGTACAGCAGATTTCTCGAATCCGAATTATGCCCACGAGGCACAATGCAACGTAACAAAATACTTGAATAATTTATAAACTAGCATGGAAATTAATACATATATTCACACGCATGTTTTGTAAATTTGGCACATTTTTATTTAACAAGTATTCAATATGTTACACAATAATATGTTACAAATATGAACGCGGAAGAGTTCATGAACAAGCGAAACTGTCTCCCCTTGAGCATGTACAAACAGTTAATCAACATCCCTTATATCGAGTGGCTTGAAATTTTCAACTTATTTTATCTTCGGCCGCCGCCATCAAATAGTCCTGACGAAGTTTACTATGGCGAGCATTGCACTAGTTGTGCAAAACATGTTTTGTTTTTAATCTCGAAAAAACAATTCGAAAAAAGGATGTAGTAAACAACCTGGTTGAACAAATCATTCTTTGTCTCCAGCGTCGTCTAATCGCATTTACTGTTCAAATATTGCATAGTAAGGATTTTTCCACGCCCTTAATTAATCTATATTTATTTGTAAATATATTTCCTCCTCTCTTTCAAGTCGGGTGTCATTTATAACTAAATTTACTTCGCTATGTACAAAACGCTTATCGATAAAATAAGAAATATATTTAAGATTATTCCACAAGTGGTTCCGGAGCTTCACCTCTTCTTTCCACGTGTCGAATTTTATAAAAACGTGTACTCCTGAAACAAAGCGAATCACGCTAATTACCGAAAGCGTTCTCGAATCATTTTTTCGATAGTTCAATAATTTGAATATGTACTCATTTTATTCTTCTGTTGAAGGAACTGATTATTCGTAAAAATAATATCACTGGTACTTCAGTCATTGCCGACAACACGAATGCACAAACAAAACTCGTTACACATATTCCGAGGCATATGGTACCCTGAAACGAGATAAACGATCAATTTCGAAACTGACACGTTTACGAATGCCATTCGAAACTCACGGTAATTAAGAGGTCAATGTCTTCGGAAGTATTGCTGTACATGCCAATTGACAATATCAAAAATGGATTTAAAAGATAGGCGCAGAGCGAGACTCTGCTGAACGGAACCCAATATGGTAACGACAGAAATTTGTTAACGATACCTGCAAGGATAAAATTAATAAGTACACAAAACATTACCGGTAACAGATAGACGAGTTCGACAAGATTGTTTTACCGCCATTGTTCGTAACACAGGCGATTACGAGCCAAGCTATTCCAACGCTCCAACCGAGTCTGCTAAACGCCTCGTAAAAGATCGACAGTCCTAGCGATATGCGTCTGTCAGACACACCAAACAGTATCGAACAATTGCATAATATGCTGAGGCACCAACAGGTAACTAATGCTTTCTGAAATGCGAACGAGAAAAATACATAATGTATGAATCATGAAACTGCGGGCAAATATTTAGAGTGGTTGTCAAATAACGTAAATTTCTATGACATAACAGTTATTTTCACCGTAGCAAAGCGTTAACGAATAAAATTTATTACTTTCGACAATCGCAATTTATAGTTCCATTTTGTAAGAAGAAGAGCCGTGCCCATCCCTACTATGTACGGCTGTACTCTCATCCATGGTCGCATGTACATGTAAGTCAACGTTTCGTATTGCATGTCCAACCTACGAAACGTACCAGCTTCAGAAACTTTATACGCAATCGATTATCAATATTCCGTATACTCACGTAGGAATGTATTCTATAGAGTATGCAACGAAACCGTGCAAGAACGTGGATACGAGTAATATCGCGATATTTATGCCTAGGGACAGGTAGTAGTAACTGAAACGGTAAATTACGGTCAGACACCAAACAAACGAAATTGTTTTAAGGGTATGTCCACTTACCTGGTCGATAACATCAATACAAAGATACCGAAAATGTAGAACTGCATGTCGTTGGAGAGATACCAACTCCAGGACAGGCACTGAAACAATCGTTTTCTTCAGTCGATCTATGAGGTATTTGTATTACATTAATAACAAAATTGCACGTACCAAGTCAGACCAACCGAAGAAGTTATTGATGTACAACAAATTTCTCCACCAGTACTTCGAACATAGTTCCGGTAGCGGTTCGTTGAAGTACCAAACCGTAAACTGTTCGTACCAAGAAAAGTTTACGATCACCAGCAATATCGTGACCAAGTACGCAGGTGTAAGCCTTAAATAAATTTACGTTAGGATATTTCGTGTAAGGTGTAAGTGCATAGTGTGATTCAGAAACGAGTAATAATACTTCAAAGGATGTATAAATATCTTGTACCCCGAGGACAATTTGAAATTTTCAGTTTCTATTTAGGCTCTCGTATGACGGGTAATGTGTTCATCGCTGAATTAAATAAAGTGGCACTTTCGTGTCGTACTTTGCAAAAGCTCTCGAACGTAATTTGAACCTAGTTCATTTGAATCTAACTTAAAAAATTAAGAATTTCACGATCCCATAAAATATGCAGTCTCGAGGTTTTAATATTAATAATTGCAATCGAGTCCGTCAATATGTCCATGGTTGTGGGTTCGTAGCGAACGCGTTAGCCTGGACGGTCCGCCGTTCAAGGGTTAAGCAGTCGTCACAACACGGTGTTTAATCACCTTGGTAATTCTACGACTATATTTGCAGTAGTTATATAAGATTAGAAACTGAGAAATATAATTAAAAGTGATATCGATAGTAGATGGACTAGGTAATTTATAGATTGAAACATTCGTATCGTCGTCCTGACGTGTTTACGTTAATCCGTCATGTTGAAACAACTAAAAAATGTACTTCGCTTTTTACAATAATTACATTCGTCCGATGAAGTAATATCGATCATTTAAAAATCACTTTACATAATTTGTTAGCCTTCGGTTTACCGCTATTATCGATAGTAATGAAAGGATCAAGATCAAGTACACGCAAAACAAGGTACCTCATGTATCTCTTGAAGATAGCGCTGAAGAAATTGATCGCGTTTCTCTGAAACGGATGCACCTTTCTCTCTTTATTTTGCGCCTTTAGAAAGACAAACGCCAACAGAAATCCGCTGATGAACAGGTACGTGTCGACGGACAGTGTCGCGTTAGACAAGATTTGGATCTCGACATCGTTAGTCATTATGTAGCCTTCCGCCTTGTTACCTGTGCAAACAAAATATGTCAACGCTTCGAAAATTGATCAGGGAAACCCCAGAGAAAAATACACAAATCGCACAAATTACTAATTCACCATCCGAATCATTATCTCACCTATGATATTCAACATGTAGAAGATTGTGTGTACGATCATGATCCATATCATTCCAAAGAATTTCAAGCCATGTAACGACGCTACACTTTCGGTACTGTTGCCTATGTTGAATATGTGTTTCATGTTCGAATAGAAGGAGAACATCAGAAGAACTTGTCCGACCCGGCTGTCTGGCTGCAGCTCTTGAGGTATAGCAGCTTCTTGATCGTGTTCGGACTTCTCTTCCATTTCGCCTTTTAATTCTGTTTTTCGAGTACATTATATTACATATTCTTCGAGACGTTAACGCGTTGATTGTCGCAGGAGTAGTTAAGGGTATTAAGAATTCCACTACATGTACGCTTTGGGGTAATTATCGGCGATGAGCGAGTTTAAAGGGTCTTCGTCCTTGACGGCGTCTATGGTGGACGTAGAGACAGGTGACTAGGTGAAACTATTAATTTTATAAGTTTATGAAATCCATTTGGTGACAGCCGATGACGACGTTGACACTATCGATAAAAAGAAGGGATCTACACTAGATTATATACCAGGTCCTAGAAATTCCTAGTCTAGTGAAGAAATCTAGTGAGCTCTAAATATTTAGGAATTGCTTAGAGACAACCAAGATAAGCTGAAGTCATTTAACCATGACCTTGGTTACAGAGTCGCCCATAATTTCAAATAAATGCCAAAATTTCGAACAAATTTATGAATCACTGAAAAACAAATTTGTATTTCGTAGGAAAACTACATGCCCCTACATGTGATCATTTATCATGAAAATGAAGGCAAGCTGAAACATAGTAATTACTGCTTTGACTGTGAAACCAATCAGCGATATGAATTAATTATCATTTCACATACTTTTTACAACTTGTTTTCTTTTTATGCTGCATTAGCATTTAATGATCGGATTGCAGATGGTTACGTAAGGGTATGTGTATCATTCATGAATATTCTTCTGCAGGAATGTGTCAAAAGGATATGATCCTGTGCGTATGTCGAGAAAATTGCATGTTTTGTTACGCGTAACAAAACAGATTTTGCATAATGTTTAACACGTTCCGATTCATAGCGCAAATGTTTTGAGATGCTAAGGAATGTTCATAGTATCGAAATCATTTTTAGCACTTCTTTTGTAAATATTAATTATTTTCCAGTTCTTTTAACGATCTCTCCTTCGTCTATATTCATCGAGGTACTTATCTGTTTTTGCGTAGAGTGTTTAATTGCACGTTCTTATAACATTTGTATTTATGGCTCAGTATTTACATTTTTAATGTTTGCAAATATTATTCATATCCCTAATCACGAAAATGCATCAAAGTACCTACTTTCTTGTCACGTTTTACCACATTCGTTTTTTCCCAATCATACGATATTATTGAACGAAAAAAAATTTGATAACTTTGTGACAATCAACGCGTTAATGTTTTCTAAAAAAATATCTCTGAACTTTGCAATTGTGACAAATAAAAGTATGTTAAAATTAGAGTAATTGAATCGGACCAGGCTTACCGGAGGTGTTGTTGTTCTCGTAAGCAAGAAATTTTTTCTCGTTCTGCAAACGTTTCTGGTGCACCAGACCATCATAGAACGTGCCCACTATCACTATACCGAGTATCGCTGCCAAAATACAACTACCAACAGAAAATTCATCATCTAATCAGTACTTAATCCTCTATTTGCTAATTATTCGAAGGAGCTCCGAAATCGAAAATGGAATCTTTCGGTCACCGAATCGTTCTTACGTACAAGATCGTGATTATTTTTCCGTTGACAAGCCAGGTATGATCGTCTATCATATCCGAGACCTTGATCAACTGGAAGTCGGTCGAATAGAGTTTTCCGACCTGAAGAAGCCTCTGGTCGAACACGTTGTTCAGCATCGTAGCCACTTCGTGTTCTGTACAGGTCGCGGGTAAACAAAGTCCCAGTACTATCACGTCCTAAAAAGACGTTATTTCTCAAAGCTTTCACGAATAACGAAACACGATGATGAAGGACTTGAAAGTTTGAGTTGGTGGTTCTTAGATGGTCATAAAAGAATAATTGTCTGGTCTTAGAAGAGCAAAGAGTCGTCGACGCGTAAAACATTAGTCGTTGCTTACTTCGATGGGTACCATGATGTGATACTGTGTCGTCCCATTGTGACGGATGTGGGCACCGAAGAAGTGAAGCCGAAACGGCGGAAACTCTTCGGCCGGATTACGGTAGACAGAATTGTTCTTCATATTCTTCTCCGACAACTGTAGCGTACGGTTTTGACTAAGGAAGTTGCATTGTTTTCTGCTTCCCACCCAATAGTTGTTCCCCGAGGTGAATCCAGCCCTCGGCACTCCGCTGGCGTCCAACACTTGAACAAACAGAGAGCATCCGATTTGGTAACGGTGAAACGGTGACGAGAGAAACTCGCGAAGGAGCACAGCTGATCGAGAAAAAGGGTACCGCCATCGTCGCTTTTCCGCGCACCAAACAAACTAGTTTCTTGTGTAACGCGAAGAAAGTCGCCGGCCTGGGGTGGCACGACGAAAAATCTCCGCGCAAACGGACACAATATACCGCTTTGGCCATTGCTCGCGTAATCGACGTAACGCGGAACGCCGAGTACGGCCAAGACTATGCGCAGAATTCGCGTTGCACAAGAGAACACGCGTTTCCTCGTTTTTCGTACGCGCGATGCGACGAGCCGATCAATCGTGGACCCGTCCACGACAACCGGCAAACGAGCAAAAATTACGAAACGACCAGCCCCCTGTTCTTTCTTTCTTTTCTTTAACGTTACTATTAACCAGTTCGAGACCAGTTTTCGTTCCTTTCCTTCAGTTTAGCCGTCGCCGAATAAACACGCGATCGAAGGCAAGCGCGCTACTAACTTCTCAGACTCCAGAGTACACCGCGGTCCACCGAGTCGCGGAATTTCTCCATTTCCGTGCGGCATCTGGTCGAATTCAGTTGTTCGATGCTGGCGGTGATCGCGTAAGCCGGCATCGATCCCTTCAACACCTCCGGGTCTTGAACGTATCCCTGGACGGACACGCACACCCACGCCAACGACAGGATGATCCTGATTCTTGGGTACTTCATCGTGTTCGGTCAATGGTTCGACGCTTTTTCTATGGAACTATGGATTCACTGGCGAATTTGGCATCACTCGTTCGACGTTTACTTTTCGATAGCCTAGCTGAAACTGGAAACAGACTGGAGGGGATGGAAGTGCGTCGTCGAATAAGGATCGTGTAAAAGAGGAAGATCTACGGCGCGATCTCGACGTGACAACCGGTGTATCGATGAAGGAACACGGAATTTATTTGCATGAGCACCGACCGAGGAGATACGACGACCGGGAAAGGACTGCCGTGCAGGAGAAGTAATCACAGAATCCAAATGGAAAGCAAGCCCCGTCCTCGTGGCCTGCGTCGTCATCGTCGTTGTCTTTGAAGTCACACCGCGACACCCCACCATGTGCGGTCCGACGCGATTATTATTCCTACGGTGTTGCGATCGACTATTATTTCAAATTTACTTTGTATTTTACGGATATTTCGCGGACAAACTGCCCGTCAACCGCGTCCAACCTCCATCTTTTACTCCTTTCGGATCCATTTACACGCTGGACTCTGCAGGCTGGGAACGTCCTCTGCTTTCATTTTCTGTTACTCTGTTTCGAACGACCACACAGAAAGCGTACGGAGGGATAAAGTAACGTAGAATAGCTTAGCAAAAAGCTACATAACAAAAATGTACTACTCTTCTTAATCGAGTTGGCTGATTATTTGGAACGTTCTCCAAAGGATACGGTATCAAAAAATGAATATTTTATACGAGTCTTCCGTGGCCAAATAACAAAATGTCGGATCCGTTGAGCGTCGAGTGCTAGATATCGCTGCACAAATTTTTGCTGTCTCAAGGACTTGTAAATCATCCTCGAGCCTCTTGAAGTCGCAACGACATTCGTAATGATTCATGAAATCCTATAAATCCTTGCGATTGCTTCAACAAAACCTCTTGCGATACTCGTTGACTTCTGTTTCGAGCGACATCGTATTGGGTAACGTGCATTTTGTCGTCGAACTTGTTTGCTTGTTTCTCTTGGCGGTGCATCTTAAAGTACAACAGAAATTTTGGAGTACGGTACTTCGAGATACAACCGATAAACCCGAGGACGGGAAAGAGTCAAGGTCTGAAATTTGTCTGGTTTTCTAACGCCACGTGTCGTCTCGGCTATTATGGAAGCAAACGATTACAAAATAGTCGCTCTCGTTTTCACTCGCTGCTGATCCTTATGATCCGATGATGGATAGACGACGGAACGAGAAAATTTATAGCCGTTTTATTTCTATGATGCGTTCGCATAACTTTGGAACGGTCGTTAATCATTAGAATTAGCACAAATGATAACGAGTTTTAATTGCTCGGACACGTTGTCGTTTATTTTTGCAAAATGGAACTTTACCGTTCGTCTCTCATTGATAGTATCGTTTTCTTGAAAAACTTTCACCTATGCGTTCAGGCGAACGTTTAATGCTCTTTCGAGGCGATTTTACGTTCGCGTGTAATTAACATTCTTATTTTATTAGTGCGATTAGGTAAAGTCTTGCGTCGTCCGGTCAACGTATTACTTCATCAAATTTCGCCAGCATAACATTTCACTAACGATAAGAAACGTGCGACTGCTGGTTCGTTCTATTTTCCCGAATTCCGATTCGACAGTTTTACTTGGTCGGAAATTTTCGAAGCTTCTCAAACGATAATTTTACACGTTCGATAAATATGAAATTTCCCAAGTTTTTTATCAAAGTTTCAGGATTGCTGTATCGAAAAGTTTTCGCATTAGAAAAAGCTTGTATCCTCTCGAACGGACGCTCTGGCGATTTACATTTGTCGGACTTCGATGTTGAAATAAACGTAAAGAATTAGTCATAGGTGTTTGTTATTTGCTTAACAGGCGCTATTGTTCCTCAGGTGTCAAGTATGCTTTTAAAAATCGACCTCATCGCCGGTTTCGTACCCTCGTCCACGCCTGTTCAGCTCTGGAGTACATAATCGATACTCTCTAGAATTTCGAAATAATCTGTTCGAAACTGATAGTTCTTGAAATAGAAACAATTCAAAGAATTACTTGTTAGTCTGATACTTCAAAATGATTGATATTTCATTCAACTACTTTCGAAGTGTTTCAACGATTACATAAAAATGTTGAACAATAAAAGAAAGTGTTTCATTTTACTCGTAAGTTACACTGTATCGATTCAACGTAATTACATTCAAGAACTATGAAGAAATCTTTTCGGATCATTGCTTCGAGTTAACTAAAAACAAATGTTAACGAAGTGTGTAGGAAACAATTAAAATGACGAAAAATCTTGACAGATATTTCTTGTCCGAGTAAAACTAAACGAAGACAATCGCGGTATTCGAATTATTTGCTCGCGTAACATCTTCGTTCGTAACGAATCAATTATTTGTCCATGCTGCTTAGCCTAGCCCGCGGTTGTTTTCGGTGCAAACCAACCGTTGCTAATGGAACGAATTCCTCGTGAATTTTTTCGAAACGGGATTATTCCGGGTCGTAAACAATATCTCGGAACTTTTAAATATAATGCATCGGTTTGGGACAAACACCGTTTGCAGAAATGGCTTTTAACACACCAGAGTCTGAGAATTCTTAGCTCGTTAATCACGCGTATGCACCCTCCAAATATATTTTCCTACACGATAGCTTGGCCAACACCACGATATTTTTGCACCGATGCCAACTAAAAACGAAAAATTAAGAAAAAAACACAAAGAACAAATTGTGGCTGTCGGGAATAATAGTGGTACTGACTGGATTTCAATTCTTGTATCGCGGGCGTGAACTTTCTATGGACCACTTTTTCTACAAGTAAATGTGCATGCTCGAGACCAGATTTCAAGCGTGCACATGAAAACTTACCTCGCGTTCGTTTTCTTTTATTGTAACTTGGGGTGTAGAGCCTGGTATAAATTCTTTTTCCGGTTATATAAGCGTGCGTTAGTCAAAATCTATGCAAACCACATTCGAATAAAGGTTTCGAAATAGGTTGCAGTAAGGGAAATTATAAAAGTCCGCCAACTCTTATTCGCTGCCCTCGCTTTTCCGCTCAGCAGATTGATCTTGGGTACAAACTTCACATCGTAACATCGAATTTTTAGGGACCGTGTCGCTGTTGCAGTTGATCGAATCATTATTTGAATACGAACGAACACGATTGACCAGTAAGAGGACAGGTAGTATGTATTTCAGATGGAATTTTTAAGCAAAGTGGTTATATACTTGACGTCAGACGTTTCGTTCCATGTAATAATTCTTCTTAGAGTGGATGGTATAGCATCTATGGAACATAGAGATTTTGTGTATCTACAACTGTGTCGAAATGTGCTTATTAGGAACATGTCCAACGATAAATTATTTAAAGCGGTTTAGCCACTTTGACCATATAGGTTTCGCGTCGCACAAAATCGTACATAATACTGGTCCGTCGCGACTCGTTTCCTTTGTCCTTTAAGCAAAAAATCTCATGGTGAAATCATCGTTAAAATATGTTTCGACCATAGAAATCGGAAAGCCCGAGATTGCTCTGAAGCTTTTGTACCGCAACATCATAACGAACAATAATATTTACCCTCGTTGTAAAACAATTTTCAAGAGAATACAAACAAGTGATTTGCGTAAAACGTATTTATCGAGTTCGATCCATCAATTAGTATCCAACTGAATTAATTGTAGTAAAATGCCGGGCACTGTTGTCAGCAAGACTCATGCGTCAACGGAATCACGCAAATAAGTCGTTAAAGAATCAAGGACGATAATATGCGTGTATTAAACTATCGACACGGCGATTGAATTAAAGATTAGCAAAAAAAAGCTCGATCATTGTCTCATCAAACTGTTGTGAGTAATATCGTTGATGTAAATGAGATCTCTCTTGAATAGGGGAGATTCCATAAACTTATCCAGAGTATCAAACATTACGCTACATGCAAGTTTTGGAAAATTTGGGAATTCGAGATAATTTTTAATATCTTTCTACTACATCCCTCGCAAACTCGTTTCAATTCCCATCTGATTACACTGATCATAATTTGCATGCTGCTAGTTACAATTTGCAGTAATGAATTGAATCCTCGAAACAAGATGTTCACGCAAATTAATTACTATCATTAATCTTGTTTGATACTTTTTTAAAGTCATACCTCCAGTGGAATCATTAACATGAACCGTGTGATGACTGTGATTTTTTTTAGACGCGAGAACTGGAAAATTTCAATAACGATGGTAATCAGCGTATCGTAGATTGGAATGACAATTGCGATGACTAATTTAATCGGTAATCAGTAATCAGCATAAACTAATTTGATGGAAAGAAATGACTGTATCCGCTTTGATAAAAAGGAGTTAATAGACAACGTTTTTAATGAACTACAATAATGCCAGTTTGGCATGACTTAGCTTTGCATAGCAAACAGAGTTACATAGCGTGCTGAGTGGTTATCAGGTGAACTGGCTAGCGAATTACGATGTATATCATACAATAAACGAACGATAAAATAAAGGCACAGAAAGGAAAAGAGAAACGAAATAAAGGAACGTAGAAGAAATTGGAGCACCGTAATAACTTCTCGCGAGTAACCCGTTTTCTTGTGACGCCTCGCCTTCTATTACGTTAGAGGGCAAGATTCCCGTTTGTTTTCATTCAGACGTAACACACAAGCGAATTACGTCGTGAAAGCGTTCGCGTAACATTCATAACTACGTATACGCGTCCTAGTATGAGCGGATGTTAAGTCAACGGATGTTACAGCAGAGAAAGTGAGTCAGTTCTTCTTCCTGGTTCACGGCGATTGATCCTTCTTCTCGCTCGAGTTTTCCCCTAACACGTCCAACGGCGTAACTGGCATTTTTATTCGATGCGAGATGTATGGCCATACACTCTGAAGTACCTCTCTTTACACTCGTCCTTCGTCAAAAGCAAATGTTACAGCCGAGTTTTATCCCTATGCGTTGAATGACCATTTTGAAAGGAATTCGGCCCATCTTGGAGTTTCTTATTTATGGATACATCCGATTACTTTGTGAAAAAAGATCATTATTTTCAGATGAACGGTTTTCTAAAGAGTATTGACTTCTCTCGTACCAGTTTCATGCGTTGTAGGAACTTCCTTCACTCCTGACCGCCGTCCATAGGTCATATCTTCATCGTTTTTTATCTGCTCTCTTTTATGCAAATATCTAATGTATTAAATGTATAGAGGTTAATGATATATGAAACAACTTATCCATGCAATGTACATTCTACATACGCGGGGAATTAATTGGTGCTGCAGTCGATGAAATCACACAGAGTACAATTACACGTGTGTCGTGAAATTGCAAAAATTTCGCGTTAGCGTGAAAGTCGAATCGTAAACATGGAATGTGTCTTCGTCGTACAAACTTTACGCTTCGATGTTGCCGAAATTGATAGTTAAAGGCAAACAGCCTGATTGACGAAATTGATAGTTAAAGGCAAACAACCTGTTAATTAATAAACGCATGCCAGTCAAGACCTTGATGCTTGAGAAATCTTACAAAATTCTTGTACCACCGAAATCCTTCGGGACCTTCGTTGCTTGCTATTTACATACATCTCACCTTGAACGCGCTAACGAGTCTGGGCAAGACCTCGTCCAATTAATCCTCTCGATGCGTTAACGTATTCGACCATTTCGACGACTTTTATCTTGGACATCTCTTGGAAAATTACGAAGGTGCATCAGATATAAACGAGAGTTCTCGCTATTGCGTGTTAGCACGCGTCAAGTTCACGTTAAAATTCTTTCACCGAGGGAAAGATTCGAATCTGGAATCACAAGGTAATAACAAAAAATCTCGTTTATACTTGACATCGATAATTTGAATTAATTACAAAGAAATAAACGGAGCTTTCTGGTTTTCAGAAGTGTTATTATCAGCACATGATAGTATTCTTTCGCATCCGTCTCAAAAAACGTAAGGACCAGAACGGAACGTCAACAATTACAAATGAGAAAAAGGAAAAAAGAACACAAATCTTACACGGCGCCATAAATAAAGTAAGAATCATTCGTAATACAATTTGTAATACACTGGCGATAACGAGCAATCGTTACATTATTGTAAAATATCACAATATGTTAATATCTGTCGGCTAGGGTCGAGGACGCGCGGGAGAGCCGTAAAAGAACACTTGCCTACTCTTCAGGCTGAAGACACGCAACTGAGTACGTAAACTTACAACGTTTAATGTTTAGGGTTCCAAAATTCAAATTCGACGTATCTTCGGAAGAATTTCGAATTTTCGAACCAACTAAAAGGAAGCTAAAATTTGAGCCGTGTAACGTGATACTCGTACAAATACCGTCGTACGTTGAAACAGCCGCACGACATCTAAACGTAGCGCGGTAATTACAATTTTCTTTCTCGACTTTTGTAAGAAAAGAGAAAAATTTGAACGGTGTCCGTTTGCTTTTCGCGGACGTGTCCTCAGTCTTAACGAAAGGAATATTTGAAATCGTTATAACCATGAAAAAAAAGGAATAGATCACGCGCGGGCCCGAGTGTCTCACCTTGAACACGGCTATTCCAAAATCTGTCAGACGTTTTTTTAAATGTTTTAGTAACCCATAACGGACACGTGAAATTACAAAATCCGAGCCGACTTAATGAAGAATATATCTCGGACATAAGTTTGTTTCGACTTTGAAGGACCTACGACGACGCACACGATCTCACGGTATGGGACATAAAAATTGACGACAAGCAAAATCTTTCTATCTCGAGGCTGTTCTCTCTCTCTCTTTCTCAATCTTTCTCTCTCTCTCTCTCTCTCACGACGTTCTCGACTCAAGACGCGTTGACATACACCTTGGCCAACGAAAAGCGATATTTTCTGACCTGTAACCAGCGGATCGGTACACGAGAAAACGAAACGAACGCACTAGGTTTGGACTTCTGAGCGAGGTGAACGTCACCGGTTCATTGCTCGAATACATTAACCCTTTGCCTTACACGATTTGTTAAGCTACTCGTGTGTCTTCTAGATTATGCAACTAATTCAATCGTGTTCGTAGAGTAATCGCGTTTCGAGGCTTTCTTATCACCAACACGATTTATGAGGACATTTTTTATGTCCACTTTCCAACAAATTTTATGTACCTTCTATTTGGACTACAAACTTTTATGCATTTAAGATAAATCGACACATTGTTTTAAACTTTCTGAAAAAATTAAACGATTACAATATTATGAATTAATAAAAAAAAAAAATGAAAATGATTTACAATATTCCACCTCGCTTCACTAATAGTATAAGGCAAAGGGTTGAAGGAAGAATAGAGAAAACGAGGGATGATCGCTGTCGAATAGCATGCATCGTTTCCAATTAACTTTCTAATCGATTATTTCTTTCTAATACAGGTACGACGATAAAATTACAATTAGAATTATTTTGACGAATGCCGGTCTATCGAGCAAGTCAACTCCCATCTTCTAGGATTAAAACCTGTCCTATATGTGGTAACATTGAGAAAATATCGAACAAGATGCAGGCTGATCGACAGCTCCTCTACTTCTACGAAGAAAAAAGAAATGAACAAATTCGTGTGCGAGCTGCTCGATGCAATAATCGTATGAAAGTCGGACAAGCGTAGAAAAATACTGTACACGTAACACGAAAAGTAGATAGAAAAAGAAGAAACGGGCGGTGAAGGAGGACGAACGGGGAGTAACGAAGGAGTTTCAGCCTCTCGGTTGCAAATTCCATCCGACGATGTTTAAACGGCGACGTTTTGCCAGCATTGCGTAACATGTTTCTTACGACGACTGATACTGTTTGAGATTATTTAACGATACACTTAGGTGCAACGTAGGCTTTCTTCGGTTAAGGATAAGCGTAGAGACTTCCACCAATTTTGAAGATCAACGATATAAGAATTTTCAAAGTCCTAACTTCAAAAAGGTCGCCATTTATTTCCCCGAAAAAAAAGAACCGTACGATCGGATTGCCTCATAGAAATCGTTTCAGTGCCATCATGTATCGATCATAAATTTCTAGGTCAATGACGGATTCCTTTTCCTTCGAGCTTAAAATTCATAAACGAGTTGCTTAACCCAAGACAGTTGAAATCCCCTTAAAAACTGATCACAGGAAAAAACCAAACGCGAATCAGTCATCGAATCGTTCGAATTCCTAGAACGATTTTCGATCGATCTGGTGGGCTCGTGGCAAATAAAACTACTCGTATCTGTCTTCGAGCGAAAGCATTTTTTGTACACGCGATTACTAGTTTCACACTGTTCTTATCTTTCTGTCATTTTCTTTTCATCGCTTTTTCTGCGTGTTTGTTTTCGTTAATCTACACGGAATCAAGGACCGGTCGCAAGGATTCAAGGATTAAGAGTGAGGCCACGAGCAACGACAAAAATAGTTCTAACAAATGCTTTTCTATAGCTGCGTTCACGCTGATTACTCTCCGCTAACACGTTAATCCTACTTACTGCTAACGCCTTCGCGATCGAGAAAAATAATCGTATAAACAACACTTTGATGTACAGTTACGAGCAATAGTAACTTTCCTTGGTACGGGGAAATGTAGATGTTCATAGTAATTCTTCTGCTTTGTATCGTAACGGGGAATTATAAACTTTTAGAACGTTTGCTTGTAACTTCGGTTGGAATACATTAGCACTGGTACATTGATGTAATGCGAGAAAGGAAACGATGAACCTAATATTCTACCAACCACTTTTCCAATCGTAAACACATCGAGTTTAAAATATTTCAAGAACAAAAGTATTTCAAGTATAAATCTGGTTTCTTTAAGGAAAATATTCCAACTAAATGGGCAGTCATCCCACTTATTAATTCTAAGGTATTTCTGGAGATTACTAATTTGGGTAATAATTTATGGATCTCAAGATACAGGGAAACAGGAATTTGTGGATGTAGATATTTGAATTTGAATCCTTGAATTCCAATATCAAAGGATATTAGAATTTAAGGATTAGATAGTTTTCGGTAGCATGATAGTGTAATCGTTATCTTTCTCTAATGTACTAGCGTTAATTAATGTATCGCCGTAACCTACACTTTAGCTGCGTGATGTAACTTTTATCACTAGCATATTTCCACCATTTCAATACAGCAGTGTTCGTATACTCGAATATCGTAGGTGTGTAAGAGTTAATTTTAACCACACAGTTCGAAGGTCTTCTTTCCTCATACTTCTCCTTACCAAGATCAGACATCTTTGCACGTAACTACACACCTGCTAATTTCTGACCAATGTACACACCTCGTGACCTAACGCATTATCCTTTGTTCGTTTATTGATTCGTCATTGCGTCGCTGGAAGTAATCACCGTTTTCTCGAAATTATCACTCACACCTATGCTATATATACACATATTTATACACACATACTTACACACACATTTGGAGAACGGTATCGTTTTCTCGCGTTCCCGGTCGCGGTACACTAATAGCTTTTTTTACAGGTGATTCCAGTAATTTTCATCTTTTCTTAAGGAGAAGAGGGAGAATGTATGCGTGTAACACCAGCCGTTTTATCTCTAAGTAACAATTACTACCGCTATATGTACAACGAATCGCTAATGCGGTCGCCCGATTGCACCAGAAACTGAAAAATTTCAGGCGAACTTTATTCTCGTCTCGTCTCTCTCTCTCTCTCACTTTCTCTCTTTATGTATAGATGCAACAGGATATAGAGAAAGAATGCAAACGGGTACGAGATGTAGAATAATTAGAATAATATCACGGAAAAACGTCCAGCCTCGAGGATTAAATAAAATATTGTGGCACTTGTTGGTGAATCTCGGTTCCACCGGCTCGAAGTGTCTAAGTAAAATGGAATATCATTCAAACAGCGGCTTCGATCCTTCGTTCGATAAAACGACGCTCTTCTCTTGAACGAACATGTCGTTAAACGAAAACAGCGTAAAAGGATAAAAATACAAGTGATCATCAAAGTTTTGATCGCGATCGACATACAAAGATGTACCAGGATTTATCTGCAGCACATCGTGCCTACATTCTACAAGCAGAAATAATTGAAAACGCTAATAAATTCGAACACCGTACATTTCAGTTCTTTGCAAATACGTAATGATTTCAAATTTAGTTTCATCGATTTTTCTCAAATAAATTAAGTATATAAATCAAGTATCTTGTTCAGACTTTAGAATATATCGCACAGTGTAACCGGAAATTCCTGAGACATCCTGTATATAAAATACATATATATTACACGGAATACTATAAAGTGGAGTGAATCCGAGAATAAAAATAAATACGTCATCGAAACACCGACGAAAACATCGACGATGTCCGCTTAATTCGCGAGCGGACAGACGAACCGAATTAATAACGATTCTATTAACGCGTTGACTGCCACGAGGGTCACCAGTGACCGTCACTTTGATTATAACAAAATTGCAATTCCACAAATTTTTAATTTACCGCTTCAGAAAAATCTTTACGCAGTAGTTCCCGTTATGGTGGACTTTCGATACATTGCCACCTTTATGCATACAGACTTCCATGCACACCAACGGCGCTATCTATCGCTGGAGGACACAAAAATCCGTAGTCTGCTGTACAGACAGGTCTATGGTTAAAAAATTTGAGTATCTCTTTGTTAACACGAATATCAACAATATCATCAGCGGCAAGAATTTTTTCTAGTAATTAAAATTGCGTCACTCGATCGACGAGTTAATTGGTCTTCCTCGATTAATAGCTATCATGGCGTTTTTACATATTGTTTTTTTTATTGTGCCAGTCAACGCGTTAATGAAAATTGTACCTTAAAACGATAATAATAGTAAGACACGACGAAAGGAAATCCGTTTTTGTACGTAGCACGCAAAGCGAATCATTGCGAGAAACACACGCTCATCTTGATCGTTCTTCGAGGATCGAAACGTATTAATTAAAAAAGAGTCGTCTTGAAACGATCGCTAGCGATGGGCATTTTTGCACATTTTTGAATAATTTAACAGGAGTACAATTTTTAATTGATTCAACGATGTACTGGATACAAAAAGTTTCTAAAAAGAAATAACTTTTATTTTTAATTTGAGCCTCGGAAATGTTGTGCTATGATTGATCGCTGGAGAATTCGTAATCAAAATTTAAAATTTAAATCCAAATCTAAAATATTTAGGTATCCGACAGTCTGCAGAGGTAAGAAAAATCACTGTGTTATTTAAACAATAATACGAGAGTGTAGACATTTTCGAGATAGACTTTTGCAATTATTTAAACTTGTTAAACTTGTTGGAGGAAAAACATATTTTTTCTATTTACATACGTCAATATAATAATATTATCATAATATAACCATTATGTCCAAAACTTCCAAAACTTCTTAATTTGTTAAATATTTATGGTAGACAATTCGCAACGACTTGAAATAAATTGAATACGTCAGCCTTGAAAAATACCTGTTGCGATAATATTGAACGGATTTCTAATACTGTTTTTTTTTTACTTGTACTAGCTTTCATTACAATAAAAAACGTGTTGTTTACGTACATTCTGGCCATGAACTGGCCACTTTTGGAATACTTTTGTAGATATGGCGTGTATAGGATAAAAGACGTCAGCGTTGTTCTCCTCAAGATTGAAAAACATCCGCAGACAAATAAATAAGTAATTAAGCGATTTTTTTACACAATTTGTTCATAAGTGCAACGATAAAGAAGCAAATTATACGCGCTTACAACTTTACGATCTTTATTTACATGGCTTGATTCTTTGAATCATTTAATTAACTGAATCAGACGCGTCAATCGTAATTTCAGCAAATTATTGTCAGAAAGAATTCCAATTATTTCCACACGATTAACTCTTTCTTGCTACATATATCATTAGTATTTTTTATGTCTTTCTTACATAACAATTCTTCTCTCTCTCTCTTTTTTCATTCTCAACAAAACAAGATTTATAGACTGTTTCAATTATTCATATCACTTTGCACGTATACGATCAAATCATTTGTAGCCCATCGCTAGTTGTCATCAATATATCCTCAGGAATATCCGAAAAGAAATGAAATCGTCCTTTACTTAATGCAATGTTCAATGTTTAATTTTCAGTCTTTCCAAGACGTGTTCAAATTCGGAGCTGCATATTTGTATTAAAATTGATGCAAAAGGTTTGTCGTACATTCGAACTGAAACTCTACGCATATCGCGTGCAAAATAATAATCACTTTATTTTCTCGTTTAAACGTTCTATTGGATTTTCATTCCGAAATCAATATAATGGTTAATCCTATCCGGAAAAAACTCTATGCTCTTTCAACTGTTCATATTAAGTTTTTTGTGTCGGTTTACACTATTATAAAATAATGGGCATAGAAAATCATTTTCGGATTTAAAGAAGATCTGATCTAAGGCGAATAACAAATTTTCCATTGATCTAACAGTTACATAAAAATTTCTCAATTCATTCTCAGAATACCCTGCCCAATTCTATCGTCCAAAGAGGAACAAACTCTTTTGCATCAATTTAATCCTCCGATGGCGAAGCCAGGTGTTCGGTAACAGGGTCGACCCAGCTACTACCGCTCGAGGTCTAATAAATATCGTAACAAGATCGAAATGTTGGCTCGCATAAGAGCAAACACCGGAAAAACGGATACTCAAAAGGATAATTTGTCGAATAAGGTTGATCGAGACGCGTTCCGCGGTTCGTTTCGTCGTTCATCATATTTTTCGACGGTTTCCTCTCTCCTCGTCCAGCAGCATCGTGTTTTGCCCTCGTAACTACCGTGGCTCACAAGCCTCGTAGACGAGTTCTGGCACCAGGGCCAACGAGAACGTGGCGCTGGCTTGTCTTGCGTACTGCCTTCTCGTCCCGATAGCTTCGTGTTACCTATTATTCTCCTCCATGACCACCTGCTTGAACACGCCAGCGGGCATCTGACTTTTTACCTCGTGACTACCCAGAGCCGTTGTTCCGTCTTTCGCGATGAACAACTGCAGTCCAGTCGCTGCAATCAAAATTTAATCGATCAATCATTTCCATTCATTCGAATCGTTCGCGTGTATAAGTTCGGGAGCCAGTGATGCAAGGAACTGTCGGTAGTGTCTCTTAAAAGTGACTAGATACGATTTAACACTGAGCATTTTAATGAGAGCATTTAACTTAGCGATTCAATACGTTGCAATCGATCGCGTAATTCAGGGAATATTTAATACGTTACGGTCCAACGATTCGAAACAGAAATGTAAATCGTTGACGTCGTAAGTCGACGCAACGCTGACGTTTGAAGATCTAACGCGAAGCAGGAATAGATATGAACGTACTTTCGGAACTCTCGAGATCCGTTTGCTCCAAGTTGGTCGCTTTGAGCAGCTCGTCGATGAGAGAATCCGGGTTCGGCCTGGTTACCTCGACCCTGCACAAAATCGAATTTCCCGTGCCATCTTCTGCTTTTTTCCTTCGTTCCAACGCGGCCTTTGCTCGATCCAGAGATCCCGTTTCGCTCAGGCCAGAACCGCCAGAAGGATTTCTGTGAAACAAAGGAACGGACAATGAAATTCCTTTCATCTTCCACTTCTTTTTTCTGATTTTCTCCGGCATTTCGTCTCTACGCGTTGCCTGTTTACCGAATACCAGCATTGAAACGAAGATAAACGTATATTTACGAGTATATTAGTCGTTAACAATTTTTTGCCGAATAAGTGATTATTAATATGGATATATTACGTAGATCGAAGCAAAAAGCGAAGGTTAATACACATTTCCGAGCTCGACGCTAGAGCCTAAAACAATTGAAATAGTCACATTGAATCCTTGAACGTTCGATGCAAAACGAGAATTTATTAGAGCCCGGAGGTATCCGTGATTTGGTTAAAAAAAAAAGCAATTCGATGCTGGTGTTCGGTTTTGTTTCAATACAGGACAATCAAGAATTAAAAGGTCAATTAATTCTGACACGACACACCGCGTGCAATAAATGGTCACGCTCGATGCAAAACGAAGGAACACGAGGATCGTTGCTGCTGTTGCTGTTGTTGTTATTGTTGTTGCTGTTCTTTTGTTCGCTGCAACACGAACGTAGAGGGTGGAGAAGCGACAGATCGAAGCTGAAGCGTGTGTTAGAATTTGTGCAGAAAGCGGTGAGATTGATGATGATCTTGAGTAGAAATGGGTTTTCGATTATCTTAAAAATTCTCAGTTAGAAAACCAAAGAATGCAAATTAAAATTTTTCGCCCAAGATAATACTGTTCTAAGTTGTCTGTTGTAATAATTGTAATATTAATTCAGTATTATACTCTAACATTGTCGAAATTTTGAGGAAGTTATTTTTAGCCCATCGCTACTCAGATAAAAGCTCAAAGCCAGGGTGTCACATTGGTAACGGGTTAATTACTTGTATCTCTAATTCGCAAGACACCTATTAACCTATTTGTACAAATAACAAGGAGAGGGATGTGAACAGCTTACCAAGCTATTTTTTTTAAGTAATTACTATTTTTCACTTTCTTTTGGGAACTTTGTTCTTTCAATTCTCGTTTGTAATCTTTGTTCTAGAATTGTTACAACGATCTTCTCGATCGCATAATCGATATTTCAAACGAAGATACATCAATGTAAAAAATGAAGCGTATAAGATCATTTCTTACGAAACATTAAATGATATTATTGCTTGATATTCACAGGCAAAATGCTAACGGACAGAGTTACACGTAGCTGCATGCAAGTGAGTTCGAGGGACAAAATTAATCCCGATACTTTGATGTATCGATGAAGAAATTTTCAGAATCGTTTAAACCGAGGGAATCGGTTTGTTCCGGTGAAACGTGACAATCGATCGATCCGATGAAAGCAAACAGACGTAGCAAGGTTATGAACTCGTTTGTTGCATGGTCCTCATACTTCGCTTAAATTATTTTTACTCAAAATTCCGATTTTTAATACAAATTCTGATAATTGTCTTGGTAATTAATCGCGATGTTAATAATATTAATCGTGTTAAAATTGAAAGTAGATGCAATAAAACTTGTACTACATAGTGGCGAAACTAACGGCAAAGCATTTTGTTAATCTATTCTAAAAATAATCTATGTATTTATTCCTTTTATGAGCAAGTATTTTTCCTCGGATCAAATTGACAAAAAATACTTAATGATACACCAGCTGGATATGAATGTTCGACGAACCATTGCAACGAACGAGGTTTTATATGTATATGAGTATGTTAGAAATACATCAAGAATATTGTAATCTTTAAATTGACATGAATTTGTAATTTTTCCGAATCATGCTGTATCGGTGCACCGGCTATGGAAATTTGCCAATTAACACCTTACGCGTTATCCTTAGTAAACCTCTTTTTTCCATGCATACATTTTCTGCTGACGCACATTGTAATTACTTTATAATGTCAAACACGCGTTATTTCTTGGACTGATCAGATCGCCGCTATTTACATCATTTTAGATATTTTCGCAATTATCTCGGTCCAATTTGTAGAATTAAAATTCCGTGTTAAAAACCTGAACCCTTTGATAAGCACACGTTTCGTGGAAAACATGGCTCTTTCACATTTAAATTAAAATAATATTTCGTATAAGCAAATTTAATTCTCGGAATTACTTTTCGGAGATTTTACGTTGCAAAATTATCGATACCCGGAAAAGATACATTTGCATTTACATAATAATTATGACTGTACCTGTAATGCACCTTGCTCGTGCACGTACAAACGTTTCACCGACCACGAATACATCGTACAGATTCATTTTATCATGAAAGGGTTAATTTGGGTCGAGATAATGGAAAAGTACCAATTTCGAGCGCAGACTCGACGAAACGAGTTCGTAGAAGCCTTATTTGCTTCGAGAGCAATCTCCTGTGTCTTTCTTCGTCGATGAAACCGCTCTCGAAACAAACAACCGATTTTCGAACTTAATTATTCCTGGAACCCGTGAAAGTTCTTTGGATTTGTAAGGTGTCAACATGGATAACCGTGTTCGCTAATTACGATCCACGTTTTCGTGTGTGTACATCGTGTTACAAAGAAGATAAGAACTTTCCATCGGAAGGAAATTAATTTTCCACTGCCAGCCACTCGCCGATTACTCGTGCAATATTTTATCATTTAAATTAGGTTGTTTGATGCAAATGAGCCTGCAAATCGCCACGTCGTCGCTACAACGGCGTTCTTGAATGTTGAAATTTCAAGATTTGGACAGTGGAAATTTAGGAATCCTGAAACAGGATTCTTTGGGTTTTGCATAAATTAGACTTTCAAGAATTTGAATTCTATAAAGATTCAGAAATTTCGATGCTTCGTAATTTGGAAATATTTGTGGCACTTCGGGGATTTTTAATATTTGAGGCACCGATCATGAAAAGATATTTTCGTTGTAACACGGTGTATGTATTTACGTGTGGTCGTGGAATGATAAAGCGAAAGAAAACAGAGACGAGACAAATAGGAAGAAGAGATTTAAGACGAAAGCATGGACTGACGGTGGGGTTATGCTGTTTCGGTGCTGGGAGCTCGGTGGAACGACTTCCGGTACCCCTAAGGAGGACTCCTCAGAGTCCGCTGGGCTGGTGGCGACCGTAGCCAGCTTGCCACCTGCCCCGTCCAGCAACTTCCGGTGACCTCCGCCAATACCCCTGCAAGGATTCACAAAGCCATCCAAACTGGAAGCAAAGCTACACCTCTTCTCTTTTTCCTACGTCTTTTTATTTTACCCTCCTTTCGTTCTTTTCCCTCCCCGAACAATTTCATCGTTTCCTATGCATTCTTCTTTTTTTCTCTCTTTCTTCGACGCTGACCCGTTTCTCGGATGTGTTTCGTTAACGTTTCGAAGCAAATATTTATTCTGCAAAACCGCAAACTTTTCTACGACGCTTTAATTATATTTGCACGCGTCGGCGAGCCTCGAGTGTTCGGGTCGATTGAAATTTACGGATTGTTTCAGCGAAGCTTGTAATACACCGCGAAAAATTGTGAACTTTCCACGGCAAAATGAATTGGAAAGTTCTTTGAACGAACTTTTTGCCCCGGGCTCCTTGCTATTACGAAAATTTCTAATGGCACCTACTTCGTACACGGTTAAACGTTTAACGTTTCGAAAGAGAGAGCGAAGCGAAGTGCACAGACATTTTTTTTTATTTTAATATTTCCTTTTGTTGCTGAATATCTTTTGACGAACGAGTATTACGTAAATGTTCAGTACCGAGCACTATTTAAGTATCGTGACACCTAAGATTTCCATAAAATCGGTATTTTTTTTCGCTTCTATTCATCTCTTGTCGGCTTTTCTAATTATTACGTAACCTTGCAGGAAACTCTTGAATAACTGCTTTAAAATACCAGAAAAATTTATCAATACGCCGCGTTAGCAGCTTTTTAACGCTGCATAATTTGTACATGAAAGACAACGAATAAATTATATTCACGCTGTTCGACTGGATGACAATAGGAGATTGACCTTCTCGCTTAACTCAACATAGGAGGACAAACAACACACACGAAGTTGATATTTAGTACCCAAACACCTAGGTATATACCCACATATCTGTAACATAGATAACTAGATACCTAACATCTAGATAGTCGGTTACCCGATTGTAATCTAACCACCTAGGTGCCTCGAACTTGTAGTCCGTAGGTTCCGAAGTACTTAGATTGCAACGCTTAGAGTGTTAGGTACGTAATTATCTAAATATCATCTTTACACATATAACGAAACACATCCTTGTTCCAGCATATTTGTTGTGTTTTAAATACAGTTGCACCGTGTATGAATGTTACGTTTAAAAATCAGCTTATTATTTGACAAAGTTAACCGACATTTGCGATCGACGCGACTTTCATCGTTGCAAAAGAAGGCGTTGAAACGAATAGATGCTGCATTCGAGAAAAGATACGCTGATACTATTTAGATCACACTCAACTGCCAAGCAATGTTATTTACATGATTTTTACGAAGTACGCTTTCTCGTCGACGATCACGAATCGCTAAATTTAGCGGATATTATGAACGGTTAGTCATTAACACGTTCCGTGCCATTCGATGTTAACGATCATTGCTAATGATTCATCTAGAATTCGTGATAATAAAATTTATGGTAATCTTCCTTTCGGTGTATTGTAGAGATTAAATTATCGTTAGACTGTAAATTGAATTAGACAGTGCCTATATTTAAAAGTTGTGAATTATCGAGGGTTTCCCTTCGTACTATGACGCTGTTGAATCCTACAACATTTTCTCTTAATTAATCAAAATTGTGCTCTTGATGAACGTTGTTACATCACAGCACCAATGACCCACTCACAGGGCACAGAACGTGTTAATAAAGCAAAGCGGAAGCTCATCTCGCTGCGAACGTGTATGCGTGTGTGTCTATTGTGTTTGTTAAGCGTTAGACAATATCGACGCGTGGCGAGTGTCCGTGATTGTTAATTGTCTCGTTTCGAGCACCGAGGAATGTTAATCCGATACAGTACACAAAACAAGCGGGAAAGAAACGAAATTCGCGTTGAATTAGAAGCAAACGATTCGTTAATTGTATCGTCAAAAATATAATACAAAATCCTGTTAACGTTCCTGTTCGAAAAGGTGTTCGTGACTCGAGAAGAACGAATTAACGTGTTAATAGTTGTTCGTTTCAAGGTAGTCGGAGCAACAACAGTTGACGCGTTAAATAAAGGGTAATCGAACGTACAAAATTACCTAAATCAGGGAAATCGAGGGTCTAACCCCTTGCGTTGAGTTTTTTAAACAAAATTATTGGGAGAAAAGTGAATTCTAATCTACTGAGATTGTTGCATGGAAATTTCAAAGACTGACATCATTTTATGACATAAAAGAATCTCAAAATAGCACTTGAAGTATGTACGTCTGAAGATTAAGGTCCAATGAACGTTACTACAGAAATATTTCATCAATATTCTTAATATGAAATAGTTGTTTCGACGGACAATGTTGTAAGTTGTACAATGACTCAATTTGTATAAAAAAATATCGACGAAACGTTTAGGTGGGCATTTCTTTGAAACCTTAAGCTTCAAATTACAATAAGTGCCATGTTATAATATTTTTATGTCATCGAATCATATCAAACCTTTGATGTTAGGCAATCAGTCATTTGATTCCTATTTTTCTTGCACAATCCAGGCTTAATAATCATAGAGATTAGTTTTCAAGAAATATCAAAAACATCTTGACCCTGAAACAGAGGGTATTACAGCAAAAATAAAAATTTTATCTTAACTGCAGCCTATATTCTAGACATATCTAGATCACGTGTGGTCCAGCTGCATTGTTAAAGAATTAAATAATCGTATTCAAGGCGATTATAAATGTAACAACAACGCAGGGGGTTTAACAGAAAAAAATAAAACTCGCAAAAGAGAAAACTCGTTGATGAATGAAACCTACCTGAGGGTTTGAGTGGTCGTCGCGGAACGTAGCGAGGCTCTGGGGTTATCGGGCCTATGAAGAGGATCTGGGGAGGATACGGCTCGGGCCTGGTCCGCCAATCGCAAAACCGGACTCATTTTACCCTTCTCGATGCAGTCGCAGGTTTTCGAAATACTTCTCCAACCTGGCTGACCGATTCTCGGTTTTGCGACCGGTACCGCCGTGTCGCTATTCTCTTGTTCGTTTCTGTCTTTCGACGTGTTGTATTCGTTTCGCGAATCGAAGCTGTTTCTCTCGTAATTCTTGCGCGAGTGTCGCGGCACGTTCTGCGATCTAGGTACCCTGAACACGCCGACTTGATCCTCGTTGTTGGTCTCGTTCGAAACGACACCGTTTTTCAATCTACCAGTTTCGTTTCGTTCGTTCGCAGAAACGGCCGAGACACTTGTCCTGGTGCTACCCTGTCTACTCAGCTTCCCGTCGCGAGACGAGAGGGGACTGGACATGGACCAGAACCGATTTCGTGGGTCTAACAACATGAAGGAAGACGAGGACGGGGAATCGGAATCGAGAGACGTCTCGGGTCTGTTGGGCTGTTGACTCGTAGGGTTTTGGGAGACATTTGGAATACGTGGAGCCCATACCGGCCAGGAGGGTGACCTATAAAGATCACAACACAAATGTTCAAGCATGCAAAAATAATAATCAACTGAATAATACATAAAGACAGAAGATAAAAGGAGTAGTACCGTATACCAGCCATCAGGTTGTTGCATATCAAATGCTCAATTACACGAAAGTAAATAGTGATATCAATTCGAAGCTTCAAGATCGATGAAAATTACTAGGTTAAAGTTTGATCGATACTCTTAATACAAAATGGCTGATTGCCAGCAACGATCGATTTCGAAACGTAGATGGTCTGACACGATTTCATAACGTGGAACTGACGCAAATTAACACTTATATCAATCTGAAGCTTAAATGAGCATAAAAACGTTTGATGGATAATTTTAATATAAAACGATTAACTGAAACAAATACATTCACCAATTTACAACTTTTTCCTTTATTAGCGAATATCTAGTTTCCAATAATTTATATTTCGAAATTGTACCAGATTTGTTATTTATTCTACTACAATTACGTTTATATCATTTTGAGAATGTAACCATTTAGAAATTGGTATCGATTAAATGATACATTGTTTACTCTAACGAAGTACCAGCCATTTTATACTCAAAATATTAATAATCTTTTCACGTAGTCAAATTCGTTGAATTTTCAGTTTCAAGCTAATACGCAGCAAGTACTATTTCACGATACTTTTATGTCATGAAATTCTGTCGAACGTTGTATACTTCGAAATCGATCGAGTGATACGCAACAACTTAACGACAAAACAGAAACGTGGGTATAGAATCCAGAGTCTCTGATTGATAAATCAAAAAAAAATTGAGTAAAAAAAAGAGCTAAAAACTAAGGGATGTTTCCGTCCGTCGATTTTCCTTGACACCATTTCATTCCTAATACACCTGTTTGCGTATAATCGTTTAAGTTCGGCAGCATAGAGAAAAAAATTAGTGTGCGTGGTTCGTGTACCTTTGTTAAATGGCAGGCGTCGAAGATTGTCCTGAGAGTAAACCGACAGCGAAGATTAGAAACGTTCCTTATGTAAGATCAGTCGAGATAGAGACAAGCATAGAGTTCGAGAAGCGAGATTAACAAGCGCGATCGCGTTCAAATTTGCTAATTGTTAATTGCTCACCGTGCAATGTATACGCGAGTCGAGAAAGATTGTTAGGCGAGTGTGTTACAACGATTATTTGCCGCGTCTTTTTTCATAGAACGACTCGTACAAGCAACTGTATTCCTGTCACAAAATTCTCCTTAATCCCATGTCCAATAACCATGTTAGCTTACAATCTATGTAAGAAAGTTGAAGATATTAAAAAGAAAAAAAAAGAGAGATCTTCAGCTGCTATCGTACTCGGAAAGAAATAAGTAACAAAGCAATCAATGAGGCGCGAAAGTAGTCGAACCGTGGTTTTTTGTTATAGAAAGAATCGAGAAGAGAACTCTGGACGTATAATCAGCACGGTTTTTAGACCCTTATTAACCATCCTTCGGCGCATCCTGGTTAATTCTGACCCCATTAGAAAACAGAATATCCTGTATACACCGGTCAATATAGTAGAGTATGCAACATTACATTAAGCAACGTTTCTTTGCGTTAACGATACAAAATTAGATACTTCAATGACGTTAGTTGATCCCGGGTATCTTCTGGTGAAGCCAGAATTAACCCAGATCCATCGCGCATCAAGTGGTCGAACTGTCTATCATCAACGACGAAAAGACTGACTCTGCTCTGTTTAATTTCTTGTTCGACTCGGAGCTTGCAGTCATATATCTTTCGCGTTCGTTCGTCGAGGGAAGAGTTTTACTATTGTTTTTTTTTTCCTTTCCACTTTGTACCCCGGCTGGCCAGGTGGCCTTACCTAATATGGCCACTGTCACCACTACTGCTCTGTCTACTGTGCTGACTGTGCGAATTCAAGGACCCGTAGCCCGAGCCTTTGCTTAGCTGGCTGGTGTTACTACTGTTTCGGGAGTGGCCCGATTCTGTGTGCGCTTCAGCTAAAGTTTCCACTGGAAGAGCCGATGGTATGATCTCGCTAACGGTCATCGGGTCGTACGACTCTGCCCCGCTGAGGAGCTCTGAAAAATAAACATTATTCCTGTAGATCGATGACAGAGAGATTAAGTGTCTATGGCCAACGGTACGTAGTAAAGAGGCGTTCAGATGCGCAAAATTTCAAGCCTGAGAATTTGTCAATTTAGGTTCACAGGAAATCGGGGGATGCGGAGATTCGAAAGTTTGGAGATTTAATGATCCAAGGATCTGGAAATTTAAATACTCGGATGTCTGGAAATTTGATAATCTGGGAACAGGAAATTTGAGAACTCGGAAATTTTAGAAGTCTCTCGACAGCGCTGTATACAATGTTGGCATAAATTTAGTGGCAGAAGCGGAAACGTGATTCGAGTATTACCCGAGGAAAAGAGAGCAGGCCTCTTTTTAGGAAGACTGCCGAAACCGCTACTAGCGCTAGCTATGCTTCCGGCTAACGAGCCACTAGAAACATAGTCTTCTCGGTTGGTACATCTTTCGGATGCACTTGCTTCGTCCGCAGTCACGCCGGGAACACCCGGCACACCCGGCACCGCGAGTTGCGTTTGCTTCAACGACGGAGAAGGTCTGAAATATAGATCAGTTATACACAATCTTGATAAGCGAGAGTTGGACCAGTTGAACTTACACTTTGAATAGAATATCTCCGGAGAGCATGTTCATTTTGATGGCAACCCGCAACATGGAGTTGTCTTGTCGATGCCTCGCGTCGTAACCTTCCAGAAGGCACCTCGTTCTACAGAGTCCAGCTCCTGCGAATTCGGCGAGGTTCAGGTCGGTGAAGCCGAGCTTCTGGAAGGACCTGCCTCCCTTCAATTCCTGCAAAATTCACCGACAATTAGCAAACGATGTATAAGACGACACATAATTAACCCTTCCGACTCTGAAAATTACTTAAGACCTCTTAGTGACATTTTTATTCAAGCTTATATTTTAGAATATCTCATTTTAGGTATAGAGGCGATGAACGATTACAGATATGACGATGTCAGTATACAAATTTGGAAATATTCGAGTTTACATGTTCGCTCTTATCCGAAAAAAGTCTACGTTGCATCCGAGTGTGCTATGCTTTGCTATAGATATCAAAGATCGATCCGAAAAGTCGACGACGCACGGAATATATGAGAGACAAGGGTACCACTTGAATCTTTCAAACTTGTCATAGAACGGAATAATGACAGAGTCAAACGGGTCATAAAATAGAGATGAATTTTTCGATCGAATTACCTTTCTGACGGATATCCTCAAAATACAGGGTTCGAGAACACCAGTGGACGCGTTGGCACTCATTTTGCATAAAAACTCAAATTTGGCGTTCCACCTAACCGTGTGCTCCTGGACTTCCTCTCTGAAACCAAAATAAATAGTTGACATGAGAACAATGATCGTAGAAAGACTGATTTTTGAATCGGTTCAAAACGAACGAGGTAATGATTCATAAAAAGGCGTTAATCTCTTTAGGATCTACTATAGCTAAAGCGTTATTCACCCCCGTATAATAAGTCGGTGAAATTTTCGCAGTAACAAAAGAATCCGACCAAGTTCAGGGACAAGCGAATGATTCAGCCCCGAAACGAAATTTATTAACTTTCACCGAGATACCGTAGCAACCAATCGAACCGGTCAAATGAATATTCAGAATACTCTGCTTCCGGTAAGGAAGCTTCCGCTGGCTGGGACACGCGTGCGTCACCGCTATGTATCCGAACGTATGAAAGGGTTGAATTACACGTTGTGTCATTGTTGGTATATCTACCATGCTGAATTACAGATGAGCTTTCGTGGTCGCATGTACATATTTGGTGAGCAACCTTTGATAAACGAGCAACTTCTTCGTGCCCTATTCTTATTTGACTGCACACAAGTTTCTTCTGGAAACTAAATTAACTCCATCTAGCCTTACAACGTGGAGCTAATGGGGTGACTTCGACTTAAATCCCGGGGAATTTGTCATTTCTGTCCTTTATATTCTTGGTAGTTTTATTTGTCAGAATGTTGAACGATGAGCGATTTTAAGAACGATAAGTATAGTAGACTTGTACCGCACAATATGCATTTAAAACGAACGTAAAAGTGTAAGTGTGGATACGAGTGTATGAAGTTCGAACAAGAGGTCGATTTCTGCCTTAATTGGTTGGCAGATGGCTGGCTTTGTCCGAAAGAAGAAAACGATAATTGTTTTTGCGAAACGGAACAAGTGAAAACGTTTATATATCGGACGATCAATCGCGGGAGAAACTAGGACAACAGGGGAGAGAAAAGTTTTTCGAAAGAAACGCGACTCGTGATTTTTCATCCGCGATACGGCTTTCTCTTTTTTTTTATCTGCTGCCATGATACTTTGATCTGTATTTCCGGTCGTTGAAGAACGATTCTTTGACGAGGGGCAGACGTGACGAGGCATCGAGTCGTTGAATTATCGAACGCGAAACGGAAGTACTCGCTAGACTCTGAATATCGATGTAACGAGAGCAATCTTCTCCTTCCTTCTTTACAAGAAGCTTTAAAACGTAATCCTAACCAACCACCTGGTGCCTGCAACTTCGGTTAACCTTGATTCGATCTTATTTTTCATTTGCCTGCTAACTCGTTGATCCCTTGATATTACCGGGATTACGTTAGACGCCGTTCAAATTTCCCGCTTAATATAATATCTGGTGCAAAATTTCAAATCCATTACGAATCCATTTTACGCGAGTAAAACGTTCTCGACACTTTTCGCTTAAACACGAATATACTTTAATTATTCACTGTTAGGTAACGCTTTACGAGTGAAATGTTACTCGTTAACAGGTCCAATCAATATGAATTTATTTAAGGAAGCGTTAATTAAAACCGAACGAGTTTAAAATTGACGTCGATCAGCAACGAATAGCAGCGTCAACGGCAGCGGATCCGTTCGATTTAGCATGAATCGTTTCTTTGTCGCGGATAACCGAATCTGGACGATAACGTTACCTCAGCACCCGACTATTATCAAGCCAACGAATTTGATTAGTCGAACGTAACACGAGGATACTGTGGCAGCTCGTCGCGAAAGCAGGGCGGAGGCGTTTAATGAAAACCACGGTCAACACTTTCTCCGCGAGATATGCGACCATCCAAAGGATTCCAGCGAATTTCGCGTCGCTATAAGGGCAAACTGTTGTCCGACCAACGGAACGAGCCAATTACTGTGGAAATCGGGCCAACCTATCATCCGACGTGTCCAAAAATTTCGATCTCCGTGAACGTGTGAACTGGCGAACATTATGACGCGTCGAGCAATCAACGCCTATGAACTTCGATTAACATTCGATCGGTCGTTGCTACCGTTACCTTCTCGAGGTTGCTGACTTTGAAACTCGAGAAACAGCGAATCCTCTGACAGAGAGTCTACCCGTTCTGACAAGACAACCCGCCCCAGTTATAAATACATGATCGAACATCGAAAGTTAAGGTTATTCAATTAAAGGGACTCGTCTCGTGGCAACCGTTTCACAACAGAAGACACGTGCCGCTAGAAAACTTATCGATTACTCGATAAAAGTAGATATACACATGTACCCAGGGAATTGAAACAACCCGGAAACATGATTAACATGTTTGCTCGCGTGCCAGACGATAGTCTGCAATCCACTATTCGTACGAATACCGCACGTGGTTCGCGAGACAAACTATTATTAAAAATTTCCAAGATCGGAAATTCTTTCATCCCCATCGTGTAATACAAACATATCTAATGCGACTGTTACAGTGCGCAATGTTTGCTATAAAGCAATACATCTTTCGAGCACACGATACAAGAATGTTTGCGCGATCCGGTACAGTTGATATCGTCAGATCGTTCGATCAAAGTAGACAAAAGTGCAATTTCCAACTGTGCGATCGGAAGTCGTTTTAACTTGATTGAAATTCTGTACACGGAGACCTCGGACGGACAATAAATTCTCGATACCTCTCGATATTTATCGATAACACTAAAATATTGACGATAGTTTGTCGGCGATACGTATTGATCGTTTAGAGGTTCCTCAGTACAATAACGTTAAAGACCATGAAATATTATTGAAGGCTAGATACCGATGTATTGTCGGTATTAAAGCGACGAGGTAATCCGATGACCAAGACTCCGTTTACTCGAGGATTGGACCTGCTTTAAGACGCAACAAAGTTAATGAAAAAATAACTCGATCTTAGTATCTTAATACAGAACACAGCATGCAATACTACTCAACACCGTACGAATCATGAATGAATAGCATTACATCGTTGTCACGTTTTATTGCCGTCAATGGGAAGTACTATCATTGATAACGATAAGTTATTTATACATATACTGTACGATAGTCGTAACTAAACCTTTTCGTTAGTATACTAGATGTACTCAGTCTGTTAAATAGACAAATAACGTGAACAGTTTAATTTCATATTTCGAAGCGAATTTCTAATCATCGATAGATTCATCGACATTCACGTCGCAAGAAACAGAGATGTTAACGAATTATAACTTCTCGATAGATTCGATTCCGAAACGAACGTAGTTTGTCGATAAATCATAAAGTTCGCTGTTACCGATTCGTAGGAGAAGAGAGGCGTCTATCGATAAAACTGAAAGTTGTTGGACACGGCTGACAAAGTCGAATGTCAGTTTAGATAGGAGAAGATCTCATCCCTTCGATTCGGTCGATTCCCGAGCAAAACGAAAGGAAAACTTTCCGGTGTCCGATCGTGTTTTTGTTCTAGTAGTGGGATCTCGTTGCTTGAACGTGCAACGTCGCTTCTCTTTTTACTTATTTCTTTTTTCAACGTCGCCACACTGGTCGACCATCGACGTATTTGGAGCAACGCGACTGGGTCGAATTGTCCGTGGAGCCAGCATTGCAGTGGCTATCTTTCACTGGTGATACCATTTCGTCCCCGTCCAGGTTCGTTTCCTTCTTTTCACCGACACGTTTTGCTCCCGTTATCGATCCTATGTTCTGGGACGACAGTCGAATAAAATTATTCGGAAGATGAAATTTTCTCCGGCGCACAGAAAGGTGCGGGAAAAATCGACGTCCTATCGCGGTTACTGGAAATCGAACATCAAGATAGACCGGCACCGATTTCTTTTACCAGATAAAGCACGCTTCTGGGTCGCACCGGATAACAGGTGTCGTTTTTATTACCGATATTTATTATACGAAGAAGGCAGCATAAATCAGTTGTCACCGTGTGATAACTGCTATACACAGACTTCTGTTCATGTATTTGACAAATACATAAAACACCGCCACGTTTATCAAGAATTTTATCAGAAAGAAATTAATTAACAGGTGTCGCAAACAGGACACAGATGTTATATATTATATATTGATCTAAAAAACCAATTAATTAACATATCTTCGTTGATGCTAAAATAAGAACACGTCTACAGAAGTTTCTTCTGTGCCTTAAAAAGTCAATGTCTTCAGATTCCGGCTACAATAGTCTCCAGAAATATATTACAGTTGTAAACCTCGTCTAGTTCCGTCGGTCGTAAAGACTGCACTCAACGAACGAGCGCTGTCGATGAACTCAACCGATGTCCAATGTGTACGATATCGATGATCGCGTTAATTCATCGAAGTCTACGAAACATGTATTTTAATTCCTCCCGTGTTGAATCGAGAGTTACCTTGGTACCGAATAAGCTGGAGGTAGTACTCTACAGCCTTGTAGCTACCGATAGAACGAATCGCGTATCAGTTTATGGATTTAGCCGATAATTACAGGTACACCGTGTACTTGTACGACTGCGGTAGCGTAAGACAACGGGGACTTTCACCTGTATCACCCTGTATAATTCAGGGATCCACGAACGATCGCGAGAGTTGCATTAGCCGTGGGCAAGGCTGCTCCAAGGCTGTCCGGATTGTGTGTCATTCGCAGTTTCGCAATTGAGCTCGGATGAAAACGCACGCTTAGTCTCGTGCACCTTGCTTTTCGTAATCGAATCAGCGCACGTTTCTCGGCGTACTTTCACGCTCAGCTTGGCTGGTTCGCTACTGAATTAACGATAATGAGACAGGTCACTCGTAACCGTTCGAATTCGGTCATTAAACAAGCTGAATACATGGCTCGCGGTACGAGCTCGACGATGTGCCTTGTTTTCGTTGGAAAATCCACACTATCCGATCGAATAAGTGAAATTCGAACGACTATTTCTGATTCACCTTGCAAGCGAACTTCGCCGTGACGCACGCTACAATCGCGCAATATTTCACCCGGTCGACTTAATTCTCGCCTTCGATCGTTCCCGTAAAATGTACAGCATTATCTCGTCCCTAATCTGCCCTAATAAATTAACCCACCGTCGAACTACCGCCTTATCGAACGATAAATCTA